AGAAAAACAACAACAACAACAACAACAACAACCAAACAATATTAATAATGTACAAGTAATGGATGAAGATATGAAGAAGATGGAGATAATGCAAACTCAATTGGATCAGGCAAATGAGAAATTGGCCAAACTTGAGAGTGTGGCTGAAGACTTGGACTCGGCAAGGAAGGAGATAGTGCTATTGGAGAAGGACTGCGATTTATTGGAGAGCCATGAGAAGGCGTCAAAGAGATTGGTGGTGGCCCTCACAGAAGAGATGGAGGGTGTTCGCGATGAACTGAAGCTCACCAAGGAGGAGCTGGACGTCACCAAGGAGGCCTACGCCATCACACAAGACAATGAAGCCAACAACAAAGACACAATCGAGAAGTTTGAAAAGACTCTGCAGATCCTGGTCATTGAGAAGCAAGACCTTGAGGAGGCACACAGGAAGCTGATGGCACAGCACCAGCGCCAACAGCTCGCACAACCACTGGCAGTCCAAGATCAACCAGCCGCACCCTCGAACGAGAACGCACCGCCAAAGATGGAGAACAGCAGCAGTGCCCCGCCGACCAAACACAAGGGACATCATCGCGAGAACAGTCTGACGATGCAGAATGTGGAGGTGCTCCATACTCCTCCACAACTGGACGCCAAGAAGCAGACACCAGACAAGGACCTCGTGGCCATGAACAATGAGTTGAGCAAACAGCTCGAGATAATCAAGTCAGACTTGGAACACAACAAGCGAGTACAAAGACATGACCTGGAAACCCACACATCAGAGCTGGCCGAGCGCGACCAAACGATCAAGTCGTATGAGAAGGGACTGTACGAGCTCGAGGTCGCGACCAGGAAGCTCAAGAGTGCCAACAACACCATCAAGAAGCTAAAGGATTCGCTGCTGGAGAAGGGCATGGCCACGGAGGAGCTCGACCGCATGGTCGGCGTCGTCCAAGTCAAGCGCCAGGTGTCCTTCAACAATCAACTCCACGTGCGATCATTCGATCTCAATCTCAAGATTGGTGTCGAGGAGGAGGAGCACGATGTTGGCGAGACCGGTCCGAACTATGTCGACAGGTCACGTCTGTTTGAGAACAGCAACAAGGAGGAAGAGGACAGTGATGACGATCTGATGAAGTATGACAACGATATGATTTGCAATGATAGCATCGATCTTGATGACGGTGATGATGATGGCGATGTTGTCGTCCATGATGATGACGAGGAAGAGTACATGGACGAGGAGGCTGACCGAGAGTTGGAGAGCGAGATTGTAATGAACAATGACAGCGACGAGGAGAGTGGCAGTGGCAGTGGCAATGGCAGTGATGCAGAGGATGACGAAGAAGTAGTCCGAGAGCTTGAGAGTGAGATTGTGATGAACAAGGATAGCGACGAGGATGACGAAGAGGTCGACCGAGAGTTGGAGAGCGAGATTGTTATGAACGAGGACGAAGAGATCATAGAGGACGAGGACGACCAAGACGTGGACCAGGAGTTGGAGAGTGAGATAGTGTTGAACGAGGATGTGGACAACGAGGACGTGGAGAAAAAGGAGTTAAGAGAGACATTGGACACGTACAAGATTGAGATGGAGAGTCTGGAGAACACAGTGTCGTCCAATCTGGAGGATATTCAGACATTGCAAAGAGAGAAGGGATACTTGTCCGAGGTGATCCGCGATGCCAACAAGGTGATCTGGTGCATATTGGACTCATTGCTCAAGATGAACAACAAGAACCATGGTGGAAGTGCAATGTCAGAGATGGAGAATGATAATGGCGACAGCAGCGACGAGCGGTTGGAGAAGGACTCATTCCCATTCGTCTCCAAACTCAAACACAACATCAATCATCTTGAGAAGGCCGTCAAGGTCATCTCCACGTCGGATGACAAGAAGTCCACCTCACGATCGTCCAAGGCCAACCGCGACCTTGAGCAGGACGTCACACTGTTTGAACAAGAGAACACCAACCTGATTGGCGAGCTGCAGCGCATGCGCACTGATCACACAAGCATGAGCGAGTACATTAAGCAGCTCGAGCTTCGCGCCAAGGCACTGGAGGAGAAGGACAAGACCCAGCAGGACTTCCTCCTGCAGGAGCTGATCCCCTTACTCGAGGAGATCAACAAGCAGCTGGAGTTGGCGCTGCAGTACCGCCAGGAGTTGGAGACTGCCGTCGCCGACAAGAAGGAGCGCATCAATCAGCTGGAGCAGGAGAACAAGCAGGTCACTGTGCTGTGTGAGAACATCAACAGCGAGTACCAGCAGCTGGACCAGTCACTTCAATCATCCAACAATGAGATCCAAGCACTTCGTCAATCATTGGCCACCGCTGAGAACAGGGCCACCGAGAGCGAGGACCACTCGCACCGTGTTGCCGACCTCGAGTCACAGATCAAGTTGCTGCAAAGCCATGTCGACAGTCTCACCTCACAGCAGTCCATGCACGAGCAGGAGCAACAGCAATCACAGTCCAGCATTGGCGAGTTCAAGAAACTCAACAAACATCTCGAGACACAGGTTGAGCTGCTCAAGCAACAGCAACAGCAACAGTTGCTGCGACAACAATCAGTTGCACCTCCCATGGTTGGCATGTCGCAGCCACCTTCACAAAATGCAACAGCAGCGACTGAGCACCTGACACCTCAATTGGAGGACATCCCAACGATGGACATCACCAACTTGCTCAAGTACACCTCTGAGATCATTAACAACAAATCACCATTCCCGGCTCGATCCAAACCAGTCGACCCATCTTCGCCAAAGCCAACCCCCGACAGGATCAACACGTCCTCTCCACCTGGATACTCCCAATTCATGGATGAGCTGTCTGACCAAGGTCATGAACACAACAACATCAGGAGCAATAACAATCACAACAATAGCAGTAGTACAAGCATTGATCACAGGAGACATAGATCAATCATTGATGACTTGGACAGAGTACTCTATAACAATGATATAGAGAGGTTGGCCTCTGGCATCAATATCACTACTCTACCGCCAGTTGCCAGTAGCACCCCATCAATCCAACATCATCAACAACAACAGCAACAGTCTATCTTTGGTTACTTCACGCCCTCCCATTCAATCACCACTGCGTTGCCAGTCACTGTCCACACCACTGCGCCAGTCCTAACACCACTCAAGCCAAACATCAGTCCATCACGTCACTCCAATGATCACGACATGATGCACATGCCATCCACGCCACAACACTTGCATCAGAGGAATCACAACTATCCAATGTCTGCAGCTCACGTTCGTTCAAGGCCCACAAACACCAATGCCAATGGCAATGGACATGGAGCATCTGGCAATGGCAATATCAATTACTTTGACGTCGACCAAGTTACTATGGCACAGGCGCCAAAGTCTGCACCAACTACACCCTACAAGAGTGGCACTCGATTGTTTGGCAACTCACCCATGCCATCACCAATACACGACGCTGGGCAATTGGACAATAGCCATCAAAACAATCAATCACAGTTCATTATGGAGCAATTGTTGCGCGAGAAGGACGATCGCATTGCCTACCACGAGAGGAAGGAGTTGGAGCTGATGCAAGGACAGCTTCGCGATCTGAAACATATCTTGGACAAGACAACAATGAAGACTTAATATTGATTGATTACATTATTATGATACTCCAATTCAAGTTGGAAGTTTATTACACGATTAGATTAGATTAGGTTACAACAACAAGAGTACAATGCTCTGGATGGAAGAGCAGGTCATTGATTGACTGATGCCGCTTAGCAGTATCTAACGCATGGTGGTGGGAAGCATGGGTAGCATGGTGGTGGATAGCATGGGTAACATGGGGCACATGGATAGGCAACAAACTCTTGGTAGGTGTGGTTGGTTGGGCCACATGGTCCGCAGCCACCACAAGCAACTCCGTTGCTACCCTGGGATGATCCAGAGCCACCAGATGAACCAATAACGCCACCGCTCATCGATGATGGCATGAATGAACCGACAGTAGAAGTAAGAGCCTCTGTTATATTAGAAGAGATGATGTTAATATTGGCATTTTCCAAGGATAATGATTGAATGTGGGCACATACTGATCAACATTGTATTAGGATTTTAAAGGTAAAGGTAGAGGATATGGATTAAATAGATCGTTTAGATTATTGATTGTTATTTAGATACTTGGTATCGTTTGATTTGATGATATAATAAATAGATTGAACTCTGGTTTAAATAGTGATCGATAGACCATTGATTGTCATTGATATTGTTACATACAACCAGAACAGCTCATTAATTGTAACATGTCAATCGAAGATCCCTTATGTATATATATATATATCAATTATTGTGTGATTCAGTGAACACTACTATGATATCATTGAGTGATTGATTAATGGTCGTATGTATGTATGTATGATTGAATATATGTATACTACATCTACTTGGGAGTGATTGATTGGACGTTTGATGTCCTGTCAATTCCAGTTCAATCACTTAATATTATAATATTTAAAGTTGGACGTTCACTTGATCGACCAAGTATTGACTACCACTCACTGCAGAGGTGGTACTGTCATGTTCAAATTCATGTTCAATCCCATGAAGCAGACTGTGTGATTACACTCCAACTCCATTCCACCTCTCAATCAATCCAATCCACCTATCATCTTCATGATATCCATGCTCAACATATGATTGGTACTGTGTGTCTTCAAGGTTGATGTTATTGACAAAGACAGTGAAGATCTAAAATAGCATCATTCGTATATCGTAATACAATACACCAATCAATTCAATTGTTGTTGTTCTTGATTAACCTATCTTATGAGTAAGTGATAGGATGTTATTGCTGAGGTGTGATGTGATGTACCTCTCAAATAATAAATGTCAATGTTACACATCATGTTAGTTAGTGCTAGAGTGAGTGAGTGATGACATGGGGTGTGAACCTGTGACATGTCACATGACTTGACCCCCATTTGGAAGACATATCCAGTGGACATCACTCTGGTTGATCAAGATATATGGGTGAGTGTGTGGGTGTGTTTGAGTTAGAGAGGAGTGTCAGTCAATCAATTATCCCCTATTATGGTTAAATAGGATATAGTAGGTGATGGGCATATTGAAATTGGGGATGGATAGTCTGGCTAACATACTCCATGCCTGTGGAAGTGGTGTGAAACTTGGTTGCTCATCGCACGTTGTCATTGTCAAGCAAAGCAGAAGTGTCACTTGATTGATTGATATGTTCTGCTTCCCTCTCTCATTCTGGCTGTTTATGTCAATCTGTTGCTGCTGCTGTTGTAATATCATTTAAGGTTTATGATGTGTATGGGTTTGGATTGGAGTTGATGATATTGATGGTTGTAACAACGAACGGCTATTCATTCAACTCACGCGATCACTATGATATCCAATGATTTTAATGGACAATCCACTGTTGTTGTCAATATGATCTGATCCACCGACCAAGTGCATGAACACCTACCTTCCATCCATTGTCCAGACCAGACATACAGACGTGTCTGTTTATCTGAAATTTACAAACAATCATCTTGCACTTGGAACTGTTGCCGTTGCTATTTGCCATCAAGTGCGCGCCATTAAATTGGATCGAGGGCTGACTGCCTGGTTGGCACTCACATATCATTGATTGATTGGATTGATTGATTGATGTATTATGGATACCTTACAGCACTAACGATCAAACAAATGTTAGCTAACATATCCCCTAATTAAAGGCTTGTAATAATGTTTGATTGGAGCGTTGTAGACTGCAGTCCTTGAATTGCCATTCAATTTCATACTCCATCTCACCTTTCACATGTGGAATCCGCATATCCAGAAATAGCAATGCCATCCACTATTTAAACAGGACCAAATGGAACATTTCAAATCATCCCAGTTCTTCCACTGAATATCCAATCATCAATCAATCAAACTATCAAGTTCTATCCTCTTACTCTTAATCTTAACACCCATATATAAACAATGTTGATCAGTAAGTTACGCCCACTCATAATTCAAACATGCACACATACTAACAATTACATACCTTAATGTGTTCGCGACCAACAGAAGCTATTGCCTCCTTCGGAAATGTTAAGCCACTTGGTTCAAGCTCGAGCATGATTGGTGCCGGTGGACGTTCGGGATCATCGCAGTCTGGAAACTCCCTTGCTGACTGCGGCCCAGTGACCCACACCCACCAGGAGTACTTTGTCTGTGCTCCATGCGTCCCATGCATGCCATGCATGCCATGTGTCCCTTGTATGCCATGCGTGCCATGCGTCCCAATGTGCTTCCCCTGCTAAGTCTGCATGAACTCTCATGCCCTGCCTGACTATCCCCACCATCATCTTCGTCTTAGTCACTTGTTGTTGAGCTCCCTGACCTGGGTGGATGGATAGATCTACTACCTCCCTGTCTATATTATCAGTTGTTGTATATCAATGTGTCATCAATATCAATCAATCAATCAATCAATCAATCAAACATAATCAATTAAATTTGTTGTAATTACATTATCTCTTTGAATACAAGAAAGCTGGATTTTTGAACAATGAGTCATTGTTTAGCTGAAGTGAACTAGAAAAGGGTTCAAAATTGGGAAACTTGAATGAACATCAATCACACCACAATTTAATTTAATCAATCATACAGATACACAATTTATATATATACATACACATACATATACATACAAATATAATACATAATGTCAGATAAAAAAGAACTTATTAGTAATTTTAAATCAATTACAAATGCATCAGATCAAGAATCTGAGTTCTATCTTGAAAGTCATGGTTGGGACTTAGAGGTATGCATGATTGATTGAATGAATGGTTGATTGAATGATCACTAACAAGATGCTAACTCATTTATAATAGAGTGCAACAATGTCATATTTCGAAAGCCAATCTGGTGCACCTCCTCCTGTACAACAACAAACTGCGCCACGTCAACAACCACAAACAACAGCACAGTCACAGCCACAGCAACAGCAAGCTTATAGCTCTGAACCATTCAGACAGGTTGGTACTGTTGGTGGTGGTAGCGGTTCCACTCCAAGCAGCAGCAGCAGCGGAGGCAGCAAGCCAGCAGCCTCAAAGCCAAGCGCAGGTAGAGGAGCTATTCGTTCACTCTCAGACTACAACCAAGAGGAGGAGAATGATGACGAGGATGAGGACGATGACAAGACACAGAGATACTTCACTGGCGGTGAGAAGTCTGGTCTGATGGTCGAGTCTGCACCAAAGCAGAAGAAGGGCGATGACAACAAGATGGTCGAGAAGGTATTTGAGAGCGCCAAGAAGCAGGGCGCAACACCAGAGCCAGAAGCCGCCAAGCCAAAGCCTCAACCTGCATTTGAGGGATCGGGATACGTGCTTGGCAACACCAACGCTGGCGGCGCAAAAGTCGAGTCACCAAAGGAGAAGAAAGACAGCGAGCAGCAGATGGAGGTAAAGATCACCTTCTGGCAGCAGGGTTTCACACTGGACGACGGTCCCCTGCGCAGGTTCGATGATCCCCAGAACCGCGAGTTCCTGGAGGCCATCAACCGTGGTGTCGTGCCCAAGGAGCTCGAGGCCAAGGCTCCTCAGCATCAGTACCAACTGCAAATCGTGCTCGTTGACAACCGCAAACAGGAATACGTCGAGCCACCCAAGCCCAAGTACGTCGCCTTCTCAGGAGGCGGCCAGGCCCTGGGCAGTGGATCGTCCTCGACCAGCACCACCACAACCACGACCTCGTCCTCGTCCAGCACAGCATCGACCCAGCCTGCAAGCGGAGCAAACATGAACATTGATATCGACAAGACAAAGCCAACAACAGTGGTCCAGATTCGTCTGGCCGATGGCACGCGCCACCAGGTCACTTTCAACGAGACACACACGCTCTCCACACTGATCAACTACATCAACAGCATCAATGGCAACACTCGTGCCTTTGACCTTCTCTCTGGCTACCCCCAGAGACCCATCAACTTGGATCCCAATCAAACACTCAAGGATGCCAACCTGCTTGGTGCTCAAGTCACCCAAAAGTTCAAGTAGAGTAATATAGTCAAGTGTAGTGTAGCGTAGTGTAGTTAGAGTATCCCCTTTCCAGGTCTGTGTCACCATCCGTCCATTCATTCATTCATTCATTCCCCAATGCAATCCAATATCGATTACTACTAAAGTTCTCGAGAACGATCCCTCGACAAGTTATTACTTCTTTACTTCCTTCTTGCTACTCTTCTTCTTCTTCAGCTTCTTGTCATTATCGTCCTCTTTCTCGGCATCTCTATCCTTTCTCTTCTTCTTCTTTGTGTCCTCCTCCTCTTTGATCTCCTTCTTCTCTTCCTTCTTCTTCTCCTTCTTGATTGGCTTGTCCTCGATGGACTTGTCTGGCGAGGTGGCAACCTTGACGACCTCTATCTTCTTATCTTGCTCCTCCTTTGACTTGTTGTTGTTGTCACTTGATTGATTAGCCTTGCCATTCTTGAAGTTCTCCTCTTGTTGTTTCAGCCTGGCCAATTTGCCAGTTGGTACGTATTTCCTCAGCACTCTTCCTTTGCAAGCCTCAAACACATCGTCTGTCATATCCGATACCTTTCCATTGACATTGATTGGATTGACATCACCAACAATATCCTTGATTGGTTGTTGTTGTTGTTGTTTCTTTGTTTGCTCCAATTGCTGTTGTTGTTGTACTTGTTGATGCTCCTGTTTCTGCTCTGTCTTTTGTACATCATTGACAACTACTTCATCCTCATCATCATCGAATGAATCGAATGTCTGTACCTTTGACTTTGTGAACTGACCATGTACCAAAGGCTTCTTCACTGGCTCTATCTTCTCCTCTACCTTCTCATCTTCCTTCTTCTTATTCGATAATTTCTTGTCCTTCTTCTTATCTTTCTTATTCTTTGTATCCCTATTATCCTTCTTTATCTCCACCCCCTCTTCCTCTTCCTCATCCTCTTCCTCCTCTTTAACATCATCCTTTGATTCGAATAGACTATTATCTGCAGCATCACCACCTATCTTCTTTGAAGTGCTCGCGTACACGTTGTCCCACCACAACTCATCCCATCTAAACTTGGCATTGCCAACCTATATTGAATGACATGATTGATGTTAGTGAGCTTGATACATGTATCACAACTGATCAATGAATGAATCAATCAATCATATCTTACACCTTGTGTATTATTCTTCTTCTGTGGCTGTACAAAGTTGACATCACCATCTTCATTTCTGCCAAGACCACTGCCCTTCTTCCAACCAGTCTTGTTCATCCATCCTTCATATCTTGATAGTGATGCCATTGTGTATTGGTATAATATATATATATATGTATGTATATGTATTGATCTGTGTTTGATAGATTGATTTAGATTGAAAGGCACCCAGAGATAGGCCCACTCAACTTTCGTTCGCTTTGTTGTTGTTGAACCAATCATTTCGTTTCGAACTTCTGTTTGAATGACTAAAAATTATTTTCATATTAAATTTGAATTAGTTGGTGGTGTGAGAGACAACCACTGCTAGCTCGCGACTCTGTCTCTCGGATACCTTTGACAAGAGCAACTCTAAACATAGGCGAATCCTCTTTACACCAGTCCAGTAGCTCTACATCTCACACATTCCATATAACAATGTCTAAGAAGGGTATCTATCGAACATCACAGGATATATGTCATGACATCTAGATTACAACAGGGATATATCGATATCAACAATGAATGCGATCGATGATTGATCATGACATGTCTATCACTACGACAGATGATGATACACAAAGAGAAGATGATGATGTTAACATTCATTCAACTCGATTCATTCGATTACAGGAAACACTTTGAAGCAGGATCTCTCTGTCAAGTCCGGACAGAAGACTGTCATCACCGGACCCGCTGGTGCCAAGAAGGAGAAGGCTGCCACCGCTGCCGCTGCTGTCAAGAAGGGAACCATGAAGAAGACCGCTCGCAAGATCAGAACTAAGGTCATCTTCAGGTATGTCTACAACATTCAGGAACACATTTTAGCGAACAGGTTATGCGAATCGCAGGAGCAGAGATATAGATGATCATTCAGAGATAACATTAGGAATAGTGAGCATAGAGTCTAATCAACTTCATTCAAATCAATCATTCATACAACATAGACGCCCAAAGACCCTCCACCTGGCCAAGAGCCCACTCTACCCAAGAAACTCGGTCAAGAGAGCCTCCAAGATGGATCAATTCAGAGTCCTGAAGGCCCCACTCACCACCGAGTCTGCCACCAAGCAGATTGAGGCCAACAACACTATCACATTCATGGTCGACATGTTCTCCAACAAATACCAGATTGCTCAGGCCGTCAAGAAGATGTACGAGGTCGATGTTGCCCGCGTCAACACCGTCATCACCCCACTCGGTGAGAAGAAGGCTTTCGTCACCCTGGACCCAGCTCACGACGCCGCCGACGTTGCCAACAAGATTGGTTTGATCTAAACGCGAAACAGATAGTCAAACGCCCCATCAGCGCAGCACAGGTGATTATAATAAACAGTTGTCATATGGAAACAAACATTATGGTTGTTGTTGTTGTCTTGTCTTTGGCGTAGTGTCGATTGGAAGTTAGCCAGCGCTACTGCTTAGGCAGCGACGAGAATTTATTGAGTACCCATTGCTTGCAATGCTCTTGATCCAGCTTGGGGTTGTCCAGTTGCCATTCAAAGATCTCCTGTAGGACGCCTGCCAGCCACTTGCCTGGCTTCATGTTCAACATCTCCATCACCATCTTGCCATCCAAATGCTTCTTTATGTTCCACACGCCAATCAAATCATGGCTCGCAACACTCGCTACAAAGTTATCATACTTGGCAACAATGGCTTTAGATGCCTCGCACACTACTCATTCATGGGGTGGTAGTACACTAGTCAGTATGTTTGTTTGTCGTCTGATGGTCTGGCCTTGCCTGCCATGCTTGGCGGGATACTTACAAGGTGGGTGGTGAGCATGGGGATTGTGAGAGTGGAGATGGAAGTCGTGCATGGGTGAGCTGGGCGAGGGTACGCCATCGATGAGCTCGGGCTTGTGCAATGGGTATGATAGATTCCTGTTGTACTTGGGCAACTCGGAAATGAGGGAGTTGGCCAGTGCAGTTCTCCATAGTGGACCAGCCTTGTACATGATCAATCCAACGTCCTTCCTCGAGAATGTGCCTTTGATGTCGAGATTGGCAACGTGCTGCTTGAACTTCTCGGCACATTCCAACACATTGAGTACGTCGTCGTAGTCCTTGTTGGAGAACTTTAGGAACTCCACCATCAAGTGTTGAATCAATGGCAATTGTCTATTCTTCTTTGTCGTGTAATTGTAGTCCTTGAAGACCTGCAGCAGCGAGGACACCAACCTAAGCTTCCTCGTTGGTACCTCCTCGTTTGCCACGCCCCAGTTGATGAACCTCATCATATTCAATATATTCTCCGTGGCAATGAACCTGTAGTTCTTCTCCTTGATCGCTGTTGGAATGATGTGAATGAGTATGCGTGGCGGATGGTCTGAATTGGCTTGTCTACTTACTGACACCCTCTGGCAGACTAAAGATGTGATCGAATAGACCAAGGTCGTGAATTAGGTGAATGGCCAGGTCGGGACGAGGACCAGATAGCATGCCCTCCAGCTCAATTCCAACACGCTCGTGCGACACTTTGGACTTGAGAGCCTCCTTGACCTTGGGTGAAGAGGCAGCTTCAACAAGCTTGTGATCGATTGCATAGTAGAGACGTGTGGCGAAACGGATTGATCGGAGTACACGCAGTGGATCGTCCAAGAATGTTGTCTGAGGAGGCAGTGGAGTGCGAACAATGCCGCACATCAAATCATTGATACCATTACCAGTAAAGTCCTCAATCTTATTCTCATTGATGTTGTAGAACAATGAGTTGATGGTCAAATCGCGGCGGAATGCATCCTCCTGAGGTGTACCTATTTGCTGTTGTTGTGTATAGCGTGTCAGCGAGTGTCGTGGCATGGTCATGGCATGGACCTGGCCAGCCAACACACATACGATTGTCGGAATCCTTGACTCTTCGGTGTAGGTCTCTGATCGCAGATTGACAAAGTCTATCCACATGTCGAATATCCTGACAGTGGCAGTCTCTAGATGTTTGGACTGAGATGGGTTGGACTGAATCACACCAATCCTATGAGTCTCCTGATTATGATCCTGCAAGTACTGATTGACCAATGATGCAAAAGCCTCACCCATAAGGTTGTCCAGTGCAATATCTATATCACTAGAGTCATCTCCACGTAGCTATTCATAAAAGTATAAGTATTTATTTATTGATTTATTAACTTGATTGAATGATTGATTGAATGATTGAATGATCATAATATAACACATACCTTGTCTCTGACCCAACCACCAGCGACTCTAAGAGTTGTTCCACACTTTGATTTCTCTACCACCTGTAGCAATACTTCAAATAGACGTCTCTCTGTCTCGCTAATATAAAGTGGAACAGTCTCACCAGTGTTTCCAACAGCAGCATCAACATAATCTCTTCTTCTATTCTTCGAATCAATGTCATTCGTTATATTGTTGTTGTTATTGTTGTTGACTTCAACATCATTACACTTTGTATCTGGTGTTGGTGTTGTTGGTGTAGGTGTATTAACCTGTTGCGTCAATGTCGGTGTCGATGTAGCCTGTGCCTGTGTCTTTGTACAACTCTTATGAAAGAACTTATTGTCGTGTTTATAATCATTCGATATCAAAGTGATTGGTATATGCTTTGTCTTTATCTTTTTGTCTGAATGTTCCATCTTTGTTGTTATCAGTGCGTTATATATATGTACTACAGTAATGTAAGTAGTAGTCTCATTAGATATGTAGGTATTTGTAATAATAAATGATATGATGAAGTTGAATGTTTGACAACAAAAGACACCAAGACACACACTTTTTATCATTATTTATGATCACAGGGATGGGAAACAAAGACATAATTATGTCTTTCCTGTTCCTTTCTGGGTCAAATTCCCAAGAATGTACAAATAACATGTATTTTATTTATTACCATCAATGATTATTTCTATCATATATTGAATATATTCAATCAATCAGCCAGCCAATCGATATCACTAAGTTAAGAAGGAAGTTTAAGTGAGTGAATATATCTGAATTGTTTAAAGAGTTATTCAATCTTTGTCTAATTGTATGACAACAACATCCAACCAACCAATCAATCAATCAAAGTAGTACTTTTGTGATCTTCATCATTATCATTGTAGTGCATGGATACTATTATCCAACTTCCACTCATATTGGGGGAGAAGTAGATTAGTTGACAAACAAAGAACACTACACAGTTCATCCCTCGGGAGTATGTTCGGATGTTGACAATAGGGATGTTGGGTCCCTCCCAAATCCCCATTGATGGGTACTCCGAGTAAGAGTAAGCAGGTACCTGCTACCATGCATGTACACCTTGTACCCTCTGTCAATGCTCAATCCAATCCAAACTTGGATATTTCGAAATTGAATTGCGTGCGACGTGGGGACACCAGGGGCCAGCCCCACACATTCAATTTGAATCAATCGATCAGTTGATCAGAGGCCTCTAGGCATAGCCCATGATCAATCTCTAAAGATATTTAACATGACATAAACTTTATGGACTTTATTGTTCATCATCCTCCGTCATGAAGTCAGTCTCAAGGTGTGTAGCACTCTCGGCATTTACAAAAAGGTGGTATTGTCCACTGAACATCCCTACCCGCTTGGCCTAACCTGTGCTCATACTCTTATATTATTCTACAACTTTATTGATTGATCAATCAAATATAATACATATAGATATAGAGATATATATATATATACCAAATGTTTAAATCAACAATTGTATTTTTGTTGGTGGCCATCACCATCAATGCTGTGTTGTCGGCTTCCTCCAATCCCAACATCATAGTCAACCCATCTACCAAGAAATTCTTGGATCCAGATGGACGTGAGATGTATTTCCATGGTGTCAATGTTATGAAGAAGCGTACGTGACTCAAGTTCATACATTCATTCATTCAATCAATCAATCAATAACTAACATTTACACATTGGTTCCATTTCTTCTAGAGTTCCCATGGTACCCACCTCAAGAGTTTGACATCTACGAGTCCTTTGGTCCACAAGATATGGCCTACTTGCAAGAGTGGGGCCTCAACGTTGTCCGTCTTGGTATGATGTGGGCTGGCGCCGAGCCAACCCAAGGTAACTACAACGAGACCTACTTTGGTATGTATAGCAATTCAATTCAATCGAAATCAATCAAGTAGTTATCTAACTCCTTCATTTGAATGATCAAATACAGATATTATGGGTGACCTTGTTAACCAAATGAACCAATATGGTATCTATGCTTTGATTGATGTTCATCAGGATGTCTGGTCCTACTACTACTGTGGTGAGGGATTCCCATCCTGGACTTGCAACTACGATCTCGACTTCCCAGCTCCACTCCAAGTTATTCCATTCCATCGTCCAGATGGTGGTGACCCCAGTGCAAGTAAGTCATGTCATTGTCATACTCTCAATCAATCATATCTAATCATCCAATTAATTAATCTCATATTCAATCAGAGGACTGCGCCAAGCATCCATGGGCATCGTACTATGGCACTGCTGCCGTTTCGTACACTTTCCAGGCACTCTATGAGAACTACTTTGGCACTCAAGACGCCTTCATTTCCTACTGGCAAAAGATTGCCGCTTTGTACAAGGGTGCCACCAACGTCCTCGGTTACGAGCTTATCAATGAGCCATGGGCTGGTGATGTCTACATGAACCCCGAACTCCTTGTTCCAGGTGTTGCCGACAAGCTAAACTTGGCTCCAATGTATGACAACCTCAATGCTGCCATCAGAAAGAATGATAGTCAGGTATGTATAAATTCGAGATGGGATGTTCCATGGCCTTCCTTACTGACCTAATCAACATGTTACACTCATAGCACATCATCTTCTTTGAGCCAGTTACCTGGGATGATGCTGGAGTTGGCTTTGAGCGTGTTCCAGGTGGTGATGACTTTAGAAATTTGAGTGCTCTGAGCTACCATTTCTACATCCCTCCCGATGTCTCGATCGATGAGGCCATGGTCATTAGAATGAACGACCTTAACAAGTTGGAATGCGCTGGATTGTTGACTGAATTTGGCGCAGATGGTGGTGATGCCCCAAATGTTCTGGATTCTATGATTCACACTATGGATAAGGTGGAGGAACATCTACAAGGATGGATTTTCTGGGAGTACAAATGTTTTGCACCTGATAGCTATTGTAACTTTTTCTTCAACTCAAATGGAACAGTCAACACCGAGCGTGTCTACCATTACTCTCGCTCTTATGCCATGGCCGTAGCCGGTACTACCAAGCAGTCCATCTTTGAGGACGCCACCTCTGTCTACACCATCACTTACGTCATCAACGGTGATTGCACTCTACCTACCGAGATCTATATCAACGAAGCCATGCGTTATCCAAATGGTTACACCGTCCAGTTCATCCCCGAGTTGATCGCCACCTACACCACCGCCCACAACCGTATCTTTGTAAATCACAACATCCAGACTGCCACTGAGTTGACCATCAAGATCACTCCCAACTAAGACTTTGCTAGTCTAGTTGAGCTGAGCTATGTTGGCTAAAAGTTGCTAGTTTGCTTKGCTATTCTATAAACATTGCTTCAATCATTCAATCATTCAATCATTCTGGATATTACTTTGGCAAAGAAAACTCTGGTTTGTTGCAATTATTTTGGCAATTAATTAATTAATTAATTGAATGTTGTGATCATATTTTATTCACTCATTACTACAGCTCTAACCTTGATTGGAAGTAGAGTGGCTTGGTCGGCTTCTTCTTGGGCTGTGAGCGGCCAACAAAGACCAACACTGCCATGTAAATGATGAATGAGAATACCAATATTGATAGAGGTGATGGTCTCCATTGTGATATTCTTGTGAAAATTGATACTGCTGCTGGTGCTGTGGCAACAGCTGGACTACTGCTAGTCGTGGCGCCAGGTGATGTAGGTGTAGGTGATGGTATCGTCTGTGAACTGCCACTGCTGTTGCTGCGATCCTCAAACAAGAGAAGATACTTTACACGGATGTGGCCACCTATCTTGGAGAGAATGTAGTGATCCGGCAACTCCTTGTCCTCTTCAGTGTAGACTGTTGGACGAGGTGAGGGCAGTGGAGAGGTGGCAGGAGAAACTTTGATGCCTCGATTCGTTTGGTCCGTATCGATGATGTCGCAGCCAGAGAGACAGCCAACACGGTCGCCAAACTCTGACTTGTCCCACCAGCGTCCATACTTGACAAACGAGTGCGACACCTTGCTGTCGGAGCTAAAGTAAAATCCATGACCAAATAGACATGTTTCAGAGATGTATTGATTGGCAAATCCACGACCCCTGATGATGTTGTTCCAACTGTCGTTGGCGCTACCGTGATAGCCAAATAAAGTACCAAACTGTTTAGCCAGACGATCATACTCTGCATTCTTCTCCTTCACAGTTGGATCATAGTTGAATCGGAACACCTTTGAAGGTAGTTGCGATGTCTTTAAATGTTCAAGCAGGTCTTCAAGATAGAGTGTCTCTCTTTCAAACTTTGAGTTTGGTTAGTTAGTGATGGCTCAGTCAATGATTGAGTGAGTGGATACACTCCCTCCTTACCTCTTTATAATCGATAAGCTTGACGGTGAAGTCGTTGTTGTTGTTATTTACAATAAAGTCCAGCAACTTTAATGACTCAGTTGGTAGTTGATACAATGATTCTGTTCAATCAAAGGACATACGTCAGTATATCATATCCATAGTCTAGGCCTAGACCGACTCAGTACTACTACTTACCTTTAGTTGTTAGTAGTGAAAGTGGAGGCAATGTATTGAGTGATTCAAGTATGTTATCAAACTGCTTTGAACCTGTTGGAGACTTGAATGCCGATGGGAATGGTTCACATACTGAGAACCTTCTGGATGATGTAGCCGATGAATAGAACAATGATACCAACAGATCACATTCCAATCTCTGTCCATTGATCTTAGTCAATAGTTCATCCACAATAACATTGGTACTCCTACTATCTGTGTTCATCTCCTACTATATATATACAACTACTACTTAATACATGTACTATTACATTACATCAATGAATGGAGATGTGTGAGAGATGAGGCGATGTGATTGGGTGATGCCTCGTCATCCACACCTTGTAGACATGTTGTTGAAAAGGGTGAAGGGACTTCTCCTCGCGCGAGGTAGGGTTCATTCTCGAATGGGTATTCATTCTCAACAATCAACCATTCAATCAAATAGAGTATATTACATGTATAACAAATAGTTAGATAATTGATACATGTCATCACATACATTCGATGAAGAGATTGAAGATGCAATCAATGATGTCTCATTTGGTGTAGAATCAGTGTCCGTTCTAAAGGATCATCCACAATCATCGTTCAGTAGTGGTATAGTAGTACTAGATGTAAAGTGTAAAGAGAAGTATACTATACTTGTAAAGATGTCAATGAATGATGGATACTCTGTATGTAAAGTACTCAATGCTAAAGGCCAAAGCAATGAGTGTATCACTGACAGATATCTCTGATTGATTGATTGGTTGGTTGACCAAAAGGTTATTGAACATAGTGAACCTAATAGAATGACATCAAGGGATGAAGATGAGGGTCCAGCGCCACCATTCTTTGATGCCTTGCCAAACCTGCTAATGCGCTACAGTGACATGTACCAAACAGAGTTCCAGAATCAATTGTTCCAGAGACTGACATCACTGGCATCCAAGTAAAGTGGATGCCATTCATCAACAGAGGTAGTTCCAGTTGTTACCAATCAATCAATTGACCAACCAACCAACCAATCAGTCAACCAATCAGTCAATTAATCAATCAATCAATCAATCAAAGGTATTAATATTACCATGATGTGATGTTACACGAAGTTGTATCTGTTTGGATTTTTCAATGAAGACGTTGTAATGAATGACTGGTCATTCTACCAATACAAATTCAATCATGCCGCGGCCTTCAAAGAGAGCCCGACCCCTCAATCTAGAAGAACCCAAGGAAAAGAATAGGCCCGGTTGGGCACCCAAAATAGTAACATTTAATTGCAAAACAAGTCTCTCTCTTGTGCCACGATACACCACTTCATAAAGACCACCACACGCCACACATGGCAAGATCCAACCAACAAACAAACGAATATGATAATTCGTCATCTCAGTCCGTTCCAATGTCATATTATGATGACCTTACATTACACACTTGCAAGAGTGAGTGATAGTGACCCCCGTTGTGTGGTCGCAGTTACGAAACACACACACTCAACACACTCTAATCATATCGTGAAAGCTTTGACATTACGTGAATTATGTCGCGAGACTGAATGAATGGCATTCAGAAGAAGAGGGGGTCGGAATAGCCCGCACTTGAAGCGCCAAGCCCCAAAAGATGTGTGATAGGGAGATCGTTTGGACGACCTTGACGGACAATCACATACTTTATCTTGTCCTAATAAGTATTAGTATTCCATTCATTTACCTACCTTGTATACAAAGATACATAACATTATTTATTATTTATTATACTATAAGATTAGATTGATCAATCAAACAATCAATAATCAAATGAATAACAACGAGATTAGAGGACAGATATCTGGAATGACATTGGCAGGAGAACTTGGGATGCCTCAATTCACACCAATGCCAGAGTGTCAATACAATCATGTAGTGTTTGTACTACATGGTATTGGAAAGCATGATGAGAGTACAAGTTATTACTCAAACGTGGAAAAGATGAGCAAGAAGTTCGATGGTCTAAATCCTTGCTTTGACAACAAAGTAAAGTTCATCGCCATTGAATGGCATGAGGATCTACACAAAAAGTTGGAAGAGTATGTACTTTACCCAAGTCCACCAACCCATGGGTTGTGATCCAGCCGACACTGACACGACAGACATCAACCCAAAATGTTTAACAGGAGTCAATTGGAATCAGTTAGACCTGGCGGAGTACCTTCTCTGCGTAACTTTGTAAAAGATAACTTTATGGACTTGTTGTTGTGGGCATCACCATTCTATTCATCATTCTTATACACATTGGTAACATGCAAGTTCAATCAAGCATATGTTACATTCATGGATCACTATCCCAATTTCAAGGGCAAGATATCCATCTTGGCACACTCATTGGGCAGTGTCATAATCTACGACATACTTTGCAATCACATGCGTGAGAATCAATGGGCCAAGACAGACTCTGGAAACATCTCATTATGGATGAAGATGAAGGATATGAAAGAGAGTATGTTCTGTTCAATCAATCATTCAACCAATCAATCAATCATACTAATCAATCATTCTATTCAATGAATGTAGGATGTAGAGATGAAAAGATGAAACATATTGAATGGAAGGACCTTTACTTTGACGTTTATAACTTATACCTTATTGGTTCACCATTGGCAATGATGCTTGGTGTCCGTGGATACAGCGATGGAATACCAATCCCCAATTGCATAAATATTTGGAATATATATAATGAACATGATCCAGTTGTAAGTGATCACTTGGAGCGGACAACATGGTATGAGCATAAACTAACATGCACTCATTCATTCAGGCATACTTAATTGAGCCATTGATAGATAAACGATTCACTGAACAACCAGTACAACCATTACCAAGGGTTAGCAAGAGGAGGAGACATAGAAAGAACAAAGAGTTACGTGCACAAAATAGTGGTGGCGAGCTGAGGCCATCATTGTCAACGCCAGAGCTCCGCGGCTTGTCCGCACCGGCAGTACCAGGCTCAGAGAGTAACTCCAACTCATCAGAGTCGAGCGAGGATGACAGTAGCGAAACGATTACCATCCAGACTGGCGTCAACACTCCAGAGTTGACAATGATGGAGGAGGGATCGTCCCATCAAGCGTCACTATATCTACAACGTACCAAAAGATTGAACATCTCACTATTTGCCGGCATACGTTATGACTACCGATTCAAGCCCAAAGGAATACGAACGTTGACAGAGATAAGCTCCATCCTATCTGCACACTCATCCTACTGGCTCTCGAAGCACATTCTCAACTTTATTGGCATCAACCTGCAACTGGATCCTTCAGAATTGCACAAACCAAACGAATGATCATTTTGTTTGAAAGGATGTGATGAATGAACGAACGAATCGAATAAATAGATGTAGTAATATATATAACAAAGAATATTATTGTTGTAAATGATTGATTTTTTTCCAGAAGTATCCAGAATAGTCTACTCAAACACTGCCCCTCTCGAGGTATGGGGTGGGATGTCCCTAGACCCTCAGGCCTTTTCTTTTGGGATGCGCGATGGTGATGAACAACATTATGGTGCTAAACCGAGGCATTTATGGACTAGTCCTCACATCTGGGTCTAAAGATTTCCGAATTTTTCGAGACGTGACGACGGAATGGATGACCTTGTTGGAACTCTCATACCAGGTGTTCCATGCGGTCATCATCACATTTACTTTGAATGGAACGTGGACCTGTTGAGTGTGTGTATGAAGTAGTTCAAACCAAAATCAATTGAATGAATGATTCGTGTGTAGCACCCTCTGATTCACACCCCCTCCCACTGTTTGATCATTACAAACACTACTCTCTATCCACACTCATCACCTGATAATAATAAAGGGCGCTGACCTTCCACCCACACACTCCATCCATTCGTCTAATCATTATAATACACCACACGCACACATACATACACAGGTATATACTTATTATACATATACATACAATTATATATATATTTACGCGACACTGTTGTTTGCAGCAACACAAACAACAACTACAATTACAAACAACAGCTAGGAAGACTAGACTCACACCATTTCATTGTAATCAAGTCAAGTCAAGTTCATCACAACAGTCAACATACTGAACACATTGCATAGTTGTTTGTTCAACAACGAATACATATCACATTCAACATAGCGCGACAAAGACAGATCAGATCAATCAATCATTCAATACTCTTCTGGCATTAACACCAATTTGAACTTTGAAGATCTTGTGTGTAATGTAAGTTAATATTACATTTAACAATCACTACATACCTAAAGGAGGCGACCTAATTAACTCAATCACTCACGTGACCATACAAACAACAGACCACAAATTCAATCCAATCACACAACATTCGTCTTGTGATCAATCAATCACACAATTATATTTCTTTCATTCAAAACGAAAATATCTCAATCTTGAAGCTTATACTCAAGACTTGGACAATCAACCAGGATACCAATCAATCAATCAATCAAACTTGGAACACGCATATATATTCTAATCAATCATTAAGCGCGCACACCTATCACTATCCACCATCACCATCATCACCACCATCACAATCAAACATATATAATATATAATAATAATATAAATGACAATGATAGAGGACCATCAACCACAATACAAACATTACTATTGGGGCATTCCAGACTCCCCAATAGACTGGTGCGAACTAAACTACGATATATCCCCATTCATCTGCGAGTTCTACAACACAATATCCAGCTTTGGAATCACACTGTTTGCAATCTATGGCGCCCTACTGCTTCTCTTCCCACTCGGCTCCAATCTGTTGCCACACCAGATACGCATGGGCAACCTAAAGGCCACGCGCAACAAGGCCTTGGTGGCCTTTGCCGCCCTGTCGACGGTGGGCATTGGCTCGGCCTTCTACCACGCCACCCTACTCTACAAGCATCAGCTGTTTGACGAGTTCCCCATGGTCATCTCAGTGTGCTGCTTCCTGTACTGCCTGTTCACCATTGACCCCGTGAGCAAGGCCGACTCCAAGTACTACAAGCTGTTCCGCTTCCTGCTGCCCTACCTGCTGGCCATCTACTTTGTCGTGGTGGCATCGACCATCTACGTCATCCGCAACATACCCACAATCCTGCAGGCGTCGTTTGGCATACTTGTTGTAACGCTCGTGGCAATCAGCGCCATCATCTGTCGCAGCATCCCCGTGCCACTCAAGCAATGCAACCCCAAGAAGCTGCTGCTGTTCGCAGCCACATCAATGGGCACTGCCTATATCTGCTGGCTGATTGAGCGCAAGCTGTGCCAAGATGGCTACGTCATCCCAGGCCTGCAGCTGCACGCCATCTGGCACATACTCACTGGTTTGGCTGGCTTCTACTGGATGCAGTTCTATCTGTGTCTGTCAATGGAGAAGAACGGCTACAAGACATCAATCCATTACAATTGGTTAGGTGTTGGTGATGTCCGAGGATTCATCAAGACGTAAATTGATTGATCGATCGATTGATTGATCAAAGAGCGCGCATAAATAAAATAGATCCTGAACCATAAAGTATATTGTCCACATGTGTTATTGTTATTGTTCTTGTTGTTCTTGTTCTTGTTGTTCTGTTGCCGTTGTTGTTGTTGTGTCTGGTCCGCCACTTGATGTTTCATTGATTCCATTGTCATTGTTGTTATCGTTGTTAATGTCATTGTCATTGCCAGTGATGTTTGATGATGGTAAAGGTGATTGAGTTGGTTGGAAAGACTTGGAAAGTTGTGATGATGAAGATGATGAAGCCACAGATGATGAAGTTGTTGTTGTTGTTGTTATCGGATGCGGTACCATGAATGGTCTTTCCCTGAACTCAATGTCTCGTTCAAAGCTCTTTGATAGTGATAAGTCGGCACAGAGTGAGCTGAGCCTCAGATGTGTCTTTCGGTGGTTTGCTGTTGGTGTATGTACTCGTGTTGCTTGTTGTTGTTGTTGTGGTGAAGGTTGTTGAGTGGTATCTACAGAGGTGGAGGTTGTTGGTGGCGAAGCAAGTAACATGTTCGAGGGTGAGTCCAGACTGGAACTGGAGCTGGCCGGTGACGCGGGTGACGATACATTGGCCACCTTTGGTGATCCTTGAATCGTTGTCATTGTGGTCGTTGTTGTCGTCGTAGTCGTTGTCGTTTCTTTCACCTCCATCATTGCAGGAGGAGATTGTATGTCGGAGGAAGGTGATGATGATGAAATTGATGATGAGGAAGGTGATGATGTTGTCGTCATCAATGTATCGGTCGTGTTTGATTGGTTATCCAGTGTAAGATCTTTTAGATTATCATCAAGTGTTCTGTTACTACTACTACTGCTGCTACTGCTGCTGCTACTACTGTTGACGTTGATTGTATTATTGTTGTTGTTGTTGTCAGCTGATGACGATGGTGATTGAGATGATGCAGAGATGGAGGCCGAGGCATCCTCCACAACAGAGTCTTCCTCGTCCTGAGGAAAGGAGAGATTGAGAGAATGTCTGCGATTAGACGCAGACTTGTTCACGGTCAGTGATGAGCCAGACTTTGGCGTCATTGACGGTGATTGATTGAGTGTGTTTGGCTGATCCAATGCATTTGTCTGTATAGTTAATTCATGAGTGACGATACGCGGGGAGAATGTCACGCCCAACTCACTGCGTCTCCTCTCCAATAACATTGCTTGTATCTGTTGTTTGTTGAACATTGTTCCAACAATCTAGACATCGAATGAATGAATGTGAGTACTTTACTTTGATTGAATGATTGAGCTGCATCATGTCATAAACATACGTTGACTTTGATGTTGATGGACTCTTTGTGAACTATCTGAGGGAAGTCATTGAATGAGAGTGGGTCGATCATGACTTTCTCGTCGAGTTGGAAGATGAAGCTGGTTTGATTCATATTGAACTCTTCGGACAGTCGCTTCTTTGTGGACTGCACAGTGTCCCCGCATGACACACGTATCGAGTGTTTAAAGTCGTCGGGGAACTGCAAGTGCAGCATAAGTGATTGATGTATATTCGATTCTTGGTCATAACTTATAATATTTATCTTGTTTATACTGCTACTACTATTATTATTGTTGTTGTTTGTTGTTATGTCATTGTTATTATTTGTAGTATTACTTGAAGCTGTTGCCTTGAAGTGATCGGATATATGATTCAAAGATAATATCCTCAATGAAGAGAACTTGGTCAAGGTCTCCTTGTGTGACATCGATTGGTGTTGATGTCAATGTGTATATCTATATCTATATATATTATAAATAGTATGTGTGTATGTATGTATGTTGTTGTCTATCAATCAATCAATCGGTATGTTTATGTTATATCTATTCTATTCTATTCTATAAGTAATTATCATCAAACAATCAAACAAACTAACTAACTCCCCACCTGACTGATTGATAATGATTGACAATGAATGAGTGAGGTTTGCATTGGGGTGGGTCCACCTCACAATCTCACTCCCTCACTCCTTCCCTGCTGATTAAATTTAATTTGCAACAACAACAACATGAATGTGCTCAAGTTGAGTAGATTCAATGACCAATCACCTGATCGACAAAGATAATAATCACGTGACAGTTCATACAATGGGCAAAGAATCTGTTCAAACTTGATGAATTTACAACGCAGTTTCAAAATACTATTAAATATATTTATTCTTTAACTATTCTTCATTTTTACAGATTATGACCTAGTTCATTGTTGGTCTTTAATAATACAATGACTTTAGTCATCTTCATTCTTTGTTAAACATTCTTCAAAGATAGATAAGAGATAATTGATAACATAAATACATACTTTGTTTGTTGTGATAGTCCCATAAATATTGAAATTTTGATAATGTGTTGAGGATCATTGACCAACTTTCAAACGCAACACAATCAAATATTACTTTACTAAACATACACATACACTCAAACAGATATATATATATTATACATACAGCACAGCAGCAGGAACAATGATAGACGTTGAAGTAGACTTGGTATCATTAAAGTTGACATTTGATTTCGAACCATATGTAGTTGATAAGAATGAACAGATACCCGACGATGATAATAATAAAGGTATTTAATATTGTTTCACCTCAAAGTACTAGTCACATCATATGAATGATTGAATGAATGAATGAATGGATGGCACGCAGTAGCATCAGTAACAGGTGATGATAGTTAGTCAATTCGATCGATCGATAGATGATACACAATGATATACACGCACACAACAACCAACTCTACTCACTCAATAAACAGTCTTCTTCTTGTGGACATTGAGATGTGAAGCAGCTTGTTGTCGGTCGTCATTGTTAATATTGTTGTTGTTGTTATTGGTGCTACTGCCATCCACTTGACGATGATGATGATGATGGTGATGTAATATTAGCAATAAAGTATATTAATACACTCTTACAACAATCAATCTTGACTGGACACCAACAGACTCCTCAGATATATGCCGTTTCTTTATGAAGGGCAACTGCACAAAGGGTCACGATTGCCCTTATAAACATTCAAAGACAGAACATGCAGTGGTCTGCAAGCATTGGTTGCGAGGACTGTGCAAGAAAGGCGAACTATGCGAGTTCCTTCACGAGTATGATCTCGCAAAGATGCCCGAGTGTTACTTCTTCTCCAAGTTTGGTGAGTGCAGTAATCAAGAATGCATGTACCTTCACTTGAACCCAGAGGAGAAGGTCGTCGAGTGTCCTTGGTACGCGAGAGGATTCTGCAAGCACGGCCCCAAGTGCCGCCACAAGCACATGAAGAAACTACTATGTGAGAACTACTATCTTGGCTTCTGTCCAGAGGGTCCAAAGTGCAAGTATGGACATCCCAAGTTCGAACTGCCCAAGGAGGAATCAGAATACCGCCAGCAGGACATTGAGAAGCAGCAGCAGTCACAACTTCAATCACAGACACAAAACCAGCACATACTCCACCAGATCAAGGGCTCAGCGACACCGACCCCGACGTCCAACGGCTCGACACCCATGAATACCAGCACGGACAGTCTACCGCCAGGCGCTGGTGGCGCCAACAGTGGAGCGGCTGGAGCGTTTGTTGATAAGAGGAACAATAACCAGATGAACAAGCCATATAACAAGGTGCCAATATGTCATGCATGTGGAGTGTCTGGTCACAAGTCAAACGCATGTCCAAACAACCCCAATCCGCCTCCAAGTCTAGACACCGTTACATGCTACAAGTGCTTCCAAACTGGTCATTATGCCAACAAGGTATTTACATCGACTGGATCATCATAATCATCATCATTGTATTGACATCTATATCCTCACTCACTCATTCATACAATTTAGTGTACCAATAAGAGGACCGAGCCACCTCCTGGTTTCAATCTGCCTCCACATCCACATACTACCAACAACAATCAACAACAGAATCAATTCCAAGGACAAGGACAGGGACAACAAGGTCAAGGTCATCAACAATATCAACAACAATCTTATCAACAACACCAAGGACAGTTCCAACAGCAACAAGCCTACCAACAACAACAATATCAGCATTGATTGTAATGTAAATATATAAGAATATACATGTTATTAAATTATTGGTTGGTTACACGACTTGATTCAATCAATCAATTAATCAAGACACCATATCATATTGTTTGTGTTGTGTATATACAGTGTTTTATTGGCATTACCAGTAGCTAACCAATTCATTCCTTTAGCCAATCACTCTGACTAACTTATCTCTGGAATGGGAGCTGCTGGCCACGCTGCTCTGGTGCACACTGCTGCTGCTGGCCACACTGTTGCTGTTGGCCACACTCCTGCTGGCCGCACTCCTGCTGGTTTGCTTGTTGGCCAGACAGGTCACCCTTCTTCAAGTCGTACCTCTGGTGTTGGTTGGCATTCTCATAGGTAGCATGCTCCGAAGTCATCTCTGGAATTCCAAGGAATCCTCCTACTTTGTCTGATTACATTTTAACAAACAATCATTTATATAAATAAATTATCCATATTCAACGTGTTATAACTATACTTACCAGTTGCTCCCCTGACAGCAGTTACAGCCTCCTTTGCCTTGTTCAATCCAGCGTTTTGAGAGTTCATTCTTTCTTATTATTTAATTAAAAGGTTTATATATATATATATTTATCTTATTCTTTGTTTATCAATGATATTCTTTTTGACTACTACTATATTTCTATTTATTAATGTTAGGGTTGTTGACAAGTCCTGTGTCCTTCATTCAATCTCTCCCCAAAAGGGTCCAGATTGTCACACCCAGGTTGTCGGCGTTATCCCAAGTAGTAGGTGAACATACACACCACACTACCAGATTCAATTTCAGTCCAGATGGGACAATTGTTAGGTCTATAGAAGTTGTTTTGTTTACCATATAAGGTATACAGATGATGGTACTATCCTCAAAGAATGAATTAATGAATGACTCACTTACTACCTCTACCTTACACACTCTCAATTCAATTTGTTGTTATAGTCCCAAAGTTCTATGTATGTATTATTCCCAATCTAATCATTTATCAGGTTCACCAATGAATCTGGACGATGATGGGTTGTCACTATCCTTTTCAGTATCCTGTGTTGTATCTGTGTCTGTTCCTGGTATTGGGTCAATAGTGGATGTTCCCTCAGTTGGTGCAGCCATAGTTGTCTCTGTCAGACCAGTCGATCCGGTCAATGACAAAGAGGTGGTTGAGGATGTTCTTGCTCCCCTAGTATAGTTATCTTGTGATTCTATCGAAGAGGATAATGTAGTTGTTGTCGATATAGTTGATGATATAGTTGTAGAAGTTGTAGTTGTTGTAGTGGCGGACTCTTCATCCTCATTTCCTTTTACATCTTTGTCTTTTGGACTTTCATCTACTACTTCTTCATCTTCATCATCAAAGTTGGCTGAACCATTCATACTGACTTTGCGTTCAGGTCTCGATGTTGATGAATTGCCATGTGTTTGTAGAGATGGTGATAGAATGAGTAGCATAGTGATAATCCATCCAATCTCCAGACTTCTTATCAGCATATTGAATCCAATAACAGTGTTGGCAGACCACATTGGTCTAGGATCAAGCAATAACCAAAGTGTGGCACCAATTGATAACAAACTGATTATAATAGCTGCTATTGACATCCTCATCACTCTCTTCACCTTTAAATGTGTAACCTCATTGAACACTCCACAAGACTTGTCGGCCAATACCTTGTACTTGTTCCAAATCATTCTTCCAAATATTGCAAAGCCAATCCTTTAAACAAGTTATAGAGTTAGTAAGAACATTCAGGTTGAACGATTAGATTACTACTTACGCTCCACATGCAATATAGACACATATTATAGAGTTGATGATATACATTCTAATGTAGAGGCAACTACCTATAATCATTAGAACAAAGAGTAATACTTGTAATCCAATCATAACTTTGCCAAGTATTGGAAATACTCTTTCCACTCTTTTACCAAAGTTGATTTGATATATAATATGTATCCAAACATAGAATGTATTCAGGAAACAACATATAAGGAATACTATTGGTATTACCAACAATATTTGCATTGCCAAATAACTCTTGACTTCTACAATTCCACAAGTTGCTCTTCCTATTCGAACTAAAATAATATGGTTAGTGAATCCAAATATTAGTAATATTTGATTGATTGATTGAAGGACTTACTTATACATGTAACTATAATTATTATATGTGTAACTAAACTCCATCTGTGATCCCCTCTAATTGATATTAAACCTCGTACTCTGTATATGCATACTATCAGAGGGACTGCGAACATAACAATGAATGTCACTTGTGCGGCATGACATCCAAAGATATTGCATCCTGTTGTATGAAATGTAGGATCACAATAACAATGTTCTTCTTTTCCAATATCACTCATATTTAATTATTTGAATGATTTGATCAATTATTTGTATTAAAAATAATAAATAAATAAATAAATAATGTAAATTGTTGTTTACTAATTTTAAGTATAATATTAATATATATAAGTGTCTCTTCACTATAATGGCCTCATCGACATATTTGGTAAGTAATGTTACTAATTAAATAATAATAAATAGGTAATATAATATTTGATTGATTGATTGTAATAACTAAAAGACAATAGTTGACCAATGTACAATTGAGTGTCTGGTTGTAATTGCAAGGAGATGGACATAAACAAGAATGATTTAAATACCGAGTATAAGCGTCTACTGGACAATTTACATTCTTGAATTAAAAGAACTAATGTTCATTTGAAGGTCCAACTGACATCACTCTGTTGAGGACTCCCACCCGAGTGTGTGAAAACAGGGTTATAAATGGAAATCAATGTTCTTCTCGATCAATCAATATTGGTTGTCAATTAGATTTTGTTGGGGTCTGGGTCATCTTAGGGGTGAGAGGACAATGAACATAGGTTGGGGTAATCTGGCAATGGATTGAGTCCGGATGGGGGGTGAGTCTAGGCAAGCCCAGGCCTCAGGTCCATATATCAAACTTGTGCTAAAGAGTAAGTCAAATTCTTGAATGACGGTGTCGTTAGTTTGTCCTTCTTTTCATCAATCGTTTTCCAAATTAGGTTATAGAATCTAACTATTAATTATTTATTAAGAATATATATTCTTTGAGTAAATATTTAATTATTATCTCTTTGTAGTTAATATATGTTCTAAATGAATGATGATTGAATGTCTTGAGCATGAGATCACTTTGACATAATCTATGCTTGTCGTTTTTTCAGATCAAGAAAGAGTGCCCTGGGCATGAACCGAAAGGGCAATGATTAAGTACTTTATCTTATTTCTTAAAAAGATTGACCATATTATATGTATACAACAGGTCAACGATGTTGAGATCAGTATACACTCACTTGGTAACAAGTGGCAGGTTGCTACAGCAACAACATCAATGTCTTCGTAAGACTTCACTTTTGGCAATCAATCATACATCTTCATCTTCATCATCATCTTCATTGCGCAGTCGATCAAGTATAAACAACTTCACATCAACAACACATCAACCCCAACAACATTATAGCACATCAACAACATCACAACAACAACAACAACATGATATTGGTATCAAAGTAGAGCGATCACATACATGTGGACAACTATCGATCATTGATGTGGACAAGAGAGTTGTACTATATGGTTGGGTGTCATCACTGAGAAGACATGGCGAGTTTGTGTTCATCGTCATCAGGGATGCACATGGCACCACACAGGCATTCTGCCCCATTGGCCCAGACTCTACACTTCAGTTCACATCCAATGTGCCAGACATGCAGATTCAATCAATCGATGAGATCAAGTCATTGCGTCTCGAGAGCGTCGTACGCATTGAGGGCGTGGTCAGCGCGCGACCCGACAACATGAGGAACAAGAACATGGCCACAGGTGACATCGAGATCAATGTGGACCGCGTGTGTCTGCTCAACGCCTGCAAGGAGTTGCCATTCACCATCGAGCACGACGCCGAGAAGGTGACCGAGGAGGTGCGTCTCAAGTACAGATACGTCGATCTGCGTCGTCCCAACGTCCAGTCAAACATCCGTCTGCGCTCCAAGGTGGCAATGGCCGCGCGTCAATTCCTCGTCTCGCAACAGTTTGTCGAGGTGGAGACGCCCACCCTGTTCCGACCCACGCCTGAGGGTGCCCGCGAGTACCTCGTGCCCACTCGCATGAAGGGTCAGTTCTACAGTCTGCCCCAGTCGCCACAGCAGTACAAACAGCTGCTGATGGTTGGTGGTCTTGATCGCTACTTCCAATTAGCGCGATGCTACCGGGATGAGGACTTGCGCGCGGACCGTCAGCCCGAGTTCACTCAGATCGATATGGAGATGTCGTTCATCAACTGTGAGATGGTCTATAAGATCATCGAGGGGCTGCTCAAGGCTATGTGGAAGGAGGCTGGCTACGACATCCCGACGCCATTCCCTCACCTCACATACAAGCATGTGTTGTCCACGTATGGAGTGGATAAACCAGACACTAGATATGGATTGGAATTGATTGACATCACTGATGTGTTCTCAAAGGATACTGGCATTGGCATATTCAACAAAATACTGAACCAGCCTCCAAGAAGCACGTTTGAGGAGGCTCAACATGTGATCAAATGTATAAAGTTACCCAAGGTCCTCACTGGCTTCTCATCAAAAGATGTCGATCACATCCAAAATGAAGCAAAGGTCATCGTTCCAGACTCACCAGTAAGTAGATTGATTGATTGATTGATTGGAATGATTCCAACACTTCACTCACACTCACTCAATCTAACATAGGGCCTGATTACGATCAGAGTTGGATCAAAGGAGTGGAAGTCAATGATTAGCAAGTCAATCAGTGAGAGTGAGAGGGAGACCCTGACGAGGAGATTGGAGCTGGAGGAGAATGATTTGGTGTTGGTGGCTGCTGGTCCAAGATGTGTGGTCGAGCCATTGTTGGGCAAGGTCCGCATACTTAGTGCGACAATGATGAAGGAGCGCGGCCTGTTGACGATCGATCCAAAACAGTTCAACTTCCTCTGGGTCGTGGACTTCCCCCTGTTCACGCCATCCGACTACCTAGACGACAATTCCCCGCTGCAATCCACTCATCATCCATTCACGGCGCCACACCCCGACGACATGTCCACACTGCTCAAGGGCGAGAAGCCCTCGGACTTTGAAAACATCCGCGGTCTGCACTATGACATCGTGCTGAATGGTGTCGAGCTGGGCGGTGGCTCCATCCGAATCCACAACAACGAGACACAGATGCGCGTGTTGGAAAAGGTGCTCAAGTTGGAGCCACATCTCGTGCATCGCTTCGATCATCTCCTGTCCGCGCTGTCCATGGGCTGTCCGCCGCACGGCGGTATCGCACTTGGATTCGACCGACTCATGTCACTCCTAGTTGGCTCGCCCTCCATCCGTGACGTTATCGCATTCCCCAAGACATCAGGTGGTCGTGAACTAATGACCAGTTCACCATCAAACGTGACCACACAAGAGTTGACCGAGCTTGGATTGAAGGAATTGTGATTGTGAGAGTGAGTGTGGTGTGGACCTCTAGGTCCAAAGTTTATGATTGATTGATTGATTGATTGATCAATCATTCCAGGTGTCTGTCGGTCAATACCGCCATTGTCAATAATGGAGGTGCACTCAATCAACTCAACTACGCAAGACTCCCAGGATGATCACGGTCCACACAAGGTCACGCAAAATATCCCCAAAAGTATTTAAATTAAATCAAAAAAACAAAGTTTGTGTGTGTGAATGAATGAATGAACCACCTTGGCAAGAGAGATACTTTGTTAGAGTTGAGTGGAGTGGTGGTGTGAGTGAGAGTGCAGTTGATTGATGCCTGCTAGTGTCTGTCTCTGAGAATAAGAATAATCAATACATTTTTCCATTGTTCACATCCCTATTACTATCTCTCTCTCTCTCTCTCTGAACGTGTACCAGTATAACTATCTGTTCCTGAGAGTATATTTGATACTTTTATTTATCATTCATAATATACATAACATAGTGCAAGCAGGTATATAACACAGTTAGATAGCAGCAAACACATTCAAAGATGGTATGATTGATTGATTGAGATTGATTGAATATGCATAAAGAGAGAAGACTTACACAATGTTATGTTACGCACTATATATTAGAACTTCTTCTCATCATTCACCAACCCGTGCTCTATTGAGTTCGAGTTGGATAACTGCCAGAACAGAAAGACTATACAGGTGACATCTGAGAAGTCAAAGACTGAGAAGCTCTTTGTATTTGTTGGAAATGAACCAGTGTCGGGAAAGGTACACATCAACCTCAAGGACAAGTCAAAGAAGCTCCAACATCAGGGTATCAAGGTTGAGTTTGTCGGTCAGATTGGTATGTCATGCAACTCACCAACATCACAATAACATTGACTAACGCCAATGCTCCCCTATTCCATCAATATTATAGAACTGTTCTATGACAGAGGTAACCATTATGAGTTCACATCGTTGGTCCGTGAGTTGGCACCAGCTGGAGAGCTCGTAGAGAACAAGACATTCACGTTTGACTTTATGAACGTCGAGAAGCAATATGAATCGTACAACGGCACCAACGCACGCCTTAGATATATGGTCCGTCTGAGCATCGCCAGAAACTATGCTCCAAACCTCACCAAGGAGAACGACATCTGGGTGATCAACTTCAACAAGCCACCCGAGGTCAACAGCAATATCAAGATGGAGGTCGGCATTGAGGACTGTCTCCACATCGAGTTCGAATACAACAAGTCCAAGTACCATCTCAAGGACGTCATCATCGGCAAGATCTACTTCCTGCTGGTCAGGATCAAGATCAAGTACATGGAGATCGCTCTTATCAAGCGTGAACAGACTGGATCAGGTCCCAACATCTTCAACGAGAATGAGACATTAACTAAATTYCGAAATCATGGATGGTGCACCAGTCAGAGGTAAGTCTTTTGATTGTGTCTGGCGATCCAGGATTGATCAATCTAACCAACCTCTTTAATCATTCCAAACAGGTGAATCAATCCCCGTTAGACTATTCCTCTCTGTATTCGACCTGACTCCAACCTACAGAACCATTCACAACAAGTTCTCTGTAAAATATTTCTTGAACCTTGCTCTTGTGGACGAAGACGACAAGAAGTATGTAGCGGAATCAATCAATCAATCAATCATGTTCCAACCATTTGGGACTAACCATTCAATCAATCAATCAATCAACCAAATAGGTACTTTAAACAGCAGGAAATCACACTCTGGAGACGCGGAGTATCGAAACCACTGCAAACAAACAACAACCAATCAAAGATTGAGGCTCCACCCACGCAGGAGGTGCCAGAACCAGAGACCTCTGGCGATGAAAGCGATTAGAAAGCGATTGCAAGGGGCATCCGCATTGTACAGCTGACGTCCCAGACAACCCTATATAACATAACAACCCATCCCCTCTGTCCAGGCTCATCCAAACAATAACAACCAACATTGCATATGAACACACTAACTATCTAGATAGACAACAACACCTTGACTTGCTATTCCATTGCTTTACTTTATTTTCTTTATGTTGTTACTCTACTGATTGACTCTGTTTGATGCCAGTGTCTTGAGGAAAGTGGTACGCAGATCAAACTCTGCAAAGATACTCCTGACCAACAGTTCCAACTCCTTGTTGGACAACCTCTTCAACTGTTTCTTGTTGTACATGGCCACTATCTCTGCCAGTGTCACATCCAACACCTTGTTGAGTTGCCAGAACTTCTTCCAACTGTGTACCAACTTCACACGGTCCTTGGCCAAATCCTTAATCCCCATGGAGACAGTTTGTTTGTTAGTTTGTGATTGGGATTGTTCCATGATTGAATGGCAGTACATACCTCTGATTCACCTTGATAGAGGAAAAGTTGTTCAAAGGAGAGGAATAATGAACAGAGTTGGCTAAGTCTGGATGTCTCTAAAGAGGATATATTCTCCAGCTTCAAGACTAGCTCAATGAAGGTTGATAGGATTCGGTCCACAAAGTGTGCGATCAGGCCAAAGTAGTCCTCGCGTGGAAACACCAACTTGTGATGATTGATTGGATACATTAGTGATTGATCAAAGTTGCTGCTGTACCTTGCACGAATACCTACCTTCCATGTTGATGAAAGCTTTGTTATTTCATTGACCATTCGTTTAAAGTTCAACTCTGTGTTGCTCATTACAGAGTCCTCTTTGGTGTTGTCCAATTCATTGCACTGATCGTAGTATGCCAGGATACTGGCCATCTGGTCGCCGAGATACTTCTTAAAGAACTCTTTGGAATGTGTAGTGAACAATGGTGCGTAGTCTACGAATGTGAATAATGTCTTGTTGTCCTGTTGTTGTACTCTGTTTCCAAGTTGATTGATTAGTCATTGTCCAGGGAATTGATGTCATACATACCCTAATCGAAGCTCATAGGGAATGAGTAAACATCGCGCCAAGAATAAACAACTGTTATAGTATAGACAGGCCATAAGAGGTACAACAAGCTTGGCCTTGTGATACTTTAAATACATGATCCTGAACAGATCAAATACATCTCTGCATCCTTGGAATATCTTCTTGGAGCTATGTATCGCAGAATTGTGAGTTAGTATGACATGCCTTGGAGTGCCCATGTTGCTGTAGCAGGATGGATAACAAACCAAAGTGGGGACGCCTTGTTTGACTCTGCCAATGCCTTGTCACAGAGTAGGAATAAGCTGTTGACACTCTTGAATATCAGTCTGTTGGGGAAATAGAATAGTTGGAGATTTCCATGATTGAACTCTGATTCACCAATGAATGAATCATCCGAATTGATATAGTCGTACTTGTCCTTTACAATTATCTCTCGGGCACAATACAACAAATGATCCCTCTTCTTCTCTGCAAAGTGTACCYTCAATATCATTGATGTAGTCGCTAAGTACTTGTGTCTCCTTGATCAAACCTGAGTAAAGTAGTTAGTCATCATATCACGTGATTGATTGATTGGTAACATACCAATATCGGCCATGTGTGATTCAAACTCTTTGGTATGCTTTTGGATTGACTGGAACAATGGTAAGTGAGTGGCATCACTTGGTACAAGTGATCTGAGACTACTTTGTTCGATGATTGATTGAGTGTCGCACCATATCTCATCACCAACCTTCTCCATTAGTTCCTTCTCCGATCCAAACAGATGTTTATAAATGAATGTGAACAAGTCCTGCAGGACATGGTATATACTCTCTGAACGATCGATCCATATTGTTAGTCAATCAATCACTCCATCTTTCAATGATGACAATATCACATACCAATTGATACTGATTGTTTGTTGTCCAACAGAGGATCGATTAGGAAGTGCATCTTGTTGCCATTGGTCGTCGTGCCACATTGGAGTGAATGGGTGGACTGGAGCGACACTTTGGTTGCCTTGAGGAATGGTGACACGAGGATGTTGAACAACTGAGCAGACACTGATGTGATGACAGAGTTGAGAAGACCCAGCTTCTTTAGCGACTGTATCAACTCGTGCGAGTTGGTGTTGAGCACCACCTCTGAGCGGTTGATCATCACCGCGTTGGTAAAGTGATCAAGTAGCAATGTCTTGAGATTGTTCTTCCTCTTTTTGAATTGATCGTGCAGCGTTGGGATGATCCTGGGGAATGGATGATTGTTCATCAAGTGCTCGGGCAGATGCTTCTGCGTCGACTCCATCTCGAGCAGCAGCCTGGTGGCCTCCATATAGTTGTGTTGATCGTACGCCAGCGTGTAATGTGAGGAGAGTGAGTGATAGCGCTCAAAGTAGTCCAGCACGCCCAGTGTCTCGTCGATTGATTGCAATCGCTGTTTGAGTTGTTGGTCATAGTTGACGTTCGACTGGACCTTGGCAATGACGCCCTCCACCGGCTGATTGACTGCCTTGATCGTGGCATTCTTTTGCTCGTCCAATGCCAGTACATCATTCCTCAGCGACATGATATCGACGCCAGACGTTCGCTTGAGCTCAGTCTTGACCGTGTTGCTAAGGTGCTTCTTGAGATCGACCAGCACGTCGACCAGTGATGTGAAGTAGACCTCCAACTTTTGCGGGTGATTGAGCAGATCGGTCGGCTCATCTTGCAATGACAGTGATGACGATGATGTAGACACTCTTATCGGTTCATTCTCATTCACCAACTCATACATATACTTTATCGCATCTCCACTCTTTATAAGTTTATTCAAGAATTCATTGTCTTTAGTTCTTACTACACTATCATTGTTGTTACTATTGTTGTTATTATTGTTATTGTTGTTGCTATTGTTGTTGGTGGAAGATATGTTACTGTTGTTGTCGTTGATGCTGCTCTTGTTCTTGTCCGATGACAGCTTGGATCGAGATGATGTCTTTGAAGCCATCACATGTATATATCTTTATATGAATGTACAAGTTGTGCATGTTCAACAACAAGTGAACTTCTCAAAGTGCTGGCTCACTCACTCGATCTCCCACCCTCTATCCCCGGTTGATGACTCACCTGGTATCACCAAAATAAGGTGTACATCAACAATCGAGAGGGTAACGAATAATGTTGACTTGATACCTATGAGGCGTAGTCATTGAGGATCGACTGCATTGGTACTGGCTTCGGCCATGGCGTAGGTGCGCCAGTAGTGATAGACGCGCTCGGTGTTGACGGTGCCGTTCTCGTTGAAGAGGAAGTTGCAGTACTGTTGGGTCCAATCATTCAATCAATCAATCAATCAATCAATCACTTTTCAACAACATGAATGAATAATGACAACTCAGAAAAACACGTAAGGCCAGCTTATTATGATTATTCTTTGCAACAACCCAAAACAAAACCATTCCCGCGCTGTTGTGATTCTTGATGAATTTATTGAGAAATTAATTAAAGTGAAAGGTAGTAACAGGAAGACAAACAACTACCTGGTTTGTGTGTGTAAGGACCCACTAGAATACCCAATCTCACAACAACCCTTACTTCCCATTTAACTGTACCCACACACACACATACACACTATCACCACTCACGTTCATTCATTCTTTCATTCATTCACATACTCGTTCTCATATAATCAGATAGATACAAATACATACATACACATAATATATACATAACATATATCGCAACATAACATTACTTGTACATCTAGGTGTTTTCGTTGTTAATCCGATTGATAGACAGACAGACAGATAATTGAATCAACACCTCTATCCTCATCCTCATCTTTCTTTTACCTTCATTCACACAACATATTATATTTATATTTATATTTATATACATATATTGTTTAATAATAATAATAATAATATTTTATAATAACTATACAATCTAAGCAGTCGTACTCAAACAATGGGTAACCTATTTAGTAGCTGTTGTGATAAGAAACAACATACTCCCTATGATCCCTTCATCTATGATGAAGACTATGAAGAGTATCACAGTCCAAATGGTAAGTCCAACTCGAGACTGAACTGAACTGATTGACAAGTAGTACTAACATCAACATCGACATCTAGTGCTCAACCCTAATCTGATAAACACTTATGATCCACCACCTCCTATACTCATGGATCAATATAGTAGTGGAACCATGAGCAACAGAGATAGTTACACGAGCCATGATATCAGGGACAGTTACTACGAAGATCAACAAATACCTCATAGACAATCGATTGATAATACATACACGATCAGCAACAAATACAGTAATATTGAGAACTACGATGCCAACTCGTACCAACCCTTCTCAGAGACCTTTGATGACAGCAACAACAACAACAGTGATGTACAAGATGATCAAGTTACATTCGAAGCCGAGCATCGTCATCCAAATCTCAACAATGTCACAGAGACTCTAAATCACTCGATCCACAACCATCAACAACAACAAACGCCACAACCATGGCAGACCCAGACCAAACAAAATACAAACAACAACAACAACAATAGCAGCAGCACTCTTAGCACAGGAAGCACTGGAAGTGGCAAGCAGTCATTACAGCACAGTGCTAATGCACAGGACAAGTTCTATCCTCGCTACATGAACTTTACCGAGTCTGTTTACATGGCCCAACCACCCTCCACCGAACTAGGCATCACGGACTCCATCGTAGACTCTATCGTGTTGGGTCTGGACAATAGGCCACCAAAAGAGCAGCACTTTAATGCTCAACATATGCAACAACAGCAGCAGCATAACAATGTATATTCTCCTCAGCAAAGACAACAACAGCAACAGCAGCAACAACAGCAGCACAACAACATTGATTCCAGTATCCTATCAGAGTCGTCCTCGTCGCCAATGACAGATTCGAACTTTGGTTCAAGTTCGATATACTACGATACTCAGAACTCATTCACTAGATAGGATGGATGAGTTTATAACGAGTGTTTGATTGGCGTTCGTTGGGACAATGATGATGGTGGATGCGGTAATTCCGATTGACGACTTTGACAAGACAACCGCAGTCAACAACAACAACGACGATGCCAGTGTTTGGGCTAGTTGTTGTCAACTCAACGAACCAAACCAACCATGTTTAATAATAATATATAAAGATAGGAGTGAGAGGGATAGACTGAACAAGTCCATCTTGTTCGCTTCCCTGGTTTTGTACACAATAACATTAGCCTGTTGGTCGTCGTTTGTATATATAGTTTAAGTTTATTGATATGTGTGTGTTCCTGATCGTTCCAACCATCCACACGTCCCGTCCACTCATCCATTGTCCCATAAACATGTTTGTAATGCTGTGCTGTTGTTGTTGTAATACTGTGTATGCTGTGCCAAGGCCAATAACATAACCATGTGCCATGCCTGGTTGGTACATCATCGCGACCGACCAGTTAGTGAGCCAACATGAGCTTCATCTTGGCAATGGCAAGAGCTGGGTTGAGTCCCTTTGGACAGACTCTAGTGCAGTTGAGAATAGTGTGACATTTGTAAAGCTTGAGGTTGTCAGACGAGATGTTGGCCAGTCTCTCGCGCTGGATCGAGTCACGAGAATCAGAGATCCAACGGAAGGCCTGCAAAAGGACGGCTGGGCCGAGGTAGCCTCCGTCTCCACCCTCACTCCACCAGTAAGATGGACACGAGGTCGAGCAGCATGCACACAAAATACACTCATACAAACCATCGAGCTTGTGTCTGTTCTCCTTTGATTGGAGTATCTATTTGAGTTGGTGGCGGGATGGTAAGTCTTTGATTGGTCAAATGGTGTTCCCTAGTCAACTCAAACATACCTCCTTGCCGTTGTGACGCTGAGCGTTAGCAGCTGGCTCCAACCATGGCTTGACGGACTTGTGTTGTTGATAGAAGTGAGTGAGGTCTGGGACGAGGTCTCTGACGACGTGCATATGTGGAAGTGGGTAGATGGCAATTGAACCACCATCGATAGCGTCTGTTGTCTTCTTGATGCAAGCCAATGTGTTTGATCCAGAGATGTTCATGGCGCAACTATATCATACATTGATTGTGTGAGTTGAGATGTTGTTCTGTCTGTTGTCCGATGATGATGATTATGATGACCCTTACCTTCCACAGATACCCTCACGACATGAACGACGGAAGGTCAAGGTTGGGTCCTGAGTGTTCTTGATGTGGATGAGAGCATCGAGAATCATAGGTCCACACTCCTTGAGGTTCAAGCTGTATGTCTGGATGTATGGCTTCTTCTCAGACTCCTCGCTGTAACGATAGATCTTGAATGAGATCACTAATATATGTATGTTTGTGTATCTTGTATCAGTGATAAAGTCCATCATCTATCTGATCGCTAGTGTAATGTTTGTTATATTACCATTCTTAGTATCGACTGCAGCAGCTTGAGTGGAGACTATAAGTTGTTGTCGGAGGAGGTGTATAATGTGTAAGTAAGTAATGAACATCATTACCAAGCATGTTTATGTCATGTCATCATGTATGTTCATTCATCGGACATTGAATGATTGATTGAATGAATGATTAATATTGATCGATAGATTACAGTTCAAAGCAGAGAATGAAGCAGTGCTATTACGAGACAGCACAGAGCTGAATGATCGTCTGGCAAAGTTTGCGAGCATTGTCTGTGTCTATATAGTTTATATCTAAGTAGTATGTACAGTTAACCCTGATCGCTTGTTAGTTTGAGCATCATCAGCATCATTCCCTTTGAATCACTTGCGAATCACCAACACACACTCAAACTATGTGTAAAAAAACAAATAAACTCAAATTTTGAACTTCAATCATGTTTGTCCAACAAACTAAACAATAGTCTTGAAACTGATGCATCTCAAAAGTATTATCATCTGTTCTTTTATATAGGTACCAACTCCACATATCAATGACTATTATAAATCTTAAGATACATTGAATCAATCAAACACAGAATTAGTATATACACACATAAAAGATGATGATGGGTTCGATGTTAACTAACCAATTTATTTGAATTTTATACCCATTTGAACAAATTAAATCAAAATTATGTGTTTGTTCAACAACAACACAACAAACTTTAGATGAACAGAGGGTCGTGTTTGTTTGTTCCCCCAAGGATTGAGCTCAATCCACGCACACACCATCAATCATTCATTTCATTCAACCTGTCAATCAATCAATCAAAACATTATACAACATATACATACATACAAACAACAAACAACAAATAAAATGGTATCTGTATCAAACCCACAAAAGTTGAACGAGGCTTTGGCCCACTACAGACGTCCAGAGAACGCTTCGGACTGGATCATCGTTGGTTACAGCGGTCCAGCCACCCTCGAGTTTAGACAGGCTGGTAATGGCGGTGCCTCTGCCCTCATCCAGCACTTGCGTGATGATGAGTGTGCCTACGTCTTTGTCAGAGAGGAGTACACCGAGGGCGATGCAGGCTTCAAGGAGGGTGTCATTGGCAACAAGGCCAACACAAAGGATATATTCATTGCCTGGACTGGTCCCAAGGTTGGAATCATCGAGAAGGGCAAGAAGAAGAGTCACGTCGGTGATGCCAAGGTTTTGTTCCAGGTATGTCAACTCAATTCATTCATTCGATCCAACTTCAACAACATATACTAATCATACTTTCACCGATCAATTGAATAGCCATTCCATGCCGAGTTGACTGCCATCAACAGAGCCAACTTCAATGATGTCACTGTCAAGGACAGATCCAACCCACTGTCTGGCTCCCATGTCATTGATTAATAAGATTGAACATAATCAATCATTCAATAAACAGATAATCAATCCTTCATTGGTACCTCCTAATCAATTCAAACAACAACATGAGAGATAGATGGATTGAAAGAGAGAGTTGATGTAGAAGGGGAAATAGTTTATTTGTATTTGGTATTTATAATAGTGAATATGTTAGCAAGCGCATCCTGAACCCTGAGTCTTTGTCTCTTTGTTATTGAAGTCAACTACCACTCCACCTCCTGGAACAACTTCATCGCGAGTCGGGTCAACAGTGGGTGGACGGCTCATAAGATGGCAAATCTGTGTCAATATCGTTTGGAAGGCAGAATCTACATTGCTGGCATCGAGAGCTATCATGATGATCGATTGATTGATTGATTGGTTGGTTAGACAAGCTGGACTCATGTCACATTATACATGATTGATTGAATACATACCAGATGTTTCAATAAATAACAGCTTGTGCTTCTCTGCAAACTCTTTGGCCTCATCAGTGGACACCTCACGCAAGTGTCTCAAGTCGCTCTTGTTTCCAACCAACATAATCTCGATATTGCGGTCTGCGTTCTCTCTGAGCTCCGTGAGCCATCTCTCAACACTCTTGTATGTTGCTTGCTTGGCAATGTCATACACCAACAGGGCACCAACTGCACCACGGTAGTAACTATATATATATATATGTGTTTGAATTAGTTAGTGAGTGCAAGTAAGCAAGCAAGTAAATGATCTCATTAACATACGCAGATGTGATAGCTCTGTATCTCTCTTGACCAGCAGTGTCCCAAATCTGTGCTTTGATGGTCTTGCCCTCGGCAACTATTGATCTGGTGGCAAACTCTACACCAATGGTCGACTTGGTCTCGATATTGAATTCATTGCGAGTGAATCTCGACAACAAGTTACTCTTACCAACTCCACTGTCTCCAATAAGTACAACTACAAAATCCGACGAGGTTTGATTGATTGAGTTGTTAGATCCTCCTCTTGATCATCATCATCCATCATCCATCATGATCATCATCCAACATACTCTTATATAAGTAATCGTATTCCTCTTGTGCTTGCTTTGACATCGTTATGCTTGTATGTTATCTGTTTAGAACAATCGATTCCTATGTATGTACTCTGTTATTACTGTAACACTGTTGTTGTTTGATTGAATATCTAATATGTTTGATTGTTTGTTTTTTTATATATATAAATATAATTATTATCTGTATCTATGTATCTAATGATTGAAGTAAATGACAAATTGGGTAGAGTGTGTGTTAATAAACCAGGTGTTGTTGACTGCTGCAGCGTTTTGATGTTGTCTAATTCAAAAAAACACATGTGGAAGGTGACAAGTTGGGGGGTGATGAATGGGAGACGAGTGACATGAAAGTGCTGTGTGTGATAATCATTGAGTGTGATTCTCCCCACTCTCACACACTCACCCATCATCGATAACCAGGGAGGGATAGAGACACGACACACGACAGACACCTATCAATCAATTTATATTTGTACCCGCATGTCCAACATGTCTACTTAACTAATTATTCAAAAGAGATTGTATGTGTGTGTGATGGGTGATCGCAATATCGGAAGAGTAGATGGAAGAATGGAATGGAACTGCCATGTCACTGATTGTTTGTCATTGATCTCTATCTATCTTAGTTTAATCAACACCCCTGGTCAATTTCGAAATTGACAACTTTGATCGATCGTTGTGTATGTGTGTGATTGATTGGTTGATTGATTTATGTGCATTTGAGACTTACATTAAAAATAATAATATATTATTACTTGTTACTTCTTCTTTATTTACAATTAAGAGTCGACACAATGACCCGAATGATTGATTGTTTGATTGAGTGATTGAGTGAGTGGAGGAAGGATGGAAGCAAGCAAGATGTGTGTGGTCAACAAATTGAGAGGAGGAGCGAAGGTCCACATTCTTTTAAAAGTCACACACTTGACGAAGCCTGGTTAACGTTCTTTTCATTGAATGGCTTCATGGCTCAATTAAGTAGAGGTGCAGCTGCACCTTGTTGTGTATCATGATGTTCACAAGCACAGTCGTCTATAAATGTTGTAGCAATAGTTAATGATAATGGTAGTAATGTTAGTAACGCCAGTAACTGACTTGACTACCGACAGATGGTCTAATTAGATTAGAGATTTGATTGACATACCATGGTCTTCATCGTCATGTTCATTGTCACTGCCACTCTCATCACTACTCTCATCGAATGCTTTCTTCTTGTGGAATATACAACACTCTGTTCATTGATTGATTGATTGATTGAATGATCGGGGATATGTCAATGAATGAACGAATGAACAAGAATGAATGAATGTGTTGGGTAACATACTCTTTGACTTCTTCTTTGCCAGGTTCTCATTGTCAACTGTTCCATCTGTCCATTGTACTCTCTTCTTCTTCTTTGATTTGAGGGTAAGCCGCAGTGATACAGTTGATGGTGATAGTGTTGTCGTTGTAGTAACTGTTGACGATGAAGATGATAATGTTGCAGTACCACCACCTCCGCCGCCAGTAGATGAGTTCAAAGCAGTACCGGATGTCTCATTCCCAGATGGACCTGCTACATTATTTGGTGTCCGACTCATTATAATATATATACTCCACTAAACTATACTATACTATACTATATATAATGTCTTTATATATTTTTAAAACACAACTACTTGCTTTCTCGGCTTGTAGTTGTTCGATCGAAGTGTGTATATATATGTGCTTGGATTGATTGATTGATTGATTGATTGAATGATATAACTCTACATTCACAACAAGTTGAATATATAACTATATCTAGCTTGATAGGTGAGTGTGTGAGTGACTGAAGATGTGTCGGCAACAACCTTGACGACTGTCTCATCGATCTCACACACACTTCGACAAGTTTCGAATGTAGGGTTTTCCCGCGCCATTGTTCTCTCTCCAAGAGAGATGGAACATCTTAATGTCCATCCATTCTATTACATAGTCTTTCCATAGCTCTTCATTGTTGTAATATGTTGTTGTGAATGTTGTTAGAAGTCATGATGACATTAATGAATGAACAAACATTTATGTAACTTACAATTAACATTGGTCTATCTTTGAGACGAAATCCTTGGACATCGGTCAGTGCATCGGATGCCAATTGGGAATTGGGAAAGGTGATAAAGGCTTGATTCTTCATACGGCCCTCTTTGTAATGTACTATTGTCATCTGTTCATTCATTTGTTGACGTGTCTCAAAGTATCGACCAAAGATGAACTCCAAGTCCACCTTGTCCACCTGTTTGGCCAAGTTCTTGATGTACAACTTCTTTGATATTGTACCAAGTTCCAACTTCTTCTTCTTATTGATCGTCTCCAACTCTATATGGTATTAGTGATTGATCAATCAGGACTGTTGCCGACGTTAACATACCCTCTTCAGTGGCCTTGTGTGTCATCAGGTTTGTGAGACTTATGACATCATCTCGTGAATAGTACTTGTCTTGGCCACCAGATGGCAATGATTGTGCGGTGGGAGTCTGAACTGATGTGTTCAGCTTGATCTGGATTGGTAACTTGGTCGACGATGAGGGTCCTTGATTGGTCGGTGTGATTGCGGGTGGTGGCACATCAATGTGAAGTAGTCCATCAGTGTCATCTGTTGACGAAGTCTTTGGTTTCTTTGATACATCATCGTCTTGATCTTGCTCATCTTCTTCATCATGTTCTTGCATCTGATGTACTGTCCTCTTGTTTGGTTGTTGTTTATCTTGAGGATGATGTTGCTTCTGAGTAGAACCAGTGGCAGCAGGAGTTGGGGCAGGGACCAACGTAGACTTGTTGTCTACGGTATAGGGAGGAGGCAAGTTCATTCTGTTCATGAGATGTAACACATTGACATAGAACTTGGGAGTAGATTGCAATGTCTTGCATATGTTGGCGATGATCTGCTCGTCAATGGGTGGTAGCTTCTGCTTCTGTTTGGTCGCAGATCGTCGTCGTTTGGAAGAACCATCTGTTAATGGTGATAGAGATGTTGTTGTTGATTGATCAATGAGTTTAACCTTGAGTACATTGCCAAACTTTGATTGATTGTTGAGTTCATTGACCAATTGAGTTGCATTATGTTCATCATTGAGTGTAACCATTACATTGCCAGTCTGTTTGATTGATTGATTGATTGAATGAGTATGTGAATGATCGAATGATTAATTGAGTGATATGAGTAACAACATACCATTGGACCATTGAGTCGTCGTACATCTATTGGATGATACGTTGACAACAGTTGTTGTAGCTGAGTAGCGTCATCGATGGTCAAAGGGATGTTCTCGATTCGAACCTTGCACTGTTTATCAGTAGACTCTGTCATTGATACACCGCCATCACCAATGTCACCTCCATTAGCAGCTGCATCATTCGTTGTTGTAGTTGTTGTTGTAGTAATAGTAGTTGATGAGTCGGACATGACGAAAACAGAATGATATTCTTCAAAGAAGTTGCGGGACTTAAGTCTCAGGAGAGTGGAGTGGTGAAGAGAAGAGGGGTGGAACGATTCCAGGGAACTAAGATCATTCTTTATTTAATATAATCTAAACATGGATGTGTATTTCATCTCTTGGCCTATTAAGATTATACACTTTGTTATCCACTAATCTCCCATTGATACCAAAACTCACTTGTAGAGTATAAGGTTTCTTGTCACCCTCAGGACAGAATAGGACTGATCTGATTGTCCAATATTCCCTCTTGACTTTGACAATATCGGATTTAATATATCCTAATATCTTGACCCAATCTCCATAATTTATATACCTTATTTTCTTTTCGTAGTGCTCAAAACCGAATGAAGGATAATCTCTAACGAATATATGTACACCATTAATGTAAGCTATGGGGTATTGATCACCATCAAATACAATATCATTGAATATTATACTAGTATTATATCCAACCATCACCATGCTAGGATCAATAATTCTTTCCATATTATTATTATTATTATTATTATTATTTTTATTATTATTATTTTTTGATAAATAGAATAACATTAAATTAATATTTGAATTAAAATATGAATATTTTAGAGGAGTCAATTGAGTCAATAGCAAACTAATGATGGATCGATTAACCAACTTTGAGTTTGAATTTTTGAATAGAGAGAACAAATACCAATTTATTGGGTTTCGCCAGTATATTTCCAGTCTGGTGGTCCTTGATTGAATGATATGAGAAATTGATTAAATTATTGATTGAATTATCTCAGTTACTTATCATTGAGTTATAAATCACCTAGTTTTGATTATATTATTTAATTGACAATATATCCAAATATTTATTTAAATAAACTTGACCAGTTTATATTTTGGAACGATCATTCTTTCTATTCTCCAAGGAGATAATAAAATTGATTCTTTGAAGAGGAAAACATCTGTTTATAATGAGAAAGATAACTTTCCAGGGATTGTAATTCTTTAAGGAGAATATCTCTTTTTTTGTCTGAAGAGTATAACATGTCTTCCAGCATTACGATCTCTCTTTGTTTTTCATATATCTGAATAGTCTTATTATTGATCATGACCTCCCAGGGTCCATCACCAGGGAATCGTGACGAACTGGATGAGATACTAAAATACATAACTAAAGCAACGCCAATCAGTAGAACTAGAAGAGAAACTCCAAATATCCTTGTTCTATCCTTGAAAGTGTTGCTGGCCACCAACTCCTTGCTGATTGTATCAACTTTTACTTTGAGATTGCTAATATCATTGTAGCAGTTTGTCAACTCCTTAGTATGTCCCAACTTTATAACCTCATTTTGATCATTCTCCTCTTTGAGAAGGTTGACTTGATGTTGCAGGTTCCAGACCAGGAGTTGATTATTATTATACTTTGTGTTGGCATCAGCCAATTGTCTCTCCAGTTGGCCAACATATGAACGATTATCCATTGAAATATAAGTAATTATGTTTATATATATTATTAATAAAAGAGAAGTAATAGTTTGTTACAAAGATGAATGATTAAAAGTATAGAAACTTGAATTACAAAGTTGACCTTAATAGTGATGAGACTCACAAAATCAAAGCTTGGATGGAATCAACAAAAACCAAAATAACAACATTGAAAACACTTAAATATAAATATTGTTAATCAAAGATCGATGGCTTTGTCTATTATTTTATTCTTTTTGATTAAGGACTGGGACCACACCAAACTTATAAATCGTTCTGACGGCTACTAAAGATGGATCTGCACAAATAAAGTGCTCCCCATACTTTGACTTGACTTGGTAGAATCCATATGTATAGTTTTCAAGTATATCAAATGGTATGTATCCATTGTCTATTATCTCTGTACCATCTCGTTTCCTGGTGTAGAATGTTGTGTATAGGGAGTCTCCTTCAACAACACCTTGCACGCCATACCCTTTTGGCAATTGATAGCTTGGTTTGTTGGGACCCTCTGGTTGGAATTGGTATACATCTGTAGTACGGTATTCAGACCTAACACCACTGGTATTGCTTGGAACAAATCCAATGATTTCAATCTGATCGTCACAACTGAGGTACTGTATAGTACCGTAGTTCTTTGCAAAAGATGGATATTCTCTAACTATGAGGTGAACAGCATTGATGTATGCAATGTAGCCACCGCGGGATAGGATTGCTCCGTCGATTGGACTGATCACTGTGTTTTGTTGTTGTAGTTGTTGTGCCTTTTCCCTCTCTTGTAGTATTGATAGTTTGTTCCTTGCATCCAGTGCTTGTTCAAACAGATAATCTTGAACTTTGTTTGACAAACCATCATTGAGAGCAAGTTGATTTTTCAGGTGTTCAATCTTTCTTTGTTGCTCCTCCAATTGAGCAATGATATCGTTCTCTTCATCTTTGTTCCCTTTGTTGTTATTATTATTGTAGTTATTATTATTAGTTAATGGTACATGTTCAACCTCTCCAATCAGAATCATATCATCATTATTGTTTATCTCAACCATTGTTTATATAAAAGTATGTATGTTATTATTATAAATGTGAATGAATCAATCAACAAGGTGATGAATATATATTATGAAGAGTTAACTACTTTGTATCATCAAAGTCAAATTCAAAGTTGTTTGGAAACTTGGAAATAAAAGTTGATCAATCTTTGGTGATCAAGATGGGCTTCATTTCGGATATTATCAATACCCATTATTGAATATCATCATATTTTTCATCTAAAATGTTATTTATTATTATTATTAAATGTTTGATCGAATAAGTTACTCCTAATCAATCTCTTCAATCTATGATTTCAAGTTTGATTGAATGCTCAATTGATGGTATCATCGGACACGTCAGTATAGTATGAGTCCTTAAGGTTGGCTACCACCGTAGGTGTAGTTCATGTAAACCATCCTGATGGCCACGACTGATGGATCGGCTGTGATAAAGTGTTCTCCATACTTTGAACGAACAAGGTAGAATCCAAATTTGTATTCCTCCAACTTGTCAATACTAATAAGTCCAGTGTCGATTACTTCTGTCCCATCCTCCTTGGTTGTAAAGAAAGTAGTTCGAACATAGTCTCCTTCTCTCAGTCCTGTGAGGCCATATCCCTTGGGAAGATTGTATCCTCTCTTTCCCTCTTCCTCAGGTTGGAAGAATAGTATATCTAAAGTCCGGTACTCTTTCTTATTGCCACCACCTACACTTGGAGAGAATCCAATCACTTCGATCCAGTCATCAAAGTTCAAGTAGAGCACCTGCCGATAGTTCTTGTAAAATGTTGGAGCAAGTCTAACCATTACATGGAATCCATTAATATAAGCTTGAGGGTATTCTCCATTCTCGAAGAATCTCGGATTCTTCAAATAGTAGTCATAGATCCTAATGTTCTTGTTTGTGTCTTGTATATCACTTGGATTCCTATTATTATTACTATTGTTGTTGTTGTTGTTGTTGTTGTTGATTGAGTTACATGGGATGTTTGAGACAGACTCCTTAAGGTACTCAATCTCTTTGGATAGTTGATCAATAATATTATTTAACTCTATTATTTTGAGAGTTGAGGAGGATAGTTGTTGCTTCAACTCTGCTTCTTTGTCTTTTGTTTCCAAGACTTGTGCTTTTAGATATTGACTTTGTTGATCCCTAACTTCTTTTATCAATGCAACTTCGTTCTCAAGGTAATTGAGTCTCTCCCTTTTAGATTCCCCAGTATAAACACCATGTGCATCTGGTAATAGAGTACTACTAACCTTTGGTTTCTCGACAATACTATTATTATTATTATTATTATTATTATTATTATTATTATTATTATTATTATTATTATTATTATTATTATTATTATTATTGTTGTTGTCCATTTATTTGTAAATATATATACTAGTATTTGTACTTATAATACAGAAAGTGAATCATTTAGTAGAGTCATTCAGTTATCCATCACGATAACTATCAGAGACAATCAGACAATGCATGTGCAATCGGAGTTGTTGCATCGGAGTTATTCTGATTCATATTATGGTAACTTAGAAAACAAAGTTACTATTCCATTAACAACTTGGTTCCCAAAGTTGTGACTTTGTCCAGCATATTATCCATCATCAATGGTCCATGAAACATAGGTTGCGTTTAGACGATAAAGATGGATTGGGTCTGTAATAATTAATAATTAATAATAATTATACATAGATACAATTATAAATATATATACTAAACACCAGTCGATCGGCGGTTCGATGGTTTATTCCTCTTGCCCTTAAACACGACATGGATTACATCTATGAACAATCTGTTCAAAGAAGCTCCGAAACTGGCTCTTAAGTTTGTGTTGTCTCGGTCGAGGTCACTACTAGCTGTCTGTCTATTCTTCCAATGATGATGACCATTGCCATTGCCATTGTTGCCATTGCCATTCCTGTTACCATTACCGTTGCCATTGCCATTATTGCCATTTCCATTGCCATTGTTGCCGTTGCCATTGCCATTGTTGCCATTGCCATTGTTGCAATTTCCACATAGCTTATGTCTATGATTGATTGATTGTTAGATACTGTTGACTACAGATCTCATTCAAGTATGTGAATGTGATCAAACTTACTCCTTCATTTGAGTTTCAAAGTCTTTGAACCAGGTCAACTTAAGTTGCTCCATTTTATCGAATACTGATTCCTCCATCTCCTTAGCCAAAGTTGATACATCTGTGTCTTCTGATGCGCCTCCAGCCTCGTCTGGTCCACCAACACCAACACCAACACTATCATCGGTTGTCGCTGTAGTGGCACCAACATCAGAGGGGCATGCGATAGGCAATGGACAATCACATGTTTGATTGACTGTTGCTCCAACAATTGGGGTGATGTCCGACTGACTAGATAAAGGACCTTGATACCACGCCATTGCCCCAATCAGAAATATAGCCGCTAAACCAAGCATTATCATTCTTGTTTTGCTTGACTTCAACTCATTCTTCAGTTTAGCATTGTCTTTCTCTAGTGTAGCCTTGTCGGTGTTGCTTGACTTCAACTCATTCTTGAGTTTAGTATTGTCTGTCCCTAGTGTAGCCTTGTCGGTGTTGCTTGTCTCCAACTCCTTCTCGATACCTTCGACCTGAGCTTTGAGATTGCTAATTTGATTGTTGCGATCGGACAACTCTCTCATGTGACCGAACTTTATGTTCTCATATTCGTCATTCCTCTCCTTGAGCTTGGTGACTTGATGATGCAGCTGATCGTTCTGGATAAAATATGTATTGTTCAATGTTGTGGCCTCTGCCAACTGTTTCTGAAGTTGGTCAACATGTGCATCCATGTAACTCCTCTCTATACTGCATGCTGTCAAGTCATGATAAGCTCCGAGCTTTGCAATCTTATCCAATCGTTCTGTCTCCAACAATGCTCTCAGATCCATTATCTCCTGGTTCCTGCTTTCCACGTCCTTCAGGAGTGTGTCGACATTGCCCTGATCTATCAAGTCTGGATCAGGAACAGGTGCGCCAGGTGCGTCAGGTGCGGCGTCAGGTGCGTCATGTGCGTCATGTGCATCAGGTGCATCAGGTGCATCAGGTACATCAGGCTCCATAGTTGTTAATACTTATTATGGATTGAGTGTATATTTATATCTACTGCTGGTATGTTGAGATGAGTAGTAATAGTAGTTGTTGACAAGATGAACCAAAGAATGAATGAATGCATGCATCAACCAATCAAAGGTCAGGGGGCAGGGACCGAATGAATCTGGATCGTGGGACCCGAGTTTGGTTGGGGTTGTTGATGAGGGAACTATTTGCAGTCAATCAAACGAATAATAGATAGATATTAAAATATCCATGATTGATTTATTCAACATCCCAGGTATGCTTTGGCTTGACATTGGTGTAATCTGATGATGACCTTGACATGCCATCGTGACATGGATACCAAGTCAGAGTGTCTTTACCCTTGCATGGGATGGTGCTCTGGCCACACACCTGATGATCATCTGAATGAGGATGGAGAGTTGGACCAGAGACAACATAAAGTTAGAGGGCGCGAGTCATTATAGCATGTATGTCCATTCTATTTGATTGATTGATCGAAWTGTAAGTATATTATGTATCGTGATTGATTGATTGAGTTGAGTTTGAGTTTACTTACACTTAGGTTAAGAGTTAAGTGATTGGAGGACATATGTTGTTATACTCGCATGTGAATTGAACGGTGTTACGTCCCGCCTCCTAGCGTACTACACGTAGGCCCAAGCTTGCTGGAAACGTTTCTTGCCGTTCATTGATGGGCCAGCGACTCTGACCTGTCGCTGGTTAACTTCTCTGTACAAATGGTTTGTTGGTGTACATGGATGGATGGATTGATGGACGTTGTTGGGCTACAACAACATCAACAATAACAACAACCACCTAGGACCTCACGTGAGGTGGCTCAATCATTCGATCGCCCCACACCTTGCCATCCTCGCCACTCTGCACAAGATGTCCAACAGTGACACCTCGTTCATCTGCCAAATGTTCAGTCAGTTTGTTCAACTGATTCTCCAAGTCATCCTTCTGTTTGTTCTTTGCTGAGCTTCCATGATCATAGCCATGTAGAGGTGTTGATGTCATCTTATTATTATTCATGTTTGTTGAAGTTGTAACTAATATACTATTGAATGTTATATTCCAACGATCTGCAGCTGAGTAACATGATATAATGAGTAACATCGCCAGACATGTCATGGCAAACACAAAGATACGCTTGGTTCGCAAGCTTCGTGGTGGTTGTGTGGCTGTGGCTGTGGCTGTGGCTGTGTTGTTGTGTGACTCTATCTTCTTTTCATTGTCGACCACCATCATCTTTGTTGTTGTGTTTTGTGTTGTTGTTGTTGTGTTGACGGCAGTAGTGTTGACGACAGTAGTGTTGGCAGTGGCATTCTTTATGTTCGTACTACTATTATTATTGTTGTTACTACTACTGATGTCAACATGTTGACTTGTGTTTGTACTTTGACTATGCATTTTGTAGTCGTTGTTTGTCAGTCGATGATTGATTATGATGTTATGTCGTTAATGATATTGTTGTAGAGGTATGAAGTTGTTCTGTTCTATATATGTGTGTGTTACTAATACTGACACATATCTTGGCATCACTCTCAAACAACTGAAATAGATAGACAACAACAATGTGATGATCTGATGTGCGAGTGTTGGTGATGGTGAGAGTGAGTGAGAGTGAAAACGCGTTGTTATTAGAACTGTTTGTTTTGTAGAAGATTAATAGTGTTTGTATGATTGGATTGTCACGATACGTCACTCATCGCAAAACAATCAAAATAATTTTTGCATCTATCAAAAAAAAATTGTGTCCTTTCCTAGTTTGATCCCCAAAAAGGAATGTTTTTAGTTTGTTTTCAACGATTCAAATCCTGATCATTCTCAAAAGTTTCATAACTTCCCCCCCACATGTAAAATCAGGGTCCAATCTAAAGATGGATTGATGGACAATGATGAACATTCTGATTCATTCAATAATTCAATCATTCATATATTCATTCAAACAATCAAACAAAGAAACAATCTAACAAACAATCAAACATTATAATGTCAGAGATAACAGTACCTTATCAATTATATAAAGAGACTACTGATCTTCCAAGTAGGACCAAGTATCTGATCACTCAAGCCTCTTACAAGGCTGTGGCCGAATCATCAGAGATAACAGTACTGTGCGAGTACACTATAAGAGTGTTCAAACAATCATCATCAGACAACAATGGTGATGTGATCATACCTCTGATCTCACAACGTGCCACTATCTCCCATTCATCAATCACTGTGGACTCTGGTCGCAATCATAATAGCGATGGAATATCTGTTGGCGCATGTATTGTGACGCAGGCCAATGCGCCAGCCTACCAATTGTACACATCACATGCGGGCATCTACCACGTGAAGCTCACGGTGCACGTGCCCTACCTCACCATCAAGAAGACGGGAATGGAGCTGCAGATCCCCTCGTCGTCCAACAACTCAATCTCCTTCCAGGTGCCACACGCCAATGCCAACATCAAGATCTTCAACTCGTTCATGGACGTCGAGGCCACTGACCAATGGCTGGAGCGCGCCGGCAAGGAGGTGCCCAACTACACGGTCACCTTTGCCAAGCTGCCCAACGAGACAACGTTGCGCGCACAGTGGACCATCAAGACAGAAACTGCACCCGTCAACAACAACAATAACAACAAGATCGACGCTTCCAAGGTACAGAAGCCACCCAATATTGTGGTGGTCCAGAACATCCTTGGCTCAATTGGCGAGGGTCTGCTCATACTCAAGTCACAGATTGGCTACAAGATCATCTCTGGCATTGTATCGCTGTTCAACATCAAGGTGGAGCGTAATGTGAACATCATCAGTGTGGACGGCGAGGCTATCAAGAAGTGGGAGGTGAACGAGCCTGCCGACCCCAAGTCCAGCCACCGCGTGCTCACTGTCTACCTGGACTATGGTGTCGAGAGCGACTACACACTCACCGTCAACGCCGAGTACAACATGGGCTCGACTACCGCTGACGTCTCCATCCCAACAATGTTCTGCATTGGCGACGACATCACCAGACAGCGTGGATACATTGCCATTGAGGCGCGCACCAATGTCGAGATCTCCGAACTCTCTTCCAACAGCCTGGATGCAATGGATGTTCAGGAGTTGCCCCGCGAGCTATCATCCCTGGCCACCCACCCCATCCTGTTGAGCTACAAGTTCCTGGACCCATTGTTCCAGCTGCAGCTTCGTGTCAAGAAGAACCGCGACGTCCAGGTGCTCGTGTCCATCTGTGAGAGCGCCCACTTCATCACGACAATGAGCAACACTGGTAAGACCATCCATCAGTACATCCTGAGCATCAAGAACACACAGAAGCAGTTCGTGCGCCTACAGGTGCCATTCAACTTCTGTCTATGGTCTACCCTGATGGACGGCCTGCCCATCCGTCCAAGCTACATCGACAACCCAGCCTCGCCAGACACACCCTTCCTCCTGGTGCCCTTGCTCAAGGCCGGAAACCCTGCACAGCATGATGTCAACAAACCTGTGCAGCTCGAGATCGTGCTGCTGGAGAATGAGGTTCGCAACATCAGTGGACAGAGCGGCCATCTCCGATTCACAATGCCCAAGATGGATCTGCCTCTGCGTGCCGCCTATTGCACACTTTATCTGCCCGAGAGCATCAAGGCAGGCAAGTCCGAGGGCAACCTCAAGTGCGTGTCGTACTTCACCTCCGACCCACCACAATCGATCACATCGCCCAACCCGAGCGATTACCAAGACTATAGTCGCAACGATGACATGGTTAATAGACGCAGCAGCATCTCCTACGACAGACACAGCAGCAACAATTACGCCAACAAAGCCGGCGGTGGACTATTCAGCAACTTCTCATCGTACGAGAAGAAGCCATCACTGAACAAGGCAAGGAAGGAGGGCGGAGTCAAAGGTGGAGTGATCCCAGTGCGTGTCGAGATGCCGACCACCAACAACGCGCATCTCTACGAGCAGATCCTCCTGTCAGGTGAGAAGGATCTAAGCTTTGAGCTTCCATTCAAGCAGTCCAAGGTCAAGGTTGTAAGGTCCAACAACTAAATGGATTATCTTATCTTGTCTTGTCCTATCTTGTCTTTTCCAATGCGTTCGTTCAATAAATGTTATACATAATGTACATGTATCTGTTAACTCATGAGCCAATCTTTGAATGAATGAATGGGCGAAGGTCCCAAACTTCCACAAAGTGTTGTTGTTCACAAGTTTGACGAAAGACACGAATGAATGCGAGATTGAGCATTCATTCTGCAAGACTTAGACACACAAATAGATACATATAGGGATAGGTGTGGACGCAAGCAACAATATGACATACTATGATCTGTGTATATGTGAGCAAGATCCAAATGCCACCAAGGATATGTTGTTGTTCTTGACAAAGTGTATGTTGATATTCAAGGGACCGACATCGATTTATTGACTTGCTGATTGACTAACTGCAATGTATGCTACACCAGTGGGTTATGATTCAGTTGCTATTACACATACAGTTGATGGAAGACTCGCCCCTAAAGATGTACGTCCCCACTTCATTCAAACAATCACTCACTCAATCAATCAATCATTGACAACGACTACGACGACAATCACATATAGACAAATAGGATACCTCATGTGAACTTGAATGAGGAGAGCGCAACTACATCAGGATGGTTTAGAGTTGGAACGGATACAAGGAAGATCAAACAGTACTCGAGATTGGAGGTGATATGTAAGACGGTACAGGATTTTAAGATGATCACTCGTACCAACCCTGTGATCATGTCCTACGATATTGTTAGTGTCGTGCCAATGGACGTGAGCATCTTCAACCTGGCATGCAACTCATCCGACATTGACGTCATCACACTCACTTCACATTGTCACTATGTGGTGAGACCCGAGAAGGTTCGCCAGGCCATCGCCAATGGAGTCTTTATCGAGTTGGCCTACAGCCCCCTCCTGAACGAGGCAGAGGAGCGCGACTACTTCATCCAGTACGCGTCGGCCATCATCAGATCATCTTATGGAAAGAACATTATATTGAGCTCACGTGCCAAGACCCCAAGAGTGATGCGATCGCCCTACGACCTTTGCAACCTGGGTCACCTGTTTGGCATGACATTCGACCAGGCCAAGGCGGCCGTCACCAAGAATCCACACTCTGCGATGCTGCACGGCGCCTCTAGACGATCACACTTTGGAATGATGGCGCTCAAAGACCCAGCTCTGTCCAGTGAGTTGGAGGCATGGAAGAGAGATCAACTGGTCGATGTCAAGCCCACCAACAACACAGTACCACATCCCAAGCATAATAAGACATCAGCTGAGCAACACGATGGAATGAATATCGATGGTGGTGAGGACAGTGATGATGATGATGAGCCAGCAAAGACCTCAACATCAACAACAACATCAGCGTCATCTTCATCAGGGTCGAAGACATCCAAAGGCAAAAAGTAGGAGGAACGAGGATTCTTGTGACCTTGGTATGGGCTCAACGGCAACCTTCTTGCCAATGCTCACTTTCACATGTCAACGTCCACTCATTCATTCATTCATTCATTCACTCGAGGGTGTATATGTGCCCGCCATCCATCATAATTGGACAACATCATCACTGGTGGACCCTCATTGATCATTCAAGGTCCACACACACTACATTGTCATTGAAGTAGTAGAAATGGTGATGTGTCACAATGTCAGCAACAACAACAACAACAACATGTCGTTGTTGTCATCATTACATATAAATATCTTCCACTCCTCCCATCCCTCTGTCGACGCCTTCATTAAACATGTCAGTTGGAATACCCAAGGCTTGCCTTCATTGGCAATAACATCACCATTGCCAATATGAGGTCGCCAGTTGGAATACACCCACCCATATCAATGGAGGTTCCGTGTCTAAGTATCAAGTGTTTTGAGGTTGTCTGTCTCATCACCTGATTTGTGTGTATGGTTGGTAGTGAGGTGGGTGATTTGTGATTGATTGAGTGATTGAATGARGTGAGTGAGTTTATTGTCATGGTAGTATCACACACACCTCTTGAGCTTGATGGTTGGTGGATAGCTAATGTGGTGTTGTTGGTGTGTGAATGCATGTGATGGAGGGCAGTGTATGATAGAGATAGATAGAGAGAGAGAGAGAGATAGAGAGAGTAAGAATATGATGAGAGTGAACAAGTGATTGATTAATTGACACAAAAAAGAGAGAGAGATAGATAGAGTTAAAGAGAGATAAACAGGTGTGGTTTGATTGGATTGATCACATCGATGACACAATAGTGTACCAGGACAACAAAAACAAGATAATTGTAATGTATATTGGTAGTTGTTGGGTGTCAGTGTGATAAGTTTGTAATGATGCCAAATCAATCAGTCACTCATTCAATCACTCACACTTCCATTCATCCAAACATCAATAGATCAATCATTCATCAGAGTAGTTTGTAACTGGTTGACAGGTATCAATCAAATCAAATCAATATCAACATCACCAACCAACCAACTTTACAGTCAGTCGGTCAGACATTCATTCTTCCAGTCATTCAGGTCGACATCCATTCACACATCATTCCCAACTCGACAACAAACAGCGAACAATTTGGAACGTTCACTCTTAAGTATCAATATCATAGTAATATCCCAGGTCGAGATTACTTTGAACATATTATATATATATATATATATACAAACAGAGATAAGATATTTAACGACAATGAGCAGCAGCGATACTAAAGAAGAGAAATCATCCTTTTGGAAATTCACTGCATCAACATCACGAAAGGTTGGTACAACACCATGGACATCCAATATCTATAATAATTAATTAATTAACATGTTGTTTGGTCAATTGATATAGAATCCAGGGAGCACAAAACAATCTGGAAGCATTATAAAACAGAAGTTTGATAGGATCAATGGGTATGACCAAACTCGCAAACTAGCAAACTAAACTCAACTTGAATACTCACTCAATCAATCAATCAAAAGTAATCTGATACCTAAATCAAAGACGAATGATACAGGACAGCAACAACAGTTTAATTACAGTTATCCAAAGGCGATTGAGAATGGATCATCGGCAACATTGTTGACTCAGACAAAGATTGTGGCACAACAAACATCCCCAGTGATCACTTCGGATTCAGAATCCATGCCAGACATTGATGGTTCATTATCATTGAATGTTGCATCATCACCTGGTGGTGCGAATAATGGTCATTCAGGTGTAGTCATGGATGATAGTACAACTGCCAAAGCAGCAAGCAGTCATCATAATCATCTACAACTTCATCTTCAACATCAACATCAACTATCAAACTCAAGTAACAACAATGAGAAGAGTTCAAAGTATAGAAGATTGGACAAGTTGTTGGGGCAGACCAATGTTGACTTGGACACATTGAAGAAGTATGGATGGCGAGGTGTACCAGACTGCAAGAGACCCATGGTATGGAAGATACTCTTGGGATACATTCCATCAAATGGTGGACGACGCGAAGATATCCTCGAGCGAAAGCGTAAAGAATACCGCGACTGCCTGCCCCAATATCATCAATCAGAAGAAAAACGAACCGATCCAGACAGGAGGACTTTGAAGCAAGTAAGTTATGACTGATCAATTGGAATGATTCCACCCCTATACCCCACCACTTGATCACTCACTGACCAACTCATTGACGACCTCAGATTCAAATGGACGTGCCTCGAACGAACCCTGTCGTGTCATTGTTCCAACAGCCACCTATCCAGGAGATGTTGGAGCGCATACTTTACATCTGGGGCATTAGACATCCAGCGACGGGATATGTCCAGGGCATCAATGACCTGGCGACACCATTCATCTATGTATTCCTGTCAGAGTACATAGTGGACATGGACAGCTGTAACACCGAGCAGGTGGACTCGAGCATACTGGCCAAGGTCGAAGCCGACAGCTACTGGTGTCTGACCAAGCTGCTGGACGGCATCCAAGACCACTACACATTCGCGCAGCCTGGCATCCAGCGCATGATCGCCCAGCTCAAGGGCCTGCTCGAGACGGTCAACCCGGCGCTGTGCGAGCACCTGGCCTCGCAGGATGCCCAGTTCATTCAGTTTGCATTCCGCTGGATGAACTGTCTGTTGATGCGCGAGGTGCCCTTCCAGCTGGTGATACGCATGTGGGACACGTACCTGTGTGAGCGCGAAGGCTTCTCAGTGTTCCACGTGTATGTATGTGCGGCCTTCTTGATACAATGGGCCGATCAGCTCATTGGCAAAGAGTTCCCCGACATCATGATCTTCCTACAGCGTCCGCCCACACAACAATGGCAAGAACGAGACATTGAAGACCTATTCTCCACAGCGCATCTCTATCGAGAACTCTATCACAATGCTCAAAGTCATCTAAAGTCACCTACTCCCATCAATCTCAGGAGATAAGTGATTGTGATTATGTGAGTGAAGTGAATGATCAATAAAATGTCGTTCGTTCGTTCGTTTGATTGATTGATTGTGGACATGTATGTCTGTCCCTATATCTGTGTATGTCTGGCTGTCTGTCCGATCCGAACATTCGGACGATATCAATCCATCATGTTTGTTTGATTGGTGATTGAGTGGAATGAATGAATGAATGAATGAAAGGATGGGACGAGACAGGGAAGACATTGGTTCAATTTCCCATATTGGGAACTGTTGTGATCACTTGGATAACATGACCATACATACTCAAGGTCGTCAAGTGTCTGAGATCAAACTGGGGCTAGCCCTCATGTTGAGATATTATTGAAAATCAAAACAATCAAAACAATCACACACAACATGGAAGAAGCAAGCAATCAGTTCATTCAATTTGAATTCACCACGTGTTTCCTTATTGAGAGGATGCTGTGTCATGTAGTGTTGAGAGTAGAATGAATGAATGAATGATTGTACGTGCCCCATCTAGGGTGAGTGTGGTTCATTTACAGTGGAGGCCTCACTCTGGAAGTCATCAGAGTGTTCTGAGCAACACCAACAACACCACCAAATCATTAAAATTAATATCATCATATATTATGTGGAGGAGGAAAGAGACTGTAACCTTCAAACCAAAGAGCTTGAGCTTACACTCAATCACACACATTCATTGGGAGACTATCATTATCTAATCAAGTCAGATTCATTCATTCAATCAATCAATCAATCAATCATACACATAGTATACTTTATTAGTACTATATTACCTTTTAATAACTTTATTACTTTAACTTTACGTTACTTACTTTATTTGGAAACAGATAACTGAAACATAAGATGATGGCCACCACCCCTAAGATCCTTGTTGAGAACTACGTCGTTGAGATGGACGGTGATGAGATGACCAGGTAAGTTCATCACTTGATCGATTGATTGATAAACTCACTCACTCATTCACTCACTCAATCAATCAATCAATCACAATCAAACAATCATGACAATGACAGAGTGATTTGGAAGATGATCAAGGAAAAGTTGATCTTCCCATTCTTGGATTTGAAGATTGATTATTATGATCTGGGAATGGAGCACAGAGATGCTACTGATGACCAGGTCACCATTGACTGCGCCAACGCCATCTTGAAGCATAATGTCGGTATTAAGTGCGCCACAATCACCCCAGACGAGAACCGTGTCACCGAGTTCAATTTGAAGCAGATGTGGAAGAGTCCAAATGGAACCATCAGAAACATCCTCGGAGGCACCGTCTTCCGTGAGCCAATCCTCTGCACCAACGTGCCACGTCTGGTCACCGGATGGTCCAAGTCCATCGTCATTGGCAGACATGCCCACGGCGACCAGTACAAGGCCACCGACATTGTCGTCAAGGGCGCCGGCAAGCTCGAGATGACCTTCACCCCCGCCGACGGCTCTGCTCCACAAAAGTTCACCGTCTTTGACTTTAAGGAGGGAGGAGTTGCCATGGGAATGTACAACACTGATGAGGTATGTAATGTTGATTGAGTTCAAACTCAAACTCATGATCCAAACTCACCAACTCAAACTCACCAAACTCACAAACTCAAAAAATATCTCAAGTCAATTGTTGGATTCGCCAAGTCTTGCTTTGAGTTCGCCTTGGATAAGAAGTGGCCAATGTACTTGTCCACAAAGAACACTATCTTGAAGAAGTATGATGGTCGCTTCAAGGACATCTTCCAGCAGATCTACGACACTGAGTACAAGCAAAAGTACACCGCCGCCGGAATCTGGTACGAGCACCGCCTGATCGACGACATGGTCGCCTACGCCATGAAGAGCGAGGGTGGCTTCGTCTGGGCATGCAAGAACTACGATGGAGACGTTCAGTCCGACTCTGTTGCCCAGGGGTACGGCTCGCTCGGTCTCATGACCTCTGTGCTGCTGTGCCCAGACGGAAAGACCGTCGAGGCTGAGGCTGCCCACGGCACCGTCACCCGTCACTACCGCGACCACCAGGCTGGCAAGGAGACTTCGACCAACCCTATCGCCTCCATCTTTGCCTGGACCCGTGGACTCCTCCACCGTGCCAAGCTGGACAACAACGACCGTCTGACCAAGTTCTGTCTCGACCTCGAGGCCGCCTGCATTGAGACCGTCGAGTCTGGCAAGATGACCAAGGATCTCGCTCTGTGTATCAAGGGAACCATCAGCAAGTAAGTACTTAAGTTGATTGAATGAGTGAGTTGGCTGTGTAGCCGCGGTTAACTAACATCTCCACCTTCATCTCCATCTCCATCTCCATCTACATTAGTGTCAAGCGTAGCGATTACTTGAACACCGTCGAGTACATTGACGCTGTTGCCGAGCTCCTCAGGAAGAAGCTTAACTTGTAAGAACACCCCCTACCCTACATACACCACTCATAGGTTACCCAACTATGTATATCGATGTTGTTGTGTGAATAGTGATGATGGTATGATTGATTGGTCGGCCTATTGAGAATCAATCGGATGTTGTATGTTGTTTGCTTGTTTGTTTGTATGTTGTATGTATGTATGATGTTGTCGTTGTCAGGTAAGGTCAGGTAGTAGGTTGTGGTTGGTGTTGCCATATCCATCCAATGTGTTTCCTGCTTCCAGTAGTAGCGCACATGTTGTACTGTCACTCACTGCACCCCTTGGACCTTACCCTACCCTACCTACCCAACGCACCTTCACATCTTCATCATTCATTCGCTCATTCATTCGTTCATCATAAACATCCGCAATCATATCACGCCAGACATGATTAGACATTCTCAATAAATCCTATGATTGATTATCCTATCCCATCCTATTCATACAAACGACGATCGATTCATTCACATCAATGGCATCCATCATCAAGTTACTGACCCATTCATTCTCTTCCTCTCTCTATCTTTCCCTCTCTCCTTCCTTCCTTCCGCACCCAACCAAAGGCAGAGCAAGCTGTGAACTCCAAAATAAAAGATATATAGATATTATAAACGCATACCAATCATTAACATGTTAATGTGGTACATATACTTTCCATGGATAGTCATCACTGGAACAATTCCAGACTCATCAATCCCATGCGCTGGTTGACCAAACCAGACGTCAACGTTACTTCATCCAACAAACCACACAACAAAAATTAAATTAAATTAAAATCTCATTCGACTCACACACATTCTCCCAGACTCGCTCAGCTATCCTCTTGCCTTTCAATCAAGTTGAATCGCACCTCAATCCAACAGTAGCAGCATCCAACAACAGCACAGGTATCAACAGGTATATATCATCGTTTGACATGATCGATTCATTCAGATTGAATGTGATTCACGGATTGATTGATTGACACTATCTATCATCTATCCAATCTAGAAATGGCCAAAGCAAAGAACCACTCTACCCATCACCAGAACTCCAAGGAGCACCGTAACGGAATCAAGAAGCCAATCGTTCACCGCAAGACTTCCTCCAAGGGTGTAAGTAATCAAAACAGACATCTTCATCATCACAGCACAGGATACAAGATATAGAGACAGAGAGCAGCTTCAATTGCGACACAGCGAGATGAGGATACACGAGATGATGAAGATACAGAGATAATGATAATGAACAGGATATTGATCAATCATTCGTCATTCATGACCATTCAATCACATATAACAGATGGACACCAAGTTTGTTCGTAACCAGAAGTTCGCTCGCGTTGGTGTCAAGGCAAAGAGATACGTTCGTGGTGACTTGCAGGAGCAGAAGCCACACAAGAACCCAAGAAAGTCTGCCAAGGCTATCGTGTCTGAGCTCAAGGCCAAGCAAGCTGCTGCCAAGAAATAAACAAGCACACTCCGACCGGTCTATGTTTATAAAGTAACAACAACCAATGTCAACGACACGACTTCAGAGACACACACAGGCTCATTCACAGCAGCGCGACATTCATTCACAGGACACTGCCATCTCGATGAGGAGACACTATATTGATTTATTGATTGATTGAATGATTGGACAGGTCAATCTGACTGACAATGACTATGATGGATGGCTATGATGGATGACGACTACGACTACACATCCTTTGATCTATTCGCTAGTATGATATCATCATGATACATATGTGTTTATTAAGTTCGTTTCGTTTATCTTCATTCATTTATGTTCTGTTTACATGTCTTTCTTGTTGGCTACGACGACTGGCTTGGACGAGTCGGTGATCGATACATAGTAGCTAAGCAATGTGAGCACAACTCCAAAGCTGAACGACATGATCCATGAGGCAATCTGCGTTTGGTACTCGATAAAGTAGTTGGACAGTGCGATGCCCAGCAGTGAGATGGCCACGACGAGCTCGCGAGAGTACAAGTGTCCACGCACATACAATGGTGCTTTCAGGTTGTTGATGAACACTCTGAGGGGGTCGGCTGGCGCTTCCTGGTGGTGTGGCGAAGGTGACGACAGTATAGTGTTGAGCTCCTGCTCTGTGAGCTTGGAGTAGTCGACGTTATCGCGCTGGGATGGTGCAGTGCTGCTGCTGCTGGACGATGGCTCGTCCGACTCGGGGGCATCTGTGTCAAAGATGACACTGTCCGCGGCGTCCAAGTACTGGCTCTGACGACGCCATTGCAGCTCGACCATCTTCATTAGGACGAAGCCGACGTTGGCACCCATTGTGTAGGCCAGGAAGACAAAGAAGTACGAGGTCTTGGTGGTGAGGTCCAGGATGGACGTGACGATCAGCATGATGATCACGATGACCCAGTCGACCAGAATCGTCTTGAACATCCAGAAGCGGTCGGCCAGGCGGGCGGGCGCGCAGGCCAGTCCTGTGAAGAACACCAGAGCGACCAGCTGCACGGCCATCATCGTGGTGGACGTGTGGTAGTGCAGGGGGTTGATGGGTGGCGCGTACGTCTTGATGTAGGACGGGTTGAGCAGGTAGGCCACGGCGTAGAGGTGTGGCGGCAGCATTGAGATGGTGCTCAGCAGCACCTTGAACAGGAGCACGACGACGGTCACGCGTGCAAACACACGCGAGAAGCGACATACATTCCAGGCCGCTATCAGACACACGAGTGATGTGTACCATAGCAACAGACTGATGTTGTGGTCGCTCAAATAGGTCTTGAGTGTGTCATTCACCATGCTTGGTAGCCATGTGCTTGGACCCTCCAAAAAGGATACCAATGCATATCCCGATATGGCAAACAGTGATATCTGTAGAAGTTTAAGTGTTGATCGCATTAAGTTTGATTGATTGATTGATTGGTAAAGTGATGGAGTGATAGAGTGATTGAGAGTGTTGTGAATGAGTGTTGTGATTGATGGCAAGATGTTAAAGGTCCCAATGTTGGTGAAGTAAATACTGAATAGTAGTGAATCAAGATAATCTTGATTCATGTTAGCATTACAACAATGCATCACTCGGCTTTGATCAATCCAAAATTAATTTAAATTTTGGCGCGAATTAATACTATGTAATCACGAATTTGATTGACTACTTCCAGAGTCAAACCTAGTCAATGAAAGAAATAATTAATAATATAAATTAATGTTCGTATTAATATAGTTATATTTTCTTCTAACAACTCCCATTCTAGATAAATAATATTGTTTTTCAATATGATTGATTCATTGGAAACCAGACAACCGCTGTTCACCAGCTACAGATACTGTTCAAACACAGCTAACAGAGCGGTGATATTGCCAACATCTACTGTTGCCAGTGTACATTCTAGCCTGTCGAATAGCACAGCGCTGAACTTGTCAACATTTTGTTCAGCGTGTGTATGGCTTTGTTTTGTCTGAATCCAAATAAACGAGTCGTGCATAGTTATAATTGTTTGTCTCTGCTTACACATTTATTATTTATTTATTATGTCTACTGTTACGACATCAATAGAGGAACAACAACAACAACAACAACAAGAAGAAGAACATACCAACACTACTGTTGTTGTTGATAATAATAGTACATCAAAGAAAAGAAAGTCTATTGATGATGATGATGGTGAGACAACAACTACATCAACGACATCAACTTCATCAACAACATCAACAACATCAAATAATACTACTACTACTACTACAGATGATAACACATCAAGATTATCAAAGAGACAAAGAAAGAGAATGTTAAAGACAGAGAATAGACGTGCTACAAACAGGGCAAAGAGGGACGCCAAGAACAAACAGGTCGAAGAAGAAGGCAATATATCAAAGGAAACACTCGACGAGACTGTTTATCGCATTGAGAATGGTCTGCGCATTGTAGAGCCATACTACTTCACCTTCAAGGTGTGGTCCAAAGAGCGATGGTATGGTCGCCAGCTGCTCGAGATGTTCACACAGGAGTTCAGTCAACTGCCCGCAACGATCTATCGACGCAAGATCAAGGCGGGCTGGATCAAGGTCAATGGACAGCAGGTGGGGGAGGACTATCGACTGACAAACAAGGACGAGATCGAACACAGGGTTCACCGACACGAGCCCCCTGTCAGCGGCGCCACCATCAAGATCGTGGCACAGGACGATGATGTGGTCGTCGTTGACAAGCCCAGCTCAATACCCATTCACCCGTGTGGACGATTCAGACACAACACATTGATATATATCCTGGCCAAGGAGTATGGCTTCCAGCATCTGTACGGTGTACATCGTCTCGATCGACTGACATCTGGTCTGCTCATTCTCGCGCGATCACCTGCTGCCGCCAAACGCAAGTCCGAGGAGATCTTAAAGGGCGACGTGCAAAAGAGCTATGTGGCACTGGTCAATGGCCGCTTCCCCGCCGACAAGGAGGTGGTGGTGGATCAGCCACTCAAAGTGCAGAACCATCGACTTGGCCTGAACATGGTGGCGCCCGATGGCAAGCCCTCCAAGACGATCTTCAGCCTCCTATCATACAACGAACAAACAAACACCAGCGTGGTCAGCTGTCTGCCCAAGACGGGAAGGACACATCAGATCCGTCTGCATCTCCAGTGGCTTGGCTTCCCCATCGCCAATGATCCACTCTACAATGCGTCATTCAGTCAGAATGCTGGAAAGATATTGACGAGCGATGGAGTTGAGGGTCTTGGAGGCGGAGGCTTTGACGATGATGATAATGATGATAACGCAGACAACAACAACAACAACAACAATGTCCAACAGCATTTATCAAACAATGACAAGGTGGCACAGATGGCCAAGGCAATTGATCAGGCAAGCAACGATGCCATTGCCAATGGACTAAATGAGGAGATCGTAGACATGGACACACCAATCGAATGCTTGGACTGTAAGATTGACTGGGGCGATCCTTCAACATACACCTTTGGCATCTATCTACACGCCTACCAATACTCTGGCAAGGGATGGTCCTATCAAACTGATCTTCCAGCATGGGCCAGCCAACATACAACCGATACTCCCGATACCAAGATGTCCACAGACACTACTACTACCAGCACCAGCAGTAGTAATAGTTCGGATAATACAACATCAATGAATGTTGATCTGTGATCACATGACCTGAATCGGGACAAAAGTTGGAAATCAACTGGAAGTGTGTGTTTTTGATCAGATCTGGTCAAACTATTTGTGTAGATCTGATCATTATGTTATTGAATCGTACATATATTACAAACAGATAAAGCAAAGACTTATTGTACTTTTTGGATAGGATGGCTAAACAATTGCCAGACTTGATATGGAGGTCTTTGTTTAGATTTTTGGAGGATCAACCAAAGATAGCCTCAATTGACATTGTCAGCGCTGGACTCACATGCAAGAGATTGATGAATCAAATGGCCAACATGTATCAACTCAAGAGCAACAAATATACATTCGTCAGAACAACAGAGGCGGCAATCTCATCAACAACCACTCCCCCTGACGACGACAACAACAACAACAACAACAATGATAATGATGATAAAGTCAAACAACTCAAATCCAAAGATCAAGATGTAATCACTACTCTAACACTAGAGAGCGAGATAAATGATCCAAGAACACTATCTCAAGGCCCTCTCCCACCCACGTTGACATCACTTACACTTGGCCACTACTTTAATGGCAAGCTTGTTCCAAATGTGCTGCCAGAGTCAATCACCACACTCACCTTTGGATACGACTTTAACAACACTCTCGATCCTTACGTGCTGCCATCATCAATCACCCAATTGACATTTGGATATTCATTCGATCAACCATTGGTCGAAGGCTCACTACCCTACTCACTACAAGAGTTAACATTTGGATACGAGTTTGACAGACCATTGCCTCCAAATGTGCTTCCACCAAACCTCCAAGTGTTGACTTTTGGTGTCGACTTCAATCAATTGATTGACAATGATGTCTTGCCATTGTCCCTCACACATTTAACATTTGGTATATCCTACAATTGTCCATTTGACGAGAGGACACTTCCGAGTTCACTACAAACGCTCAGGTTTGGTCTTCGCTTCAACGCGCCCATCAGGCCTCGGCAACTACCTCAATCCCTCACCTATATTTCATTTGGAGACTACTTTTGTCAACCACTTCAAGAGCTTCCAGCCTCACTGGAGACACTTATGTTTGGACCCTTGTACAATCTACCCATCTCTCCAACGTTGCTATCATCATTATCATCACTCACCAACATATCATTCGGTTACAATTTCAATCATACTCTGCGCCCTGGATATCTTCCAGAATCACTCACGCTGTTAAACTTGAATGACTCATACAACAGTGAACTTGAACCAGGTACTCTACCGAGCTCTCTGGTTAAATTGACAATTGGACGACAATATAATCATCCGATCAAAGATGGAGTGTTGCCAGGGTCACTCCACAAGTTGAAACTGGGACAAACGTTCAACAAGACAATTGTATTTCCAAACAAACTTCAATCTCTCACATTGGGCACACTACAACAATTACATTATATACGATTACTATCACAATCAATGCAGAAATTGACAATCAGAATGGTCGATCTACAAGATGATATTCCAAAATCAATCACAAATGCGCCAAGCATCAGGGAGATGATTGCATGGATTGGCTTTGGCTCCAAACACCTGAAAGGGTCTCATAGTCCTCAGAGACTCCAACATCTCCAACGTGGACTGATCAAAAAGATGGTTCAAGCTCTACCCAATGTTCATAACTTTAGGATCAACAATATGATTGGGATAGTTCCACTAAATTGTAGACTGTTGGACAAGGATCACCTACTGTGCGTGTCATGGAGTCTCATACCACAAGCTCCAAAGGTCTTGATATTGCCACTATTGGACAAGAAGTCATTCAGATCATTTTTCAATAAACTCATCAACTGAATATTGATTTGTAATTTGTAATAATAATAATTTATTATTTATATTTTTAAAATAAAAAGTAAATTTTAAAAATCCAATTAAATATATAACGATAGGCCATTGTATTGTCATGAATTAAATCGTTTCCCAGATCTCTACAAGTCGATTTCACGGAAAAAAAAAAAACAAAAACAATTTGCTCGATGCAGGGATCGAACCTGCGACCGCGGCGTTATTAGCACCGTGCTCTACCGACTGAGCTAATCGAGCAGCTGGTGCCAAAACACAAATTCCACATGATTTATACCTAAATCGAATTAGTTACTGCGATTTTTTTTTTTTCAAAAATCGACCATTTATGATCATACCCTACCCTATTTATTAATAAAGGGATATATAAATAATTATTTGAATAGGATTTTGTTTCTCTATTAATTGGTACAATTGGTTAATATACTATCAAATGTCAGACTACAATAATGAACAAATAATGCGATGTCCAACACACTGTCTACATCCCATCCAACACACTGTTGAACGACAGGTGAAGTGGGTTGATCAATGATCATCTGTGAGTGGTTATCGAGTTGGTGGTGTGGTGGTGCTATCCCTGCATATATATATATATATAAATATAAATGGAAACAACAAACAACATGTGTACGTTCACTTCAACAACAACAATCCACAGTAGCAACCTGTCTGTCTGCTGTTATTCGAATACAACATCAACATCATTGCAATATCAATTAGTAATCATCCCAATCAGAGATAGAGACAAGAGTTAATTAACTATTATTGCGTTAGACAACTACAACAATAACAACTGGAATTTAACAAATGTAAAGTTTTTTTGTTGAATGATCATTTGGACCATTGTGTTGTGTTATTGGAGAGAGTGTGTGCGTATCTTGGTGTGTTTAGGTTTAACTCATAGTCTCATGGAATCCAGAAGGTCAATCACGACACACAACCCAACAATGCATTCAATTTCGAGTTCAATATTGACTGGATTGTGATTGTGAACACACATCCATCCCCACTTTGTTGTGATAAATCACTCATTCTTCTTCCACCTCCAATCCAACAACATCTTCATAGATATACATATTATTTAAGTAGTAGTTTGTACATACCGTAATCAACAACAATAAGGTAACTACACACCCGATCAATCTGTTTGTCTGTATCTCTGATCAACCAATTGGTATCATTGATCAGTTTGTTTGTTAATATTACCGCAGAGTCAGTTGACATCATTACTACAATGATCCAACCAATCATTTGCTCAATCAACTAGAGAGACAGCCCCATCATCGGTGCTCCTCTAGTTACCTTATGCACCATATAGTGGGGACTCATTGTGATCCCTAGGTTTGCCTTTGGTTGTCATCTTCCAACACCACTCACCAGTCAATCATTGATTTAATTTTGATTTGGAGACCAACCAAACAAAGGTGGTGTGGTGTCTTGTGACCTTTCAAACTTCACCAACCCCACACTCATCTAATCAAATGAATAATAATGTGAGTGTGTTGTTGCTGTTGCTCAAAGTAGACCAAGTGTGTTTGTGGTGTGAGTGTCATCTCTTCCTTGAGTCAGTCAGTCAACATTCATTAATATCATTCAGTTCAGTTCATTCAATCAATCAATCAATCATTCATTCATTCAATATATATATTGTATGTGTATATAACTTATTGTTGTGGTTGGTATACATGGCCATTCAAATACAAACATCCCCGAGACTCATCGGACATTCAAAACTGACACAAACCAATCACTCTCAACATTGATGATGAATGATCAAACAACACAACAGTGTAGTATAGGAGAAAAACAAAGAAAGAAATGATCAAACAAGATAATCAAGGCTCACTGCCACAATCACCTCAGTTGCAGTCTTTCGGACAGAGATCCTCAGACCAGGCCACCGAGGACAACTTCTTGAGACGTCTCGAGGCATTGGGTGCAACCGCTCCCAATGACACGGTGAGACGCGACTTTCTCGTGAAGGAGGTGCCAGCCATCAACAAGCTGTTCACCAGGTTCCTCAAGAACAGAAAGAAGGTCATCGACTGGGAGAAGATCAGACCACCTCCCACCGAGATGGTGCTCAACTACAAGGAGTTGCCACAGTGCTCTCATGAGCGTCGTACAAGCCTCGCCGGAAAGCTTGCCGTTCTCAAGCTCAACGGTGGACTCGGAACAACAATGGGTTGCACTGGTCCCAAGTCTGCCATTGAGGTCAGAAGTGACAAGACCTTCCTGGATCTGACAGTTCAACAGATCAAGGTATGTAGTTAGTTAGTTTGTTGATGTCTAATGTTGTTGTTGAAACTAACCAATTGATATACCTATAGGACATGAATGAGCACTATAACATTAAGGTGCCATTGGTACTGATGAACTCGTTCAACACTCATCATGAGACTGGCAAGATCATCCAAAAGTACAAGTACTCGGACGTCAAGATCCACTCATTCAACCAAAGCCGTTTCCCAAGAATCCTAAAGGACAACCTGATGCCAGTCCCCGAGAAGCTGTTTGGGGATGATGCCGAGTGGTACCCACCTGGACACGGTGATGTCTTCTTCTCCCTGCAGAACTCTGGCCTGCTCGACACCCTCATCAAGGAGGGCAAGGAGTATCTGTTCATATCCAACGTGGATAATCTTGGAGCAGTTGTAGATTTTAGTATGTATCATCCTCTTGTTGTTGACGACAATTCAACCAAGATAACTAACCAACATTATTACAACAACAAAAACAGATATATTAGACATGATGGAGACCATCGGATGTGAATACGTGATGGAGGTTACCAACAAGACCAGGGCTGATGTGAAGGGAGGCACGCTGATCGAGTATGAGGGCAAGGCCAAGTTGTTGGAGATTGCCCAGGTGCCATCATCCAAGGTCGAGGAGTTCAAGTCGATCAAGAAGTTTAAGATTTTCAACACCAACAACATCTGGGTCAACCTAAAGGCCATCGACCGTGTCTTGAAGGCCAACCAACTCGATGACATGGACATCATCATCAACCCAAAGGTTGCTGACGGTAAGTCCATCCTTCAGTTGGAGATTGCCGCCGGAGCCGCCATTGAATTCTTCAACAACGCACGTGGAGTCAATGTGCCACGTTCTCGTTTCCTGCCCGTAAAGTCCACCTCTGACCTCTTCATCGTTCAGTCCAACCTGTACTCCCTGGAGAACGGTATGCTCGTGATGAACAAGAACCGTCCATTCACTTCGGTTCCACTGGTGAAGCTAGGTGACAACTTCAAGAAGGTGTCTGACTATCAGGCCAGAATCAAGGGCATTCCCGACATTCTCGAGTTGGACCAGTTGACAGTGTCTGGTGATGTGACGTTTGGAACGGGCATTGTGCTCAAGGGTACCGTCATCATCGTGGCCAACCATGGATCGAGAATCGATGTTCCCGAGGGTTCTGTATTTGAGAACAAGGTCGTCTCTGGAAACCTGCGCATTCTGGATCAATAGTTAGTTAGATGGACAACATGTGTGGCTATGTGTTTGTATACCTATGCCATTTCAACGCGCTGATGATGCGCGTCATCAAACAAGCTTCCCTACTTCCTTTCATTCAATAAACTTGCTCAACATCAAAAGTGATCATTCCCATTTTTGGAACTCAATATGAGATAGAATCAATCAAAAAGACAACAGATAACAACAACATAGATATGTCACAGTTCCCTGCACCTCTATTCAAAGCACCCTACTACAGCGTAATCTTTACAAGCAAAAAGACAGAGGGAGACTTTGTTTCTAATGGCTACTACGATACAGCTGTTCGAATGGACGAGCTAGTTGCAAAGATTCCGGGTTACCTGGGAGCCGAGTCCATTCAATCTGAGGGCAAGTCGATCACTGTCAGTTACTTTGAATCGATAGAGGCAATCAAAGAATGGAAGCTACAACCAGAGCACAAAGATGCCCAAGCAAGAGGAAAAGCCGAATGGTATCAACACTATCGTATCAGAGTGTGCAAGGTAGAGAGAGAGTATGGCTTTGACAAAGAATAAACCCATAGGTATTGTACGTACACGTTTGGTTGATTCATGTTGACGCGCGTCAACAACGATGCTACTTTATTTACATGGTATAGAAGGGATGTTCAAAACGATTACCAACGAGGTGATGATTGCCATTGCTATGAGGTCCTACAATGGAGTCCATCAGGGGTGAGTTGGAGAGTATTGGAAGGCCGCTGCTGTTGTTGGCCAGTGGGTTGGACGTGGAGAACATTGAGCCATAGCCGCCGCCAATGGCACCAATGCTATGGAAGGCATTGTTTGATGACGCTGGTGGGAGCTGGCCAACTCTATTGTTGCCATTGTTGTTGTTGGAGTTAAGCAGATTGTAACTGTTGTAGTTATGGTTCAATGGATCCCAAGTGTTGATGTTGCCCAGTGGTAAGGTGCTACTACTGGTGCCGTTGCCAACAATGTTGCTGCCATGATAGCCATTGTACAATGGAGGTGACTGGGGCGATTGTTGTTGGTGCTGGGAAAGGTATGGACCGCCAGAGAAGAATGAAGAATGAGTGTGACTGCCGCTGCTGCTACTGCCATGATTGCTGTTTCCGCCAATTGGTTGGCCAATCGCACCTGGTACCGATGGGATCGATTGAGGAGTGGTGGTGGTAATTGTCGTGGTTGTCGTGATAGTCTGAGACGTGTTCATTCCCAATGGATAGCCGTGTCCAAACATCGATGCAGCGTTCTGTTCATATGCCGATGTGATGTAGTCGTTGAGGTGTCGAGAGTCGAACAAGGTGCTTGACAGGTATGAGTCCATCGTTGAAGTGTTCTTTGGATTGCCGTTGTCCATAGACAGTGCCGGCTGCTTGAAGAAGAAATCAGATGATGAGGAAGAGGCGTGCTGTTGATCATTGTGTGCTGAGTTCAACATGTTGCTGCTGACGGATCTGTCATTGATGTCCAGAGTGGAAATGGGCTTGTGGATATTGTGCAGGATTGAATCAATGTCATCGTCATTGTCCACGAACGATGGAGATGTTGTTTCTGTTGCTGCCATCAAAGCAGATTGTATGTTGTGTTGGAAGTTATCATTGATCGATGGGTTGTGGACATGGTTGTTGGGGACAACATATCTCTGCATCTTTGGTATGAAGTCTGGCGATTTGGGACTCAAGGTAGAGGTAGGTTGAGACTTGGTCGGTGTCAGATGAGGCAATGGTTGTGGCTCAGCTTGGACTTGATGTTGCTGAACTGTAGCTGGCTGTGGTGGTGGCTGTACGGTGATTGTTGCGGTGCTTGCCTCCACAGGCTGGCCGGTGGTATCTGGCAGAATGCAAAGACTCTTGACGGTCACCTTTGGCTTAGATTGCTCCATTGCCTTCTTGTTCCTCTCCAGTCTTTGTTGCTGCTTCTTCAACTCCTTTGCACGCCTCTGCTCCTCCTCTTTCCTTTGCTTCTCAGTCTTCTCCTGACTCTTTGATTCATTGACCTTCTCTTGCATCCTCAAACGCTCTTCCTCACGCTTCTTTGCCTCTTCCTCCTTCTTCTTCTGTCTCTCACGTTGCTTCTCTTCCATCTTGCGCTGGTCCTCTAGCTTCTTCAGTCTCTCCTCCTCCTCCTTCTGCTTCAACTTTCTCTCCTTCTCCTCACGTTGCTTCTGGGCCAACTCTCTCTGTTTCTCAATCTTCTCCTTCTTGTTCCTAGCCTTTTGCTCGCGTAGTTGTCTCTCTCTCTTCTCATTCTGCTCCTCCTCTTCCAGTAGATGTCTCTGTCTCTCTAGTATCAGTCGCTCCCTTTATGAACGTCAGAGGGTCAGTCAATGATTGAATGAATGAATGATTGTACATACTTGTAGGCTGCCAGTACTCTTTGCTCGAACATCTTTGAGGCAAAGACATGGAACATCTTCCTTCCCTCCTCCATCTGTCTTTCCTCATCGTCATCGTCATCATCTTCATCATCGTCTTCATCATCGTCGTCGTCGTCATCGTCATCTTCGTCATCGTCATCATCTTCGTCATCTTCTTCGTCGTCATAGTCTTCGTCATCTTCATCATTGAGCTCATAACGATCACTATTCAGTGCGCTCTCATCTTCGTCCTCTTCGTCCTCATCATCCTCGTCCAGATCGTTCTCATCGACATCCAGCTCATCATCTTCATATTCTCCAATGTCAACACCATCAGTGTAGTGATGTTGATGCTGATGATGATGTTGATGATGTTGATGATGATGACTCTGATGTTGACTGATCTGTTGTCTGATGAATGATCCATTGATCAAACCTTTGACGCCACCATTATTCAGATTGATGTTCATGCTGATGTGATGCTTGCCGACGCCAGCTTGGACATTGGCACGAGTCTCCTCGATCTGTATTCGCAAGTCCTCTTCGGCAAGTATGTTTGGATGATCGTAGACCTGCTCGGACAACTCCTCACGTCTAACACGTCGCTCGGCCAACTTCTCCATCAACTCAATAAAGTGCTTGCCCTCATTTCGAAGGAACTCCTCCTCAGAAGATGTCGTTGTCTTGTACCTCGATGACCCATTCTTTGTCTTATACTGTCTGATAATCTGTGCTTGTGGCTGTGGCTGTGACTGTGGCTGTGGCTGTGTTTGTCGTTGTTGTTGTTGTTGTTGCTGTTGTAACTGTTGAAGTTGTTGTTGTTGCTGTTGTTGCTGTTGTTGTAGCAACTGTTGTCTCATTTGAAGTTGTTGAGCCTGCGCCTGTGGTTGTTGTTGAGACACTTGTTGTTGTTGTTGGCCCTCCTTCATATCGATCAGGTATGATACTTTGTCGTTCATCTTCTCGTAGTACTTGATCTTCTCGTAGTAGGAGTCGTAGAGCATCTCTAGCTCCTCCTCGATGACCACCCGACGACGTCCACATACACTGCATGAACATGTATGTTTCTGTTGGTCCTTCATTTTCCTCAACAATGACTCCTTCTCCAGACGCACCAACTCGCCACGCTCCTCCTCACTCAATGATATCCAAAACTCTCTCAACTTTTGTTTGTCCACATCTTGTTGTTGTTGCTGTGATTGTTGCTGTTGCTGTTGCTGTTGTTGTGGCTGTTGAGGCTGTTGTGGTCTTTGTGGTTGTTGTGGTTGTTGTTGTTGTGGCGGGGTGTCTTTGGCTATCATTGCACGAAGTGTCTTCCTTGGAGCTGACAGACGCTTGTATTGGTATACCCTCTCTCCATCTTGTTGCTGTTGCTGTTGCTGTGGTTGTTGCTGCTGTTGCTGTTGCTGTTGCTGTTGTTGCTGTTGCTGTTGTTGTCTAAGTTGTTGCAACTGCTGTTGAGTGAGTGGCTCCTCTTGTACTCTTGTTGGAGCATGCTTTCTCTTTCCAAGTCCTTTGTTACTATTGTTATTATTGTTGTTATTGGATGATGATGTATCTTGGACATTGGTGGTGTTGGTATCATCAACAGATGCATGTGGTGGTTGTTGTTGTTGTTCATCATCGTCGGCAGTGTATTGATATTGCTTTGATGTGAGTGATGATGTGTTGTTGGCATTGGTTGACCTTGGTGATTGAGTCAATGATCGTTGTGACAACAATGACGCAGATGCCGATGGTTGTTTCAATGATGAGTTGGCAATCTGTTGCCAAGTGGGTTGTTGTTGTTGTTGTTCAACACTATTGCCCACTTCACCTTGATGTTGTGATGGTGATGGTGGTACTTGTTGAGACATGTCTTTCACTTTTATCTCTATTCTCTATCTCTATCTCTCACTATATCTCTCTTATTTCAATAATATGAATCAGAGACCTGAGGTCCAATCAATCTGAAGTCAGAAGTGATATAATTCTTATATATCTCAGAGTGGTAGATGTATATATATGTGTATGTATAATGTGTATGTGTGTGTTGTTGAAGTCATCTGATCCTCCACTCCCCTCTTGCACTCAAAGTACTACCTTGAAGGATGCACACTCACTCGATCGAAAGAGCAAACCACTCCGGCAGGTCACTCTCACTCTCTCTGGCTCTGAAAAAAAAGCATCCAACCAAAACAACCACGTGATCACTCCTGTGTGCAAAGTGGTCAGCTGATTGATTGCTTTGATAGAAAATGGCTATCTCTATTCCTGAGCATCCCAATGACGGTGGATGCGGAGTGGAATGTAATAGAATGGGATGGAATGGAGGGTAGTTGAGTGTAGTGGAGTGGCAGAGTAATCATTATGTACGTGGAAAAAAGCAAGGATGGATGAAGTTTATGTTGTTGTTGTTGTTGCCTACTTATTACTTTGGTTGTTTGTTTGGTTGGTTGGTCGAAATAACCTTGATGGAATGTGACTGAATAAATACAAGAGGTGTGTGTGTGTGTGAGGTTGTGATGGGAGGGGAAGGAGTGGAAGGAAAGGAGATTGATTTGTAATCCATATTCTTGGTTGGTTGTCATTTGTATGTCGTTGTTGCAAAGTGTTCCTTCTAATGTCGGGTCGACCCTTTGATGGTTGTTGGTTGGTGTCTCATCATCATCATCATCATTAACATCACTTTCATTGTTTCATCAAATGTTCAGGATCTGCAACATATGTAAAACCTGTTTGATTGATTGATTGATCGTGATTGGTTGGATGAATGTTAATATATATGTATCCATGGATACAGGAGAGGAGTCTTAGTTGGACTTACCTTCGAAATCTTTTTGTTGTGATGGATGTAATGCACTCTCACCGGCCATGGTCAAGGATGGCGCCTCATCGGTAAAGACTGGATCGATTTGTGATGTGTCGGCATTGCCCTTGACCACGGGGATAAAGGGTGGAGGGATCTTCTTTTGGAAGAGTAGCTCCCAGTCGATGGCCTTGAAGAATGGATGTCGCTTGATGATGTTTGGGTCGGCCAGACGCTTCTCGGGATCGCGCTCCAAAAGCATCTCGAGCAACGATCTGGCGTCTGGTGAGATGTGGCCGGGGAAAGCGAGACGCTCGCCCATGATCTTGCGGTACATCTCCTGCACGTCCTGGCTGTAGAATGGGGGCAGGCCCGTGAGCATCTCATAGAGCAGCGAGCCGAATGACCACCAGTCCACCTGCTTGCCGTAGCCGTTGCCCTGCAACACCTCTGGCGCCAGGTACTCTGGCGTGCCACAGAACGTGACGGTCTTGTCCGTGGGCGAGTTAAGGCCCTCCTTGCACAGACCAAAGTCGGTCATGCAGATGTGTCCCTCGTTGGTGAGCAGCAGGTTCTCGGGCTTGAGGTCGCGGTAGATGACGCCCGACAGATGGAGATGCTCGAGGGCCAGGACGATCTCGGCGCCGTAGTAGCGCACACGCTCCTCGCTGAAGCGCTTCTCGCGCTGCAGATGGTAGAAGAGCTCGCCACCATTGACAAAGTCCAGGATGAAGTAGAGCTTGTCCTCGGTCTGGAACGAGTAGTTGAGGTTGACGAGGAAGGGATGGTTGATCTTTTGCAGGATGTTACGTTCGGACAGCGTGTGCTCCACCTCGTTGTGCTCGACGATGTGCTTCTTGGACAGCACCTTCATGGCGTAGATCTCGCCCGTGTCCTTCTTGCGCACCTGAATCACCTTGCCAAAGCTGCCCTTGCCCACCAGGTTGAGCAGGTCAAAGTCGTGCACGCCCACCTTCTCTGGCTTCTTTGGCTTGTTGCCGTTGAGCAGCAGATCACGCTGCACCGTCAGCACGTCGATCCACTTGTTGCGATCGGCGTCCGTGTCTGCTGTGATAAAGTAAGTGCGCGATGGTGTCTGCACCTCAAATCCATGCAACTTCTTCTTCCTATCCGATGTCTTTATGTGACCTACAGTATTCAAATGGATCACTCCCAATGGTGCTGCGTCCTAATGATTGAGTATGTTGAGTATGTTGAGTAAGTTGAGTGATTGAGTGAGAGGTCGCCGCATCATGTGATTGATACCTACACCCTTGGACTTGAAGTAAGAGAGATCATCATGTCTCAGAATGAACCATCTACGCTTCCAACTCTTGAAGCCTCCACCTTCCTTTGTGAGGAATCCTTCATGCTTAATCGTAGTGTTATTTGCGCCATTTGATTGTGGCGTTACTGTTGTCTGCGTCATGATATTATGTCTTCTTTATGCGTATGTGATTGATTGAATGATTGATTGATTGATTGAAGTTGTTGCGCTAGACTAGTATGTCCTCCTCCCCTTTGTTTGCTATTATTATGTACAAATACTAATACTAATACTACTATTACAATGATTGAATATATATTATATATCTAACTAATAAGTGTTTAGATAGTTTGTCTGAGTTCTAAATGACACCAATGTTGGGTTGGATTCAAGAAGGTGCGTTTTAGAAGTTTGTTTGTGTTTGTTCGATCGATCGATGTAATGTGTTGAAGTTGCCAAAAGAAATGAAGTGAAGTTGTCCAAGTTGAATGAATGAATGAATATATATATAAATGTTTAAGTTTGAACTTATACCTATATACCTATTCTTGATGATTGATGTTGTTGCTGTACATGTATCAATGTTGTTATCTATCTTTTTGGAATGGTTGTGTTGTTGATAAAGTACTTGCAACCTTTGGGTTAGTGGGTGGTCCACACTCACACCCTCTTGAAGGACCAACTGATCAATTTGCACCCAAACACAAACAAAACAGAACTCTCCTTTTTTTTTAAAATATTTTTTATGCTCAAGTCATAATCGATTGTTAGTGTGTGTTTTGTTTGTGTGATCATCGTCACATTATTTGAATAAATAAAAACCTGTATGGTTTATGAGTGATCGGATCCACCACAAATGTTGGAGACCCGACTCTTTGGCACATTGGGCATCAACTCGAGGCCTCGAAAGATATTATTATTGGATCTTAAGATCCCAACCACTTTGGGAACTTTCCAAATAGAACTTCATTTCGACTTGGTGTTCGTGCTTATGTGTTGTGATCGTGTGATCAATAGTGTGGAATGATTCCATTGGAATGAATGAATGAATGTATATGTATGTTTATTGATAGCAAGTACTATGGACGTACTTTGGTGGTTCATTTACAAGAGAGGGTGATTGCTGTTGTTAATATCTCCTGTAGTCAGTGGTCTCGACTTCACATGGCTCAATGCCCCAGATCTGTTGAGCGTACTCCTTCATGGCACGATCACTGCTGAAGAAGTAGGTGCTGGCAGTGTTGATGATAGACTTGCGGATCCAGTCATCTGGACGCTTCCACAGGTTGTCAACCTCCTCCTGCGCATCAAGGTAAAGTGGGAAGTCCTGCATGGTCAGATAGAAGTCGCCATAGTTGAGTGAGTCGAGGATGGGCTTGAAGACTTCGGGCGCGCCAAATGTGCCCAGCTCAATGTTGAGGAACACTTCCTGGAGACGCGAGTCGACCACGACCTCCTTGGCCTTCATCTTCTCGCGTGCCTTGTCAATCTCGCTCGTGCGCAGACCAAAGATGAACATGTTCTCCTGGCCGACCTCCTCGGCGATCTCGACGTTGGCACCGTCCAGGGTACCAATGATCAGGGAGCCGTTCATTGTGAACTTCATGTTGCTGGTACCCGACGCTTCGGTTCCGGCGGTGGAGATCTGCTGGTTGATGTCACTGGCGGGGATGATCACCTGGGCCACCGACACGTTGTAGTTGGCGATGAACACCACCTTGAGGTGCTCGTCGACCTCCTTGTCGTTGTTGATCACCTCAGCCACCGAGTTGATCAGCTTGATGTGTCGCTTGGCCATGAAGTAGCCGGGTGCCGCCTTGCCGGCAAAGATGACGACGCGTGGCGCCACGTTGCGGCGCTCCTCTGGCGACATCTTCTTGATGGTGAGGTAGCGGTGGATAACGCTGAGGATGTTGAGCAGCTGGCGCTTGTACTCATGGATACGCTTTATGTGCACGTCGAACAAGGCATTGATGTTGACCTTGATGCCGCAGTGCTCCAAGATGAAGTCAGCCAGACGCTGCTTGTTGATCAGCTTCATTTGCTTCCACTCCTCAATGAGCTGTGGGTTGTCCATGTGCTCCTTGATACCCTTGATCAGCTCTAGATCGATCACCCACTTGTCTGTGTTGAGCCATCTGTTCAGGATGTTGCTGAGTGTTGGGTTGGCCTGCTGGATCCAACGGCGTGGTGTCACACCGTTGGTCTTGTTCTGGAACTTGTCGGGGAACAAGGCGAAGAAGTCTGGGAACACCTTGTGCTTGACCAGGTCAGAGTGCATGGCGGCCACACCATTGACGCAGTGCGAGCCGACGATGGCCAGATGTGCCATTCTCACCTTCTTCTCCTCGCCCTCCTGGATGATGGAGAGACTTCTCATCTTTTCAATGTTGTCTGGCCACTTTTGTGTGACGGTAATGAGGAAGCGATGGTTGATGCCGTAGATCAGCTGCATGTGGCGAGGCAGCAGATCTTCGATAAGCTTGACTGGCCACATCTCGAGGGCCTCGGGCAGGATGGTGTGGTTGGTGTACGCGAAAGTCTTGGTGACGATGGACCAGGCCTCGTCCCAGGCAAGTCCCTCCTCGTCCAACAGCTTCCTGAACAGCTCGATGACACCAATGGTGGGATGTGTGTCGTTCAGCTGAACGGCCACCTTGTTGGGGAACTCCTTCCAGTCGGTGTGAGACTTCTTGTAACGACGCACAATGTCGCAGAGTGTGGCCGCCACGAAGAAGTACTGTTGCTTCAGACGCAGCTCCTTGCCACTGTAAGTGTTGTCGTTGGGATACAGCACCGATGTGATGTTCTCCGAGCGCTGCTTGGCCTCGACGGCGCTCAGATAGTTGCCTCCATTGAATGCCTCCAGGTCAAACTCCTTGTGTGGCTTGGAGCTCCACAGACGGATGTTGTTGGTGTTGGTGGTGTGGTAGCCTGGCACGGGTGTGTCGTAGGCGATAGCCTGCACCAGCTCGCCTCCCTCCCACTCGTGGCGCACGCCCTCGCTCGTCTTGCGCTCGACCACCTGGCCGTAGAATCGCACCGTGTACTGTACATCCAAACGTTCAATCTCCCATGGGTTGCCAGCGACCAGCCAGTAGTCTGGCACCTCAGTCTGGTAGCCATCGTAGATGCCCTGCTCGAACATTCCGTAGTTGTAGCGCAGACCGTAGCCCCAGGCTGGGTACTTGAGCGTGGCCAGCGAGTCCATGAAGCATGCGGCCAGTCTGCCCAGACCACCGTTGCCGAGTGCGGCGTCCTTCTCCTCCTCGTAGAGGTCTTCCAGCTCGAAGCCAAACTCGAGCAGGGCGTTGTGGTACTCGTCCTTGAGGTTCATGTTGTAGACGGCGTTCTGGAGTGTGCGGCCCATCAAGTACTCCATCGACAAGTAGTAGACACGCTTTGGGTCCTGCTCAGTGTAGTACTGTTGAGTCTCATTCCATCGCTCAATCAAACGATCTCTAACACTGTAGGCTGAGCCCTGGTATGCAGAGAACGAGTCAAAGTTATACTTTGTTCTGGCCAATGTGTACTCCACATGATCCAAGATACCCTTTTGAATAGAGTCCTCATCTGTATATCGCAATCATTCATGTGAGTCGCAGTGCAGATGGATAGATATGAGTAAGAAAGACTGGATGGACAATGTTGGATCGATTAGTTGACGTACCATTCTTAAGGAAGTCAGTCTTCAAGGCAAATAGCTTGCTTCCCTTCTTCTTCTCTGTTGGTGGCACGACACCAGTAGTGGTTCGTGCCGTTTGCTTATAAGGCATTTGCATCATCTTTGATTGTTTGTTTGTTGTTGTTAACAGATATATATATCTACAATTGTTATGTTACTGTTTATCCAGTAGATAAGTAGGTAAGTATTGTATATCAGGTAGATGATAAATGTGATTGTGTTTGCAAAGGTATATATATATACTCTAATGAGAGAGTAGATGTTGTAGTGATGTGAGAGAGTGAGGAACAACACAATTGTACACAAACACACAACAAGGTAAGGTGGCTCGTCTTTCCCATTCATCTCCATGTGCTTCGGAAGCACACACATTCAAACTCCCCCATCCATCCATCTTATCACCAATGCCAATGCCATTCATTCAATCACCGCATGGTCGGGGGTTAAGCTGATCCAACTGTGGTTGTTGGAAGACCACAATGATTGATTGATTGAATTCCAATTCCCTAAATGAATGATTGATTGAACTTACACTTTAGTTTAGTTTTGTTTGTTATTATTATTTAATTATTATATATAAGTACAGATAATTATTACAAGATTATTATGATTGATGATGTTCAGTAATGAATACAGCAAGCTGGTCACATGATCTATGATAGTCGACTGATGAGTGATCTCAACACATGAGCAACTTTGTGGCTTGACCCCTGAAGTTGATTGGGCGCCCACCCACTCACCTTCTGTTCATGAATTTTGGGCGTGCCACTTTCACTCTATCTATCTTTGGCAAAGGCCCATTAAGGTGCGGGACCCGCGTAGCCCCAAACCTCCTGGGGGTTGGCGAGATGATGTTTGCAGTCCTGGGACATCTTTTGCATCTCGGTCGCGATCTTGGCGAACAAACCTTACCATTACCCTTTTGCCCTTGCCCTTTGTCTTTGATATGCATTACATGTACAACTCGAGTTTATTCAATAGCATTAGCATAGCCACTTGTGGCTTGACTTTACTGGACTAACAAACTAACTTGCGGCCATGGCAGCAGCCTTCTTCTTCTTGGGCCTGCTGTCAGCGCCATTGTTGCTGCTCGACTTGAGCACCTTGCGATTCTCCTCGATCAACACATTCTTGACTTCGTCCCAAGCAAACTTGACATCTTTCTTGTAGCGCGCAGCAATGTAGTGTGTGTACAGGGGCTTGGTCGTGTTGGTGAGCTTGGCCTCGAACTGCGCCTTGATGTAGTCCAGCGCCACTTGAACGTTTCGTCCGCCCTTGTACTCTGGGAAGCATTTGGTCAGGTCGGCCTTGTTCAGCAGCATCGTCTCAAACAGGTCCTTCTTGTTCAATAGCAGGAATATGGGAGTGTTGGCAAAGATTGGATTGTTGCAGATCTGACCAAACAGTGTCAGTGCCTCTAGCATTCGGTTCTGTGATGGGTCTTCAAACATCACCTGATCATAACCGGCCAGATTGACTACGAAGAACAATGCCTTGACGTCATCAAAGCAGTGTATCCATTTCTTTCGCTCATTACGCTGTCCACCCACGTCAATCACCCTATAATGCACAGGACCTTCTTCCAGGTCCGTCGTCGAAATACCTGTCGTCCTGACTCTCGTCATAATACAATCCTCCTCTGTTGGTCTAAAGTCATCCTCCAGGAATCTTTCAATGTTATCAAAGTAACTATAATTGATTGATTGATCGAGTGAGCGTTAGTGTGTGATCAATCACTTGATGAATGATGTGATGTGATGGAATGGTTCCATGAATGAATGTTTGAGTGTGTCCATGTGGTTGATTGATCGAGTGATTGGAATGATTCCAGTGATGGGAGGGTGAGACTTACTATGGAGTGGCATCCAAGAACCAATACTCTGATCTTCTCTCCCAAATCTTTTGGATATCAGGGTCTTTCCACAACTCTTCAATATCCAATCCAATGTTTACTGGCATCTGTTTAACATCTTGTTCAAACTGGAATGCTCTCACTGATGTAGCTCGTTTCTACACAATGATTGGGTCAGTGAATGATTGATTGATTGATTGAATCATGGAACATACTTTAGCCTCTGGATCTGTTAATTCAACATGTAATGTATCAGCTGCTTCTAGTAGGACTTGCATACAGAGTACGGTATTCTTGTGAATGTTGATGGCATAACTTTGTAGTTCAGCATCGTCGACTGGTAATCTATATATGGATCTAAGTTGCTTGACAACTGTAGACTTGCCAGATTCACCAGCGCCTAACAATAGTACTCTGAATTCCAACTGAGCATCCTTGCCTGCCTGTCTCAAATATTGATTCAAACTATCATTATGCTTGGTTGCCGGTGTCTCCAACTGTTTCGAATTTGTGCATCCCATTATTATTATTATATTATATATTTCCAGAATATCTGGATGTAATTAATTGATTGATTGATTGAAATGTCTGGAAATCTGATCAACTTTGATATGTAATCTTGATTGATTGATTGAATGATTGGTTAGAGAGATGTTTGGATTATCCTCCTGATCGAAGTTGGACTTGTTGAAGTGGTCTTGGATTGATGTTGGGTTGAGTTGATTGATTGATTTGGTATATATCTGATTGATTGGATGGATAATGAAGAATAGAGATGTATTGGGAGTGTACTACTGAATACGGAGATGTTGATGGTATGTATCGACCACTCAGAGAGTATTGGGGATTGATTGTGTGTTCCAACAACAACAACAAATACATGTCTGTCTGTGCGGGAGTGTCGATAATCACATGACTGTGCTAACCTCACACACACACACACATCATAAGGAAAGCAAGCCTTCTATTCATTCAAATAGAACTAAAGTGAGTGAATGAATGAATGTTCAACATCAATAGTTATAAATGGAAGTGAAGTGTGGGATAAGGATACTGTTTCGTCGATTTACCGTCGTGAGTGATTGATTGGTTGATGTGTTAGTGTTTGTGTGAGATTGTGTTTGTGTCCGTAATTAAACTGATGGTCCACCCATCATTGGTGGTTGTGACGATGTGGGTGATGGACGCGTATCATGTGTGTTTATGATTGATTGAGTGTGGTAGATAGTTGGTGGAGACACATCGTGATCAAAATGTGTATGGTATGAGATAAAGATGAGTGATAGAAGTGTGTTGTGAACTTATGTGCGATCGATCAACAACATGAGAGACATAATTATGAAGTACTGGAATACATACATTCCGCCTATCTATCTATCTATATTCCTCTGACTCTCTTTGTCTATCTGACGATTTAGTGATACATTGACTAATGATACGATTGATACAAATACAAAAGTTTGGTTGATTGATTGATTGAATATGGATGAAGGTCATTCAATTCAAGACGTCGTCGTCGATGAGTTAATGATTGATGGTCACTCCGAACACTACTTATGTGTGTAACGATGGCGAATAGGTTAGACGGGGGTAGGGCATCCAGCACAGGTTGGACATGTCCATGGTCCTTTGCAGTTGGATGGATGGTTTTGTTGAGGATGTTGTGGGTGTGGGGGTAAGTCCTTGTTGATGTGGATTGGGGCATTCGGCCCAAAATCGGTTGGGTGGTCCATTGAAAGGGAGAGAGGGGGTTGTTGGGCTTGTTGGGCTTGTCGGGTGACATGTGGTGTGACCTTGTTGGACATCAATCCTTCCAAAAACGAACGAACTTAATAATAGCTTAAGGTCATAAAAAATAACTATCCTGTTATTATGAACAAACAAACTAAACCAATGAATGGATGGGTCAATTAATGGGTTCATTCGTATGAAATTGACCTACACACGTAAACTAAATAATAATAAGTTATAATAATAATAATAATAACAATAATAATAATGGTACATAATACAGAAGACAATATTAATGAACTTCATCATCAACAAGTTGGAAATGGACACGAGCATGGGAATAGAGATGGTCATGCACATGGACATGGACATGGACATGGACATGGACATGGATATGGACATGGATATGGACATGGACATCATTCATGGAAACCATTAGTAGATGTGTATGAAACTGATTTGGACATGACAATATATATTGAGTTGCCTGGAATGAGGAAGGAAGATATACATTTGGATGTTATTGGCAATGAACTACAAATCAAAGGAGAGAGAATATATCCTTCATCCACAATGATGGAGGATCGTCAATATACTTCACATTCACATTCACCAACATCAGCTTCAGCACAATCACCATCAATCAATGAAATAGACTTGGATCACCATCTTGAAGATGAACAACATAATCATGGGGATCAAGAACATAATGGAGGTGGAGTAGGAGTTGTGGGAACAGTCAATGATGGAATATTCAGAAGAATGGAGATACAAAGAGGTAGATTCAATCGAAAGTTCATGTTACCTGTTGACAAGGTTGACATAAGTTCAATCGAAGCCGAGTACAATCAAGGTATACTCGAAGTCAAACTACAAAAGGTGTTATCACTTCCAATTAATGGTGTAAATAGCATAAAGATAGAGTGATCTACATAGTGTAATGTAATACAAAAGGTGACTTGACTTGGCATGACTTGACTTGATTGAGTGATTGATTGATTGAATCAATGAGTGAGAGAGTGAACCTTACCTTTGTATTTTGGGCTGGTTAGTTGACAATGAAGTAATAATAAACAGGTTAAAATAGATAGTCGTTCGTCTATATCATCACAAGAGACTCAACGAAAGATGTTACATCAACTTCACCACAGTGAAGTAATAAGTATCTAGTAGTTTAGAATGCAAACACCTCATCAATGACCCTCATTCAGCAGCCAGGCAGCCAAGTTATAATAAAAGTTGGGAACCGACTTGCAGATGCTGCAAATGCGGAAAGTTGATGTGTTTGTTCTTTGAAGTTACAAGAGAGAGAGAGAGAGTGATTGATTGATGATAAAGTGCACTATTGACCATTCATTTATTTCATAAGGTATGTAAGTAGTGAATCATCGAGAAAGACACATCTTTGTTTATTGACATTGACATGTCAATGGCTAGCTATGACACGAAATACGAATAGGGTCTATGAAAATGGATATAATATTAATAAATTGATTTCTAAATCATTTCGGAATAGCCGAGAAGATATATATTTATTGATCGGGAGAGTGTCGACAATTGATAATTCGAATTATCGAGAGAGATTGTTGCTATGAGTGTCACCGAAAGATAGGACGATCGTGCTCTTTGGATTGTAGTTTGGGTGCACCCAAAATTTTCGAAAGGCCCAATTCAAGCCGTTGCCTGAAGAAACAAATCTAACCTCTAATCTCACTTTCGCAACCTGCCTCCAACCCACTAGTGATTGGTGGACCATACTTGCCTAACCTCTCACGTCTGTGATGGTTTGTTTGTTGTTGTTGTTTGGTGATTGGTTTGGTTGGTATTGATTGGTGCATGGGCCAGGACCATTCCAGACAGAGATCTCATTTCAATCATCGATTAGCACATACACATACTACAACAACAACAAAAACAACAATCAACAACAATCATCAACATCCAACAACTAGAACAACCAACATCCAAAAACAAGAGAGAGAGAGAAAGAGTGATGAAACTACTTCCAAAGGTTGTCCAGAGGCTCACGGGACAAGACCATGCCGCACAACATTACCAACATACAGTGGAGTACTTGAGACTACTACAGAAACATCATGCACTCACATTGAAACGTCGTTGCTTCATCGCGTTGATCACGGCCATATGCACTGCCGTACCGGCTGGCGCAACTCACTTGTCTGACGCGACCAAGCGCCAACTACGCATGATGCCACAAGAGCTACGTGAAGAGCTTATTCACTTTATGATGGAGTTCCGTCTACTAAACTATACTAGTATTGGTGGTGGCAACTCGAGTGGCGGTGGCAGCAGTAGCAAAGTGACAACAGCATCGTTGTCAACACTGTTGGCACAGTTGGCCGATGACAACATACATACATTGGACTTTAGAATTGTTAGAAGCAAGATATCACAATGTGATGCCACCAAAGAGTTGTTGCGAACATGTCGCAACATTCATCACCTAGACTTCTCCTTCTGCTATGACATTGATGACTCTGTCCTCAAGATCCTTCTCATGTCCAATGGTGTTCAACATCAATCCCAACATCAACAACAACAGCAACAACAGCAACAACAGATTGAGTCTACAACAGCCGGTCTGATAATGTCACCCTCCAAGAAGGGTGGTGTTGGCGCATCAGAGTCCTCATCAACATCCACGTCCACATCCAACTCCAACAACTCCCCATCCACCTCATCCACCTCCACCTCGTCCTCCTCATTCAGCATTGGTAACCTCAAGAACAAGTTAAAGAAGAAGATGGGCATGTCTTCATCAGACCCAGTGATTCGCAACCCAGGTGGAGGCGGTGGCAATCACTCGATGATGTCCAATCATAGTGGTGATCTGGAGACGACCAGCTCAGCCAGCTCATCCAACACATCAAGTCTGCTTAGCATCGGTCTGGAAAGCCTGTCGATCAGACATTGCACCACGTTCTCGGACGCCATGCTGAGGAAGTTGTTCAAGGCATCGCCAAGTCTTACATCGTTGGATGTGTCTGGCACCAAGGTGTCGGCCAAGACACTGCTGACCATCACATCTAAGTGCAAGGCCATTCGCAGCCTATCCATTGGCAGACTGTCGTGTGCCGACATCCTCACGCCCAAGGTCACGGCCACCTTCTGCAACTTGTCCAGTCTGACCAACCTTGATCTGGGCCATCTGCCAGGTCTTGATGGCCGTGCCCTCATCTCAATGTTGAGCAACCCCACCAAGTCCATTCACGTATCATCGTCCGCATCATCAACCAGCAGCAGCGCACATGCACGCAGACACACAATCGCCTCATCGTCGACCATGACACTATCGTCCAACTTGTCATCAAACATCTCATCCAACATCTCCACATCCACCTCATCAATGCACACCTCCAAGCTGGACGATGCCAATCACTACAATCAATCAATATACCCCGCCAACATACAGAGTCTGAACATGGCGCAGACCCTTATCGACGACGAGACTCTATCCAGCCTGCCCAACATGCTCCCACAGCTACACTCACTAGACATATCATTCTGCTCGCGGGTTGGCGATGACGGCATGCTTGATCTCGCGACCAATGGCCTGACCTCACTCACACATCTGGCATGCCAGACTGTCAAGGCATCGGATGGACTACTCGAGGTACTCAAGTGCAATCCATGCATCCACTACCTCGACATCAGCTTCGCCCAGGTCAAGGACAAACACCTTCGCGAACTACCTCACCACATCAACAGTCTTCGCACACTAAAGCTCGACGGTCTTCCAATCACTGACAATGTATTTAATGTAAGCATACCCATACTGGAGCTATTCCAATCACTCAATCAATCAATCATTCACTGACCCAATCATAATCAATCAAACTCAGCTGATATCCAAGGCGAATCAATGTTTGGAAGTTGTAAGCCTGTCTCAATGTAGTACGATTACGTTTGAATTGTTCAATGTGCTGGCAGACAACTGTCCACTGTTGCGCAAGTTGTATATGTCGCATAGCCGCATTGGTCCAGTCGCACTCGACAAGATCACAAGGTTCTTCGACTCGGCCACCCGTCTAAAGACATTGAACATTGCATTCTCCAACATGGTCACCGATGACATTGTAACCGCGCTGTCCAAGAGTCGATGCGCAGCCAACCTCGAATCGTTGTTCATTGGTGGCGGTTTCCAACAGCTGGAGAACGCATCCATGCACGCGTTGATCGACACCTGTCCAAACATCCGCATCTTCTCATGCATCAGTTGTTACAACATCACCGACACGACCGTGCGCTGCATCATGAAGAAGTGGCTGCTGCTGGAGGCTCTGGAGCTGACCGATTGCATCAAGCTATCGCTCAACACTGTCAACTACCTCACGTTGGACACGCATCTCCACTTCCATCTTCGCTTTATCTTCTTTGGCAGCGCAATCTGTGAGGAGGTCAACGAGCAGTCGATCATCAACAAGATCGAAGGCAAGACCACCATTGAGTTATTGGAGACACAACAGCTGATGACCCTGGAGGATCTCATCCTTCAAGGTTGGATCAAGCCATGATGATTATCATTGATTGAGTCGCCGCCCTCAGTCATCGCGATGAATAAACCAAAAGCACTCGCAACTGAGTCTGTACAGAAACAAGTCAAGTCGTCTCTTTTAATCCTGCTGCTGGTCAGCAGTTGTGTTCGCATTATCATCTTCTGTCTTCTTGTCAGCCTGTGTCTCCTCGCTCTTGTCATCTTCTTCATCGTCATCTTCATCATCTTCATCTTCTTCGTTGTTGGTGATGGCTGCAGTTGCTGAAGAAGCAGCACCAGACTGATCAGTTGAGTTTGGCGCGAATCCATAGTATGTCTGAGAGTATTGCTTCAATTGTTCCTTCTGCTCCTCAGTCATCTTGGTGTAGTCGTAGCCATAGTACTGATAGTAGTTCTTGAGATACTCCTCGTATTGGTTCTTCTGCTCGTTGTTTAGTTGGTTGGGCGCATGGCCATAGTAGTGGCCAACATTGGAGAGCAGCCCAATGTCCTGGGCATCCTCATCGCCGCGCTCCTTCCTCTCGTTCAGTCGATGATTGTACTGTCGCGCATAAGGATGCATCTCGTACTGCGCGCTCGTGTTGTATTGATATTGATACATCTGCTGCTGCTGTTCGAGGAGCAGGGCGGGGTCGTACTGGCCGTCCGTGTTGGGGTAGACGCCCGTCTGCTGGAACTGGAGAGCGGCATGGTCGTCTGGCGTCATCTCGCGAAGACGCTTGTTGACCACTTCGGTGGCGACACGATGCAGGTTGCGCTCGTCAGCCTTGCGCGCCAGTGGGTTTGAGTCCTCGGTGGCCCAACGCACGTTGAGCAGCTCGCCATTGTCCAACGTCTGATCGGACATGGCCTCCTTTGCAAACTCTGCCGATGACCTATACATATACCTAACAAAGGCAATCGACTTGTTGAGGATCACTCTAACATACTCGAGGCCGCCCCATTCTTCGAAGCCTCTTCTCAGCATGTCCTCCAATGCAGTCACATTCTGATTTGATCTAAGTCCTCCAATGTATAATGCTAATGATTGATTGAAGGGTCGTGTCAGTATTTCATTCGTCCACGAGTAACAACAACAACTTACTTCTGTTATCACGACTGAAGCTTCCTACTCCACCCATGTCGTCACGGTCATCGCGGAACCTCTCACGACCAAAGATGTCATAGGTGAGCTCGAGTCTGGTGTCATCCTCTGGCGTGGGTATGCGATGTAGATAGGTGCAGTCGACGCCATTGACACACTTGCCACGAGCAAAGTGCAGACAGAAACTAGAGTCCTTGTCCTTGGCACGTGTGCGTCCACAGTCTTTCAGAAGAACACAACGTGTCTCGCTGACAGCTCTATCGCGCCAATTCTTATTGCCCAACTTCTTGTGATACCATATATTATACTCTGTTCCATCTGKTATCATGCTCTTCATATCTCGAATTGATGTGATTGGATTGTTTACGTGCAGGACGAGTCAACAAAGGTGCCTGCAATGCATATATATCTGTTGTTGTTGTTGTTGCTTTGTTATTGTTTGAGGTGATAGCTTTTTGATTATCACCATCTGTATTCTTTCTCTTTAATGTTGTTGTCATTATTTATATATATTCTATCTTTATCTGTATCTGCAATCAACAACTTTCAACAATAAAATGTGAAGTTGATCACACTTTTCATTCATTTCTTAACTTACTAATACTTGCGATCAAACAAACAAATAATTATTGTACATATAGATATATGTATGCATCACTCTGTGCTCCTCCTACATAGGCGCCACCATGAGACATGCTCCGCTACCATTGCGCAATATCGGATTAAGATGAATCCCATTGGGTTGCCTGATATGCACCAGCTCAAATTGTTACTGGCTACGTCCTCTTTTTCTTCCGTTGCCAGGTCTGGAAGCAACAAGGTGCACAGTGAAGGTATTGCTCTTATTAACGTTTCTCACAGTTACACAATGATTGCATGATGCACTTCAACATCAGCCAATCTCTGTGGAATACTCAAGGTGACAAACGTTAGTATCAGCAGTGCCAAAGTCTTCGGAGATGCTGAACAGACATCATATTGTTTTGGTTCTCCAACAACAAGGATTAATCAATCAGTATGTTTCGATCGATTGGTTTGATGATCATCAATAATGTAATATAAGGAGACGTCTCTCTATCAATTATCTATTTTTAGAATCTAATACCTAATTGATTGAATTGAAGCCTGACACAGATACATCAGCAGACTTGTCCAAACATGATTTTTCCCCATTAGACGACACCGATACACTTGTACACGGCAGTACCATCGGTCCCGTCAAAAGACATGTTGCTGTTGTTGGAGAACCATACTCTCTCTCGATATCATCGTCATCATCGAGGGGAGATATCATAATCCGTTCATCCATTATTCTTTTATTCATTCATTCATTCAATCAATCAATATCATACAAATATTTCTTACAATGCAAATCAGATCAATCTTAATCATCCTCCTCGTTGCTCTTTACTGCACTGCTGTGTATGGAAGTATGTATTATTGTTATGATTCTATTCCATTCCATACCAATCACTAACTAACCAAACCTATATAGTTGCCTTCATCCCATGCTCCCAGATCACATGTAACATTGGTGAGAAGTGTATTGAGGACCCACAAGGAGCCAAATGTGTTCCAAAGGAGACCAAGAAACCATCAAGAGATTAAGCAAATCCACACCGGTGAGGTATATATATCCCTGAACTTGGATATATCATCAAATAAATAATACAAATATCATTATCTTGTTTGTCAAATTATTGAGAACTGGAAAAGACCTTGTTTTGAGCCTTTTTCAAAAATTGGTGATCACACTACACTGTTGGACTTTAACGAACGAAACATAGTGATAGAAAGAGATACATAGTTAGATAGTTATATATATAGATAGAGAATGAGCATTGTATCAAATATAGTCAGAAGGACACCATTGTTCCTGTCAAAGACATCATCAGGTGCTTGCTTGAACAGAGCTGGAGAACAGTTTAGATTGTCAAACAATAGAATGAGAAGTGGAAACGAAGGTATGATTGCATTGGACTTAAGGATGTGTAGCCAGCAGGCATGGTTGGAACATGATGGTTCAACTTGAGTGTATTACAATGACCTAACATATATGTATCAATCACAGATGGTCCACTTCATGATCTACCAGACTTTCACTTTGCAGGTTAGTATAGCAACAACAGCTGGTCAATCAATGATGAGGATGACGCTACATTAAGAATGACGAGGATCACTCACTCATTCAATGAATCAATCAATGAATCAATCAATGAATCATCATATAGACGGAAGACCTGCACCAATCACAGAGAAACAGATGAAATGGCAAAGAACAAGAGAGAATAGAGAGGCTATCATCAATCAGCTAAAGGCAGAGGTGATTGCTGAGCAGAAGTACGTCACAGATAAGATTGCTGACTTCCAGACAAAGGTCGATCAGAAGATCAAAGAGAGAAGAGAGAAGAAGTCACAGATCAACAAGTTATTTAATGATAAGAAGCAAGACACTTCTTCGACACAGCAGCAACCAAGCCAATAAAGTATGGTGGACGACGATTAGATATAGCGATAACACAATCAAAGAGAGACAGACAGAGCATTAGTCAGTAGCAAGCGAGTGATCACGATCATGTACATGAATGAGTGTATGTATATATATATATATATTTGATTGTGTGTAGGCTTTTGGAATGGTAAGGATGTCTTTGGTGGACCGTCGGTTATGTGTCCATGCAGACAGAGAACTTGTTGTTGTTGTTGTTGTTTCCGTTGTTGTTGTTGTTGTTTCCATTGTTGTTGTTGTTGTGGCCCAGGATGAAACTACCACCTCCACCAGACTCTGGTAGTTGATGCTGACCATCAGATGATGAAGAGGTAGACTTGGACATCTCTGGCGAGAGTGACCTAATGTTACCAAACATATTGTGATGGTGATGCATCATTGGAGGAGCAAGTTGCTGTGGGATCGATGGCAGCGATGGACTACTCATTCCATAGCTACCCATTCCCATGGACGTCGCACCGGGAAACGGCAACTGGTACTGTTGTTGCTGTTGCTGCTGCTGCTGCTGCATAAAGTAGGAGTTGCCGGAGACGGGACCATATGGACTGAAGGATGGTGGTATGGCCAAGGGGTGTCGCGCCTGTGCAGTGCCAATGTTAATGTTTGGATTGCTGTAAAGGTATCCAGGATGCATTCCATTGCCATCCCCACCACCACCATTGTTGTTGTGTGTTTGTTGTTGTTGAGGCGCCGCTCCTTGTTGTTGGAAACATTGCTGCTCGTATGGGGATGGACGCACTCTCTTATCCTTGCCATTGTTACCATCTGGCTGCATTTCAGCTGGACGCTTTGGCGAAGGGCTCTGTTTGGTAGTGGCGTTTGGTCCTTGTCTAGTAGCACTGTACAAGACAAATGGTGCGCTGTTGTTGTTGTTGGGCGACTGATGTTGATGTTGTTGTTGCTGTTGTTGTTGGTGGTGTAGATGTTGTGGAGCAGACGACGTCATTAGAGTCGTGAATGTGCCCGAGTAGTAGGGCGGTGGGGAGAGATTGGTGTTGGTGAATGTTGCTGGTCCAACGCTGTGAGTATCGTTAGACAAACACATGGGACAGCACCAGTCTTGTGCGGCGCCGGCCGTCTTTGGGAGAGGCTGGCCAGGGTTGGTCTCGATCAGGCAGTCGTGGCAGTACGACTTGGAGCAGTAGAAGCGGCATCTAAGCATCATAGGCTTGTTCTTCCTACATAAAGTACATTCTGGTATAATACTATTGTTGATGTTGTTGTCAATACGCTTATTGTTGTTGTAGTTGGATGTTGGGATGCTGAATCCATAAAGGTTGTTGTTGCCGCCAAGTTGATGGAATATTGGCGATTGGCTGTAGAATAGATTGGGCGAGTGGCTGAGCAGAGGGGTCGATGCGGACGAGTCGGGTGAGAGTCGAGGGGAGTTGAGCAGGAGACCATTACTAATACTCATTGGGGGCACGGGGTATGACGGACCTTCGAGCAGTGGCGATGTCATGTAGTCAGATGGTGAGCTGGGGAATGGTGGACAGATGGTCGTTGGCGATGTGATGGCCCTTGGGCGACTGGCAATAGGTGTAGCCTGATTGGAGTGCGAAGCAGGTGACGAGGTCATAAAGTTGTCATTTTCCTGTTGACCAGATGGACGTCTCTTTGGTGTAGTCATGCCAGAAGGTTGTTTGTTGTTGTTGTTATTGTTGTTTGTGTTGTTTGGCTTCTTGTTGATTGGTGCCTTGCCACTGCCACCGCCACCATTATGTGGAGGAGAGGACATTACAGAGTCGCCAGATTGAGAGAGTGCATCATCGTCCGACTCATCGCCCAGACTCAAGTCCTTGAGTTGCTCATCGCCATCTTTCCAATTGGACCATAGACCAGTGTATCGTCCAATCGAAGTGAAGGACTTCTTGTAACGCGACAGCACCGTGCTCAATCGGTTCTTGATATTATCAATCTCTCGATTGAATGAGAATGCTTCGGGATGGTCTTTGACATATGCCGCGATCTCCACCTGATGTGAGAATCTATACTTCTTCTGCATCTCCAGATTGAAGAGTGCAGTGTGTGCCACTTCCTTCCAAGACTTGCTCTGATGGATAAGTGTTGGTCTTCCACTTGGTGAGCATTGATGGCAAATGAACTCATAACGATGATCCAATGGTCCAGGTATTACAATAGATCCAACCAACTCGGATGTATCTATATGTTGGTGTAATGAATGTGTTAGTGATTGATTGATTGATTGATTGGATGGGTGATAGTCATACCAAAGTGTGTAGACTTGATGCAGGCCTTGCACTCTAGTCGATAGAAGTGTGGCTCATTTCTCTTGGATTCATTCTCAAAGGTGTTCTCCTTCCAAGTGAGCAAACCTCTGTCGTCCTCAAATACACGATCACCCTCTCGCCAATTAGACCACATTCCAGAATCCCTTGCAAATGATACAAACAACTTCCTATTATAGGATAATGTTGCTGTCACTACATTCTTCATCTTTCCCAACTCTATTGTACCATTTGTTAATAATTGATTGATTGATTGAATAAGTGAGCGAACATACCCTTGTCCCTATCTGAGAGCAGGAATTGAGGATAACGATTGACATAGCTGATCACCTCCCTGTAATGTGCGAATCTATACTTCTTCTCCCTTTCAAGGTTGAATAATGCAGAGTGTATCATCTCCTTCCTATGAATGAGTATGGTGGATGAGTTAGAATGGACTACTTTTGAGGCGTACCTTAGGAGTGAGAAACAGGTACATACCAGGTCTTTGGTGAATGCTTAAAGTAGAGTCCATTGTCTTGACTACAATCCTTGCACTTGTACTCATAGCTCTTATCCTCTGGTCCAGGTAAAACATACATCCCATTCTCAAAGAACCTGGATGATTCTTGAAATTTGATTGATTGGTCATGGTAAATATTAGTAATCTCGATCAATTGAATGATTAATAATCATATGACATACCTATATATGATAATGCACTACACTTGATACAACACAGTGCTATGAGGTTGAGGTATGATTCATAGTTGAAGGAGTCCATGGTTGGTGCGCCATCACCAAATGATGGGTTGAAGAGATTGGTGGATTGGAAACTGTAGCCAGGGTGTCCGGCAAGTGATGGAGGTGGTGTGTTGTGAGATGCTGTTGATGCGCCAGCATTGTTGGTGGCTCCCATATACATATGATGCTGCTGCTGCTGACCAATGCCCGGGCCAGGCATTGGCAATTGATCCCCACTATGTTGGAGTGACTGCTGTGTTAAAGGAGGTGGAGATGATTGTGATAATATCTTATTTGTGTTGTTGCTGTTGTTGTTGTTGTTGTTGTTGTTGTTTGAACCTGGATCTCGTTTATAGATGTCAGAGGCAGGAAGTGTGGAGAAGGATGGAAGGTAGACACCGGGAGCACCGCCACCCAGAGGGTCTAGCAACTTGGGGAATGCACTTCCGCCACCCGGATTGAACTTGGGTATTGGGAAGATACCTTCCGGACACAGTTGCTCAACATAGCTCTTGACCTCAGTCATCCTGATAGTTCAAAGATATATATGTATGAGTGAGTGAGTGAGAGAGTGATTGTTGCCAGTTGTCGTTGTTGTTGTTATGCTGCCTTGTTGTTGTTGTTGTTGTTGATCTGGTATGCCTGTGGGGAGGAGTAGGAGCAGGAGGAGGAGTAGTAGGAGGTTTACTGTACTGATGAACTACAAGCAACACTAGGTAACTAACTAACTAGGGTATCTAAGTGAAGGATATCTATACGCCTCAAAGGAGGAAGAGTAGGAATGCAACTGGTTCAACAGGATATGTAATGGTACACAATGATAATGCACATTCATTCATACATAAAGACACAGCAGTAGAGGTATATATATGACATTGAGTATGAGCAGCAGTAGTATGCCAGTGCAATGCTATACCCTGAGCTTGACGGGTATGATGATAGCATAGCATAGCATAGCATAACATAGTAATAGCGTGGGCAACGAAGGCGACTGAGAGAGAGGCACCCAGTCTTGATATCATCCATCGAATGCACGCCACACCAATACCAAAAATGCACAGTGACGATGGATGGTACTGCTCAACTCATGTATGCTCCTACTCCACATCAATCAATCAAACATTGATCAATCAATCGTGTTAGTTGTTGTTGTTGTTGATGTTGTTGGTTTGTTTGATTGTTTGTTTGTTGTTGTTGTAATGCGGTTGACACACCCTTGGCTCCATCGATAACACTGCTCCTTTCCTTCTTTCTTTGGTTGGGCTTTGTACTCTCACGTGAGAGTGAGTTGATTGATTGAGTTAGTGAGTGAGTAGATGTACGAGCTAGGAGTACTAGTACTCTCTTCCATGATTGATATGTATGTATCAATTGATGAAGTAGGAAGTGAGTGAGTGAGTGAGTGAGGACAACAATGTGTTTGGAGTTTGTGAGGCTGATGTGCCAGGGGGACCTGACCTTTGCATCAGATGATTTGATCTTTGTAGTGATCACCATCGTCAATACACACGACCTCCTCACTCACTATCTCTCTCTCCCTCACAACAGTACAATAGGAGGAATCAATTTGTTTGCCACTATCCATTGTGTGTGGGAGAGTTGCTCACTCATGAGAATGAGGCCTGTGATGGTGTGTTAGCGAATTAGTGGTGGACCTCTTATCTCTATGTACACACGCTCTCAACACTTGATAAACACACTTTACTTCTTCACCAAGGTACAGGTGCTCAATCAGGGTCAGTCAGTCCAAGACAAATAATCTCTATTCTCCTGTAGATGGATGAATTGCAGACTCGATATGGAAGTGGTGTTATCTTCATCTTTAAATTACATTACTATAATGAATTATTATTATTATTATTATTAAAATAATTTCCAATCTCAATTAGGACTTATTTATTTATTTATTTATTATAGTCACACTCTAGAGTGGACTTGGTGGAATGGATGAAAGATGAATCAACTACTTGAAGTGAAGAATTAGTTGATTTGGAATCCAGCAAATGTGCAGAGTGGGGATGATCCACAGTTCAACTTGACTTGACCAGAGGCTGCCCAGTTGTCAATGCAGACGGCAATGGTGTCACCAACATTGAAGAATCCAGTGTATGATGCCTTGAGGTTGTAGTTTGGTGGGAAAGCATAGTTGAAGCCACTTGGCAACCAGAGGGATCCACCTTGGGTCAGGGTGCGGCCAAGGACTGAACCTCCAGCACAGTAAGCATTGCATCCAGATCCAGCGGCACAGTTAATGATACGGATATCAACGTTTTGGTTGGGTGCAACGGAGGAGGCGACATCAATCAGGACGTTGGCATCAAAGTGGTAGATACCGGCAACTGGAATGGTGTATCCACCGTTGGCGCCAAAATTGCCCAAGTTGAATCCATTTCCACCGGTCGACCAGCCACCCACTGTACTAAGTGATTGGGCACCATTGGTGAGCGAGACACCACCATTGTTGATCAAGTTGGCAGAGAATCCTTGAGTGGCGGCAAGAGTCTGGGCACAAAGCAAGGCGGCAATTGTAAGGAGGAGGAAGAACTTCATTTTGGATTATTTGATTGTTTGTTTGGTAGTTTTTTTGATTGATTGTTATATTAGGTTGATTGATTGATTTGATGATGTTGAATGATTGATTGGATGGACCATTATATAGTCGATGGATTGGAGTGTAGAGTCAATGTTTGGTACTTACCAATGATATTTTAGTCTAAAGTTCATTATAAGTTCCAGGCAATAATGGATAAATCCAATGCATCGATTGGACATTCAGAACGAACCAGAACAGTAGTATAAGTTTGAATGAATCTGTGTAACTAGAGTCATATGACTTACTACTTTGAATGGTCTTAATTACTCAACTTTTCACACAATCCAATCAAAATCACAAAAACAGGTCGATCAGTCATAGAATCAAAACATTACACAAATGTGCCGGTTCGCCAGTTTGAGCCTTACTTGCAAGCCTCGAATAACCTCGAGATGTCAAAGTAACCAAACACAGAAGCAATGTTCAAACATACATTACATCCCAATAAAGATAATTAGGTCGTCTGGTCTGAAATGAATGAATAATTGTTCAAGTTAGTATGATGCCATTCATTCATTGATTGTAGAGATATTGTCTCCTTCCATTACTATCATCACTATCATCATCATCATTATCAGCATCATCATCATCATCATCATCATCATCATAAAGGTTATCGCTACCATCATGGAGTGCATGTTTAGTTGTAGTCCAAAGAGTCCTAGCCTAATGTCAAATGTTTGAAAGACTGACTTGTGTTGTCCCTGTTCTGACATCAACTACATGTAGAGATCAACAACATCATCCCTTGCATTGAACATCAATCAATCAATCAGTCTTACAACATGAACATTGAGTTGAATGATTTCATGATTGAATGAATGATTGAGGCGAGGGCACAAGGCGAGGTCCATAGTGAGGCAATCTCATGAAACACTAAACTGGGAGAACCACTACCCCCAACATCACTGACACCATCAACCATCAGGGAACAACAGAACAAGTCCAAAAAACAACCATACCCCCACACATCGTTTCAAACTAAATACAACTGATCTGAAATTAAAAAATAATAACATTGGCTGATTTATGATAATGGTGACCGCAAAGACATTCATTAATACATACTCCTTTATTTATTTACTTCCTATTATTTATTCGAATATACTATTACACTACTACTCTTACTGTTAACATCACATCACATTCCATACTATATACAAATCAAACATTGTACAAACAAGACAGATACAACAACAACTCTAATACATACAATATAGATAAACAGATACAGATATAGACTTTCGAGAAGTCGGACAACAAGATGGAGATTATAACAATTGCTGAAAGAAGTATGTCTGTTGTGATAGATACATCAGGTGCAGACTGTTCATTAACACTGACACCATGAATCAATCATTGTATGAATGAATGAATGAATGAACAAACAAACAGAGAACATAGACTTTGTACTCAATCAAAGGAATGAGGAAGAGAACTTATTGCTAAAGATAGATGTCAAGGGAAAGAAGGCACGCAAGTTGTTCCTGTTGGTCGGAAACAAACGTGCATTCTTCTTTAAACCAGGTGGAAAGCTCGAGGTCGACTATCACTTCCTTGACATCATGGAGGTCAAGACGGACAATCCAAAGGAGGTACAGATGAAGTTTAGGAGTGACAATGGCAAGGAGCCCCTGGTGTTTGCCGTGGACAATGCCAACGACTCGGCAGAGATCGTGCTGGCCATGGACTACCTGTTCACGCTGAACTTCCCCGGCATGAAGACCAACAGGATGAAGATCATCGTGCTGCCCGACACACGTGTCGCCGAGATATACTCGTCGCCCAACGCCGTCACGCCAGAGATTGGTCCGTGTGCCGGCCTCTCGCTGACCTACTCATCAATGTGCGACTTTATGAATGTGCAGCCCATCTCTGAGGTGATCTGGCACATTGACTATGTGCTCAATGGCACCGATGTCAAAGACTTTGACTATGGCTTCTTCTTCAAGAAGGATCGTCTACTCAGCGGTGATGCACGTCCCCTCATGGCCGCACTTGCCATCAACACATGGTTCAACTCGTTCACAATCAAGAGTGTCAAGCTGTCAACTGAATGGTATGTTCATACGTCGTGCGATGCATATGGATGGATTACTAATCTCAATCAATTACAGTATTGGAGCCATAATCAGTTTGGTTGGACAATCGACAAGCTTTGAGAAGATCAATATTAATGGCGTGGGCTTCGATCGTTCAAGCTGTGAGAAGTTGGTTGATGCCATCGCGTCAAACAAGGCATTGCCATTGAAGGAGTTGGATCTAGGTAACAATCAAATAGAGGACAAGGGAATGATTGCCTTGGCCGACATGTTAAAGACTACACAGTTGCAGCTGTCCTCGCTGATCCTGGAGGGTTGTGGCGTGGGCCGTGCAGCAATGTCAGCGCTGGGCGAGGCACTGGGCGCCAACGACGTCATGCTCACTCACCTCAAGTACCTGGACATCAGTGGCAACAAGCTCGAGTCCGAGGGCTCCAACTCCATCTCCAACTTCCTTGTAAAGTCCAAGTCGCTGCGCACCTTTAAGATCGCCAGCACGCAGCCACTGTTCCATCAGCTCAAGAAGTGCGCCACAATCACCACGTTTGACAACAGTGGCAATCGTATCGTCAAGAAGGATTCGCTACATCTGGACATGGTGCGTTTCCTCAACCACTCGCTGCATCTCACCAATCTGAACCTGTCTCGCTGTCAGATGCCCATCGAGGTCATCCAAGAGGTGTTTGGTGAGGGCAACCTCAGCAAGCTCGAGACGCTCAACATTGCCGAGAACGACCTTGGAGACGAGGGTATATCAATCGTATGCGACCTTCTCGCCAGCCACACCAACCTTAAATCACTTGACATCTCTGGCAACTTTATCAGAAGGTAAGTGTGAGGTAGCGCAGGGCTGTTCCATTGTACTTACGTACTAACATCATATTCAGGAGCAAGGTACGAACGAATGCCATCGAGTCCATTATCAATATGGTGGAGAAGAAGTCAAGGACATACAGCTCGATAAAGACATTGATCATACAGGGTGGCTCAAAGTCCCAGCTCAAGGGCGATCTGTTGCCAATCATCTGCAGCCTTTACTACAACAGCACACTGAAGGAGCTTGATATCAGTGGACACTCCATCGGAGACATTGGTGCCGCTGCACTCGGCAAGCTGTTGCAATCCAACTTCACGCTCGAGAAGCTCGAGTGGGACGACAACTCGACGACCGCACGTGGACTGATGCTGTTCAAGCTTGGCCTGCTCCGCAACTCGAGTCTGTGCAAGATGCCCATTCCAATGCGAGACATTGCCACGTCGCTCAAGAGTGACAACACACCATTGAACATCCAGCGCATCACTGAGCTGGTGGGCGAGATCCAGCAACAGCTTCTGGACAACCTGGCCAAGAACACTGCTCAATCCACACGACCCAAGTCCATGAGTGCGGGCACACTCTCACCGCCCAAGCCAAGATCCTCATCAACACCAACATTTGCCATCGATCCCAAGATGACCACTGCCACCTGTGCCGGTTTGAAATCATTCTCTGACAGTTCCGTTGATAGTGAGATCATTGAACCTCTGGCCAACCTTCCAGTCAAGTAATCATTCCATTCATTCAATCAATCAATCAATCGTCCAGTCAACTATCCATCCTCCTCCGCACCCTCTCACTGTGACTTTGTGCGGTGTTGTTGTAAACATAAACCAAAAGCTAACTTGTACATCATCGACCTCGGGTTCCGCGTCATCGGCAGCATTAGCACCCCCCACCCATCCTTTTGTTTGAGGGGCTTGAATCGAGCTCGATTCCGTCCAACCCCTTGTGAATTGTTCAAGAATATTTTGTGAAAGATCACTGAGACCATCTCACATTTATAAATATTCTGGTCACCGACCCACTTTAACCATTCACCTTTATCTGACAAAGAGATAGATAGAGAGAAGAACAGAGCAGTGCAGTTCATTATCCACAAGTGTCACAGGCACTTATAATAATAATAATAATAACAACATATATTATATATTATATATTATATATATCAAACACATAAACATCATCTAACAATTAAGTTGAATGAATTTGTGCGAGATAAATAAGACCAACAACAATAATAATAATATTAATACCCATAATGGAACACAAACACTAAATCAAGATCAGCTGGATCATCAGCAAACAATAGAGTATTCAATTTGTTCACTGTTCTCTATTCTATACCCGTTCAACACCAACTTTGGACAACAACAACAATATGATCTCAATGGCCAGTCACTGCCACTGCCGTTTGTCCCACTTCCACCTACACAACCAGTACTCTGGAGTGACTTTGAAGTGGACGTAGACTGCTCCTCATCAGCTGGCAGCGAGGACACTACAATCTCGTCATGCTCAACTTCAGACTCAATGTCTGATGACATTGCCATGCTTGACAAATGTCTAGCATCATCCAAAAGACGTAACATTGTCAACAATAACAACAACATCACCAACAATAACAACAACAACAACAAAGTACCAACACAAGCCAATAGTAATCAAAAGAAGAAGGATAAGCTCAAGCGAAGGATATTCGTTGGAGGCATCATACTTGATGACCTCTCACACCTGGACAACCAGGAAGAGATCAAGAAGCTTCGAACTGATCGTCTCCTCTATCTCTTTGGCTCATGTGGCAAGATCGACAAGGTTGATCCACACTTTGATCAAGGGTAAGCCATCCCCATCCATTCAATCAATCAATCAAATATCATACTTATACAAGTACCTGTCGACATAAAGATACTGTTTCATAACATTCTCTGCAGCAAACATTGCTCAACGTACTGTTAAGCAATTTGCTAATGCTGCCAAGAAGTTTACCATGTTGGAGAAGATACAATTATCACTCGCCAAGGAAGGCAAGGACATTAGAGCTACACCATTGCCATCGTTCTATGTTCGTTTGTCCTCCACCCATTAATTACACCAATCAATCATCCGATCAGTCTCAACCCATCCACCACCAAATCCAATCCAACAACTATCCCATCACTATCCCATAAATACTACCACATCCTCTTAATGTGTGTGGTGAGTATCTCATGTTAGAAGTAACTGATGTACGTACTTATAATAGAGTACTACTTCAATTACTATCACTATCATTGTTACAGATAAATGGTGTATGAATAGGTGCATCTATTATCTGTATCTAAATTTGTCATTGTTCACCCCAAACACAAAACCAACCCATTAATCAACAACAATTTAATTAAAATAAATTAAAATGTAGATTTATGGTGTGAATTGAATCACTTCAAAGACCCACTTTTCATATAATTATAGATTTTTATAAATTTAAAATATACCAAACAAGTGAATGTGCTGATTGTTTGAATGTTGGTGATGTTGATGGTTTGGAGTGGTGTGAGTGTCTGTGTGTGAAGCTTATGCATGGGGTACAGTAACAAAACAAGTAGATCAGTGAGTGATCACTCAGGTGGTGTGTGAGAAGGAGGAAGGGAGAGGCAAGTGTTTGATATTCTCCCTTCAGATCAAAGCATTTCACTCCTAATCCTTGTTGTAATAATAATCACACACACAGACATCAAATATACTTCATTGCTATATCCACATCTCTCTCTTTTAAAAACAAACACCTATATAATATACTTTAGAAATGGTAAATGATCGCAATGATTGATTGATTGATTGAATGAATGAATGATAGGATAGAATATATATATGACTGGAGTGATTTTGGATAGCGCGTATCTGTACATTTGATCACAAGTGAACTGACAACCAACAACAAACAATCATAATTAGGCATCAAACGACCAGATTTTAGAATGTTTCACCATCTTTGATAAGGACAATGACGGAAAGGTCCTCATTGATGAGCTCGGACCATTGTTGAGATCCCTCGGCAAGAGCCCAACGTCAACTGACCTCGAGGCCATCAAGACTGAGCTCGGAAACCCAAGAGACTTTGATATCAACACCGTCAAGACCATCATTGCCAAGAAGACTGTCAAGACTCCAATTGACCAGCAGAAGGAGATGCTCGATGCCTTCAGAGCCCTGGACAAGGATGGACACGGCACCATTCAAGAGGCTGAGCTCCGTCAGATCCTCACCACTTTGGGTGACTACCTGTCCTCTGCTGATGTATGTTTTATTTTATATATTTCTCGATCATTCAATCATTCAATCAAACATGGCACTAACAATCAATCAATCATCCATATAATATAGGTTGATGAGTTGATGAAGGAGGTCGATGTCAACACCGATGGTGCCATCAGCTACCAGAAGTTCGTCGAGATGTTGGTCACTGGTTACCCACTCTCCACTTTCTAAAGTGATGAGTGTACACCTTTGGAACAATAGAACTTAAAAGACAAACAAAAAACAACAACTATACCCAGCCCCAAAAACAACAACAACCAATGTGTCAATAAATCGTATAACATCCACCGCCGACCCATCCTCCTGTCCACTCCACTCTCTACTCTCCATATTTAGACGTTACATAACCGTATGATACCAATCAATCAATCAATCAAATAATCAATCTATCACAATCAATGTCAATGGCAACGCGATCTCTCACCTTTTCAATCATTCACGTAATAACATTAACATCGATGCAAAATTAGTGTGCTGTTGTTGAGCCTTTTGGATGACCAACCTAAAATAATGTCCGAATATGGTAACTCGTTTTGTAGTCGTTAGACAGAAGTTGGGGGTAGATTCCAAGACCTCAAGACTATGAATAAGATTGTATCATTGGACAGGGAAGGCCTCCACTAAACAACAACGACAATATTGATTGATTGATTGATTTGATTACATCATTCATCAGTATATTATATACGAACTATTTACAATCTTAATTATTTGTTCGAACAAATAATTATACAACAATGTCAGGGACTACTTCTAAATATATATTATTAATATCTTTTATAATTTGTTTATTGTTTATTACTCCTACTTTATCTCAATCAAAGTCTGGTATGTTGTACTAATAGATTATAATATTATTAGTTTCCTGGATCATTAACTAACTTCCAAATTAATAATATATAGTTGATGAACATCACTTCTTTGGTACATTCTCAACGATACCACTGGCGACAGTGCAAGAGAACTCGATACAGGGCAATTTCTCACTTAAACTATCTTATGTCAACTCTACCATTGTGTTGTATTATTACTTGGATTTGATCAATGTTAATGGTGAATATGTTGAACAGAGTACAATAAGACTTGAGGGTCCTGCCAAGCCAGGTACATCATCAACCAATCTCAGAACATTGTTATCATTCTCCAATGCAACGAGGACACCAAACGAGTTCCATGGCACTGGTCATAACTTGGTGGCACCATTCTCTCAACAGTATATAGCATTCAACTCGATTGTACCTCATCTGTTGGACAAGGCAGCTGCTGAACAGTTATACATCGTTTTCCAACCTTTAAGCTCAAGTGTACCAGTGACTCGTTCACAACTTATTTATACACAGTCGACTACCAACGGAGGACAAGTTGACACTGGAGGTAACAATGGCAACCCTGGAAGTTCACATGATTCATCAAACGAAGATTTATCACCAAACAGTGCACATAGACTATCAAGCATAGTCGGTAAACCATTCATTCTTCTGTTCTTTATCATGTTCATCTTCACCTTTATATAATAAAAGACAAGTGTCACTTTTATCAAGATTGATTGATTGATATTAATTGATTGGGCAGGTATGTTCGTGATTAGTGAATCACTCTTTGCACTTGTGCACAATCATGTGTTTGTTTGTTTGAATGAAGATTGATGTCTTTGTTCAAAGAGACTGCGTGTTTTGTGTCCTGGCTAACTGAGGAAAGTCACGAGATTACCCAATTTGAAGAGAATTATGCTCAAACACGAGTTTCAAATTCAACACAGTTGCTTGCCCTGTCCTGGATCTGGAGTACTAAGTTGAGTTGATTAGGGCTAGACGCCCAGCTGGTTGGCACGCACCACCTGACTTGTCAAGTCAGGCAAGTCCATCCATCCATCCATCCAGTCACTGAGCGAGAGTACTCACTCACCTACCTACCTCAACATCAAACACATACTACAATCATAGTGATACTATATACAATACAAATACATAAGATAGATAATAGTTAGTTAATAATAATGTCATTATCTGAAGAACAATCACAGATATTAATCACTCTGTCCGATGCTTGTGGACCAGAGGTGGATATTACAGAGGTAGTTCATGCTTTGAAGTCTTGTGATTTCAATGCTGACAATGCCTATGAGTTAATACAGAGGAAGAGGAATGCTCCTCATCAAATACAAACGCAGCAGTCACAGCAGTCGCAGCAGCCACAACAACAACAACAAATGAATCAGCAGGCTCAACAAATACTTGATCAGCCTCAACAACAATCACAGATTCGTCAACAACAACAGCAGCAGCCAGAGCAACAACAGCATCAACAAGGACCACAGGTGTACCCATTGGTCCAGCCAAATGTTCCAAGACCCCAACTTCCACAACAGCAACAACAACAGTATTATCCCAACCTTAATGCTCAATCTCCACAACAACAACAACAATATATTCAGGCTCAACAATCACAACAATATCAACTACAACAACAAAATTGCACAAATGGTCATCCAAAGCAACTTCGTGTACAATATAACAATGCCGCACCACAGCAACAGCAGCAGCCACAACAACAGCAGCAGCAACAACAACCACAATCACAATCACAACCACAACAAGTGTATCAACATATATCAAGTCCTCCATTCATCGTTCCATCTGCCCCACCCGCTCAGAACCAACAACATGCCCAGCATCAGCCAGTACCATACGTGCACCAGCAACAACAAGCGGCATACGTACACTCCTCCTGCCCAGTGGCACTTCCCCATCCACCTCCTGTGGCATCGTTCTCACAGAACTCGATACAGAACCACTACCCAAGGGACCAGTTCATTGTCAAGGCCGAGCACGACCAGGTGGTGCAGGAGCTAGGCAAGACCAAGAGCCAGCTTGAGGAGAAGGATGTACAGCTCCGTCTCAAGGAGCAGCAGCTCAAGATGAGTGAGCTTGAGGTGGCGCGTCTCAATGCCATCATCCAAAACATGCAAACATCCAGCCGTGCCTTCATGTCTTCCATGCAACAACAAATGAACGATCGAATCAAGCAGCTCGAAGGTGAGGCAAGTCGTGATGAGAAGTAGTTGGTTAGTTAGTATCCTTCCATCGCCACCATCATCAGTGCATGCGTGGTAAGCAATGTTATATATATTTAATATGAAATAAATCAAACTATTGGTTTGTAATCTTTCAAGTGAGTGTTTTGTGATGTTCGGAGCGACCGATCGTTCGTGTGTATGGGTGATCGATCCTGGGTAGTCCCCACAAACACAATTCAAGAAAGGATATCAACCCAACTTGTCTTCATTCATTCATTAATTTCATTCAATACATATACAATTCAAAGTATCTACATGTACATAGAGATAGAGATAGAGATAACATTGTTATAATTATTTATAATAATTAATAAACAAACAACAATAAATAACAAATCAAAGAAAGATGACAAGAGCTAAACCATTCAGTGGTAAACAAAAGAAAGATCAACTAAAGTTGAAGAAGGAGAGGAAGAGGATAGAGTCATCGATAGAGGCTGATGACTTGGATGGCAAATTATCATTGACCGACAAGAGAAGAATGGCCAGGGAGATAATGAGTAGCGACAAGCAAAGTAGCCAACAACAGGGTCAGATTAGAGCACATGCAAACTCCCGAGTTGGTGTCTCCAGGAGTCACCATCGTCGTGGTCCTCATCGTCATGGCACCAACGCCAGCAGCAGGGTTGTAGATGAACAAAGTGATAGTGACAGTGACAACATCAAAGAGAGTGATAGTGATATGGATAGTGATGATGACAACAACATTGAAAGTGATAGTGATAATGATAATGATAATGAGAGTGTTGGTGACCATCAACATAATGTAAAGCAACTTGAACATGAACTAAGGAAACAAGACAATCACAGGGATACCGGAAGGAGACTAAAGTATGTATTCCTACTCATACATTTAATGAATGTCCTATCCATACCATACTAACATGTTGCCTACCAACCAACCAATCAATCAATCAATCAATCTAGTTTATTGACTATATTTGAAAAGGAGAGCAAGGAGGAGATTGAGGCGAGGAAGGAGTTGGGAAGTAAACCAATTGATGTGTCGATGAGGGACACACCTTGGAGTATAATGGATGAACATGTTGGTGAGACGGGATACATTGACATACCAAAGAGACCGAGATGGTCCTTTGAAATGACCGCCGAACAAGTTAGACAACATGAGCGCCAGATGTTCTCCAAGTGGTTGGATGGCATCATGACTAAATATCCACGCGATCGTCTCAACTACTTTGAACACAACCTCGAGGTTTGGCGCCAGCTCTGGCGTGTGTCTGAGCGATCGGACCTGGTACTCCTTATTACCGACGCTCGTTATCCTTTGTTCCACTTCCCGCCCGCCTTGTATAACTATCTCACCAATGACTTGAAGAAACCGATACTACTCGTGCTGAACAAGGTGGACCTGGTCGATCCGAGGATCGTCGAAGCCTGGAAGCAGTACTTCACGACTAAATACCCTCATATCAAGGTGATATGCTTCAGTTCATTCCGCGCGCTGAGAGACACAGCGTCTGCCGATGACGACCTGGACGAGAGCCACAGCAATGAGCGTCTGCGCAAGATGAAGAAAGGAAGAAAGAGATATGAGAATGCCGAGGGCAGGAGACAACTGATCAACACAATCAACTCATATGGAATCCAGAAGACTGGACTTGTCGTGGATAACAATGTCCACAGCACTACCTCCACCTCGTCCGAAGAATTGGACTCCGAAGACAGCAGCGATGACAACAGTGATATTGAGACAATGGATGAGCCTATTGTGGAGGCGGAAGAGGAGGTCGGAGACCAGATACCCGACAAGTACAAGCCAGACGCACCAGCTGACAACATCATCACTGTGGGCATGGTCGGCCATCCCAATGTTGGCAAGTCCAGTCTGATCAATGGACTGATGGGTCGCAAGGTGGTCAGCACTTCCAGGACACCTGGCCACACCAAGCACTTCCAGACAATATTCCTGTCGCCAGGCATCCAGTTGTGCGACTGTCCTGGCCTGGTGTTCCCTGCTCTAGACCGTCCAAAGCCCCTACAAATACTCTGTGGTCTGTTCCCCATTGCCCAGGTCAGGGAGCCATTCTCAGCCGTCAGGTACCTGGCTGAGCGTGTACCAGTCGAGCGAGTGTACAAGCTACAACATCCAGACAAGGTGGATGCACCCTGGAGTCCAATGGCCCTATGTGAGGCGTTTGCACTCAAACGAGGATACCTACTCGCCAAGACTGGTAGAGCGGACGTGCATCGAGCAGGACTGGAGATACTACGTGACTGTGTTGACGGTAATGTCGTCATATCATGGCCACCACCTGGCTTCACCAAGGATGAGTTCAACGAGATGATGCAACAGAAGAGGCTGTCCGAGATGACCAGTTCAACAACAATGTCAACATCAACAATGGATAATGCTGATGAAGATGATCAAGACGATGAAGATGAGGAGCAGTATCAACAACAACATCAACAGACAAAGAAGAAGCCACATAGTCGTAGGATGGACAAGAAGAAGGACGTGGTAGTGAAGGAGAAGGAGGTGCCAACATCGACGATGACCAAAGGCAAAGGAAAGGGCAAGATATCAGAAAGGGCCTTGGAGTACCAGGAGCGATTGCGAGAGAAGCAAATGAAGGGTGGAAACAAGCGACAGGAACTCTAGAGGGTCCGTGTCAATCAATCCATATGTTGTCATTTGTCGCCGCCAATGCATTGTAATCATTAATAAAGCTTGTATATACTGTATCCATATTACATGATCAATGAATCAAAGTGATCGAGCGATCGATCAATCATCTATTTTAATCTTCTTCTCTTTCTGTTGCTGCTCCTGCTGGTGTTGCTGATAACGCTGTTCGAGTTGGGGAGGAGGAGGTTGGTTGGTGTTATAAGATGTTGGCGATGATGGGTTCTTTGTGTTATCGTCCAACTTTGCAACTTGTGACTTGATGATATCTATCGACTTGTCATAAATGAACTCTCCAGAGTTCAAATATATGACTGCTGCCTTTCTAACAGAGTCATTCTTTATAAAGTTTGTTGCTCTATGTCTACATATTCATTCAAATGTAAGTAAGTCAGTCTTGCCACTCATTCATTCAATCATTCAATGTCATAAATCATACACAGAGAAGCCAGTCAAATGACGAATACCAGCAAGACCTGTTGTGATCAATGCGGCATCAGTTGCCAACGATAGTAGTTGAGAGAATAATACCATTATTTATGTTATGTATGTATATGCTTGTGATTGAATGAAGTAATGAATGAACACATCATTCAATCCCACTTCATTACTTCACCTTTTTTGTCCAAGACAACCCATTTCAAACAATCCGGGGTTTTGTTGTTCATCCCACCTCATTACTTCATCACATCAACCAACCTACATCATTATGACTTTACATGAAAAGGTAATATACATGTAATAAGTAAGTAAAGAGATAAATAAATATCCAAGTAAGTACGTATGTATGTATATTATATATTAATAAGTATATTTATTTTATAAGTTAATATTATATGTATTAAGATATTATAGTTTGTTATTTATCTTGTTCTGGCCATAGGATAGCAATTTGTGGATTGGTAGTATTGACTGCAATGAAACCAAATGTATATCCAACATTTGGTACAAGTGATGGCATGTAAGATGGCATTGTGTAGGCTCCTTTTCCATTGGAAACAACTCCCCAGTATGGTGTGCTGCCATCATTTCTAAGATTGGTCGTAAACTTGAGTATGAAGCCAGTGACAATCCTTCCTCCAACATTCTTCATGTATACATGATACTGCGAGTACTTTGATCCGTTGTTCTCCCACGTGGCATCGACTCCAATCTCAAAACCAACTGGGAAGCTCACTGGATTGCAAATGAATCCTGGTGGCTTCACTGCTTTGTCGCCAAACGAAAGCTGGATTGCGTATGACCAGCCCTTGCCATCCTCTCCATACCAAAGATTGTTGGTGCAGGTCTTTAGATTGAATTGGGTCGGTCCAAAGTTGACTTGGCCATTGGGGAAGATGGAGAACTGGCGCAAGGCGATGAAGTTGGCCCAGGTGGCGGCATAGGAGTTGTTGAACGGCTGCACATATTTGGACGGGTTGCAGTAATTACGATCCGAGAACATGGTTTCCATACTGTCGAGATTGGAGAGTGCTGGCATCAAGTCGGTGCTGTAGATCATGTTGCCCTGCATGTATCGGATCTGGCCCGATTGGAGATTGGTCTGGACTACAGTAACAATTACCAGAGATCCATTGAAGAATGGAGAGTTGGCAATATTACATTGTCCATAGGCCATGGACACGAAGCCCAATATTAAGATTATTATTGATTTGGTAATATTCATATTAATTAATATATATAAATATAAAGTAAGTGTAAGTAAAAGTAAGTTAAGAATTGAGGATGGATTTAGTTGGTGAGTAGGTATATGATTGATTATGTATTTGTTTAGGAAGGCCAACTTGATGATGATGTTGATGTTGTTGAGTTGAGCTGACTTGTGTCAATTTGGCGTCAGGCAAAGGATGCAAGGAAACACAACTTCCCACTCATCCACCCACCAATCAATCAATCCATCAATCAATCAATCAAACAATTAATCCATATAACTAACTCATTAAACATATATGTATGTATTAATAAGATGATGTATATGGTGTGTGTTGGATGGGCACTTCATTGAGATGTAGCAAGTTGACTCGAGAGAGAGAGAGTAGAGGCCATATACACTCATCACACCCCCCTTGTCAATCCAAGTGTGATGATGCGCACACCCAGACGTCTTTTGATCGTTTAATGGGTGGTCTCCTCCATTGCCGCATTTGGCTTATTGTGTGATTCAAGATCGATCACACCCAAACACAACCTTTTAAGTTGATCATATGATCACACACAAACACACATTTATAAGTTTGATTGATTGGGTGTGTGTGGTAGTGTTTACACAATCGAGATACCTGTACAGCTCCCCAATCCGTTTAACTGTTGATTATTAATTAATTAATTAGTATTACTATTTAGATATAAAAGATTAATAGAGAAATCAATTGATCACAACATGGAGTAATCCTGGGTGACCTGTTGGATGCCAATGAATGTTGACGCATAAAAAAATCTGTGACAATAATAAAAAGTGGCGCCATCATTCGTGCCCATCAGCTGGTCTTTGAACTTAAACATGGGTTTCAAATAATATCCAATTCTTTCTCCAATCACAACAACTAGGTATCTCGTCTCAACAACTACATTATCTTTATTATTACTACATTCAAACATACACACTCACTCGCTCAATCTCCAAACAATCAATCAATCAATCAACACCACACTCACATACACTTATAATACATTTAATTCTAACTCATCGCACTCCATTCCCAATCTCCTCTCACCTCACCACACTTCTCTCTCTCATTCTCTTATTATTACTACAACTTCCATACATCCCATTCATTCATATTACTTTGACTATCATTGAGACAAAGAAAGATAGAAAGAGAATGACAGTGTTTTCATGGATATCCAACAAGATTGTTGGTAATGGACAACAACAGAGCATGGAGAACAATACCAACAGTACTGCTGATTCTATAACTTTTGATACAGAATCTGTGATCATTGATGATGAGTTTGATGATGACGATGATGACGATGAACATACTCCAATGAGTGGCATCAACAACAAGAGCGCACGCACCACTACACGACCTCAGCACTGGACAACGACAACTACTCCCATCATTCAGAACTTTATATCGATTCCAAAGGATAACAGTGCACATCCTCTGGAGATCATATTCTCGTTTGATACGACCGGCCGCATGTTTAGCTACTTTGAGCGCATACGATCAGAGATGGCCAACATCTTGGCATCACTGTTTCAAACGATACCCCAGCTAAAGCTGGCATTCATTGCGCATGGCGACTACTGTGACGATCAATCAGAGACACGCACGCCCTACAAACGAGCAATCTCCATCCTGCCCTTCACCAGCGATCGCAATGAAATACTCACATGGTTGAACAAGATTGAGAGGACCGATGGAGGTGATGCTCCTGAGCTCTACGAGTACGTCCTGAGGAAGATCAGAGAGTTACCATGGTCAGAGTGCTCAAAGAAGGTATGTTTGTCCATATCGTGTGTGTCGTGACAAATGTACTAACACATGTGATTGATGATGAGAAGGCAGTTGTAATGTTTGGAGATGATGTTCCACATCCACCTAGCTTCACAGACCAACACTTCTATTGGCGCAATGAACTACACTATCTCACAAAGTATGATGACTCCCTTGTATCATCCGTCCACTCACTCACTCACTCACACACTCACTAACTCAATCAATCAATCAATATTAGGATTGGAGTCCGACTTTATGGTATACAGTGCAGGAACAATATGCACGCTCAATTGTTCTATGAAGAGTTGGCTGGCTTGTCAGGTGGAAGATACATCCATTTGAAGCAGGTCGATCACATTGGTCAATTGATGAGACTGTTGTGTCTTAGAGAGAATGGAAAGAGTTGGCTGGGTCGCTACGTCGAGGATAATCAAGCACTGGAACCACTGTTCAAGACTACCTTTGCATCACTGTTTGAGGACGTCTTTGTTAGACAGCGCGACACTATCAATGTCCGCTTCTCCTGGTGGGACATCTCCAACGACATCGATCCAAACCCAACCTTCCTCTGGAATGAGAGGACAGGCCTGTTTGAGCAGAACGTGGCCAATGTTGTGCCGCCCAAGAAGCCACTGGTGTCGCACAACAGATCAACGGTGGCCTCGTCAAAGATCCCTCTGCCGACCTTCACCCCATACCATCCCACTGGCAATGGCTACTCATCATACTCTCCTATGCTCTCACCTTCGACACCATACGCATTGCATCAAAGGTACAACAACAACAACTCAGCATCAGTGACTAGAGAATCATCAAGACACCAAGCCAAGATAGGTGTGCTGCCACCAAGGTCTGGCCACAACAACTCAGCATCAAAGAGGAAGTTTGAGGAGTATGAACAAGAAGACGACGATGCAAGCTCAGTAACAACATCGGACAACTCACCAAAAGACATTGGCTCGGTACAGAATGGTGCGCCAATCATACAGTTACACAAGAAGGACTTTATGTTCCTGGAGAAGCCTCCCAAGCCATCTGCTTCGCTTGAATCAATCATGATGTCAACCAACAACACTGACACATTCCTCACTACCTCAACCTCAACCTCTACATCCACCACCACAACCACATCGACCAACAATCAATCATCCAATCACTCTCCCAAGCAAAGGCATATGCGCTACTTTGAAACGCTACGTAGCAGCACGGGCGCGGACCAGTCGCCACCCATGGTCGGCCACTTTATCGCACTGCGCTCCAGTTCAAGCACACCAAATGGCAGCCACAGCTCTGAGGAGATTGTCGTGGGCAGGGTGGTTGGACTCACCTCGGACGACTAGATCAATGTGTTGAGCTATCAGTGTATTGAGGATGATGAGCGACTCTATGTGGAGAATAAGCATTATCGTAAATACCCGCTTGGCGCCGTTCTTGGTAGTGTGACAATGATGGAGGATGCAGCCAAACAGCAGCACTATCGACTTGTCCTACCGGCCACCACAACCTGCCAACAAGAGCAACAGCACCAGCATCAGCAGCATGCGCACCAACTCAACAGCGTCACTCTTCAATAAACGCGAAGAGACATAGCGTTGAGATATATTTATTACAATCTATCCATCCACCCAGGCTGGGTGGCTTCTACCAACTCATCAGCAGCCCAAGTGATTGAATGTGAGTAAGAGTGATTGAGTGAAGTAGGCAGGCAAGCAGGCAAGCAGTCAGGCAGTCAGGCACAAGCTAGTTGATAAGCAAGGTATTGTGTCGATTCACAAACTGCGAATATGTAGTTCAAAGAGAGTTAAACTCATTCAAATAAGCAATTGCAATGTCTTGTCTGGCTGGCAACCAACATGAATGATATGTAGACATTATGTACAAGTTATATAATGATGGTCTGGCCATCAATCAACAACCTTATGTATATCGCCACTGGCAATGCATCTTTACCAACGCATGTCCATATATGTAGTTGTGGAGATTGATACCTCCATTCATTCAGACATGTGGTGTGTGATTGTCATCTGATTGATCACACACTCAGCCAGACACTCAACCAGAGACACACACTCACACTGACACACATCAATCAAGTTGATGTACTAAATGCGAAATGAGTGTGATGGCAAGTCTGGACATATATTATATATTATATATATAACTTGTATTAGTTAGATGTAAGTGGATGGATGTCAACTGCCACATATCACACAACTGATGAGGAGTGTGTGAGTAGCCAAACACATGGAGTTAAGGGAAACTATCACTACTTATCATCCCATTACCCTACCCCATACATGGATGTTGCTCACTAAGTGATTGATTGATTGATTGATATATAGATCAATCTCCTATCTACCTTTCCTTTCTTATCATTCATTCACTACCTTATTATTACTTCAAACTATTCTTTCTCTATCTTCTTGAACTGATACATATACAAATATGATGGAGGTATGAACTTAATCTAACAACTTAGGTGTTATTTGAACAATCACTAACATGTATACCAATCAATCAAATAGAATATATCAATCTCAACTGATCGAAAGGTTGACAGGAATGGAACTTTCGGATTAGCAAGTCTTGGTGCTTTGATCAATTCAGAGAGGAGAGGACAATCAATCGATGAGATATCAGATCTTAAGGATGTACTTAGCAAGTCATTCTTGGGTCCCTGTTCATTGGAACTATTCAAATATCCACTTCCATCACTGACATCTTCAACAGAGGGTCTATTCCCAAAGGTGGAATCATTCCAAGCTGATACTCAACCTCCAGTAATACCACAAACAACCTCAACTACAACACAATCAACAACAAATGATACTATTATCACAACATCAATACCACCTCCATCACCTTCACCATTGAAGGAGAAGGTTGTTGATGAATGTGAGTCAGATAGGATACAATTGGATCATCAACTTGCCAGGTCCACATCTATCTCCAAGACCAAGACGAAGTCCAACAACTCCAAGTCCAAATCCAAGTCCAAGTACAGGGCTACCGAGGCGACTTCCAAGGACAAGATGATGATGAAAAAGACATTGATACTCAAGTCTGGATCAACAAAGTTGAACTCTATATCATCAAATAGTGGATTGGATGCAACTTTAAATAATGTTGGACGTGAGGAGGTGTCCCCACCTAGTTCTGGTTCTCGAAGGACCGGTGCCGCCAGGATAACCAACTCCAATGTTGGCAGTACTCGAGGTGTACCAGATCAACGCCAATCCAGTGTAAAGGTGTCAACACAAACAAACCGCGCAGTAACCAACCTACCAGAGAAGGAACAGATCAAACATCGAATGTTGATCACTACATCACTACATAACATTACAAGCGAACTACGTGTAATCCTTGAGAAAAGGATAACCAAACAACAAGTGGCAGTGGAGACAGCGCAGAACGCCAAGATTGTCCATGAGTGTGATGGTGTTAAGAACTCAATCACATCATTCATCAACACATTGTCCGAGCAACTTGTCGAGAAGAGCCAGGAGCTGGAGACACTGCGGCTAAAGAAGAAGCAGGCCAGCAGCAAGAAGGTCATTGAATGTGAGCGATCCAGACGCCAGCTCGAGTCGGCCATCTCATTCCTCAAGATCGAGCGTCGAAGTGTGTTGGAGCTGAGGGCACGCTTCATATCTGTGTGCAACGAGGTCACCTGCAGGTATGAGCAGTGCAATCAGATCGAGCGAACCTTGTCCAAGTGGAACATAGAGATGGATCGAATATACGCAGGCATGCACAAGGAGTCGCCCATCATCACGGTGGACTACTTCAAACTTCAGCCAATGTTCCAATCATGTGATACTGTGATCAAGGAGCATATCGTGGTCAAGCAGGATATGATCAGAGAGTTGACGAGGAGGGAGGCAGCCAGGAACACACTGTTGATCTACTTAGGCGGTGTATCCAAGATCATATCATATGGCGTTGACATCATCACTGATGAGAGGATGGTCGAGGTGGCCCGAGTGCGTGGACTGGAGCACCAGGTGCACATGCTATATCACGCACTACATGATAAACAAGCTGACAACCTGTACACCGAGCATGTGCCGCCAAACACCATCAATAGATCATTCATGTATCGCGAACCAATAGTTGGAGTGGAGAGGACAATGAGTGCTGGCAGTGGGATGATGGAGTCTGCTGCAGGTGGATGTAGTACAACAACTACTATGAGTCCGAGGAATCTGATCAATCCAACATCACCATTCAGTGTATCCAGTCTGTCGCCACTCAATAGGACTGAGGGACACTTGTCACCAGTGGCCATGTACACCGATGGACACAGCTCCATTACCTCTGCCACATCGGCACCAATGTCCAAGATAGCCATCTCGCCACTCACAACCATTGAGACACTCTACACACTGCCACCATCACAAGAGGGACTTCCAGGCTCATACGCCATCGAGGTCCTAGTACTCAATGCCGATCTATTCTTCCCAGTATGTTAATCATTCATTCATTCAATCATTCAATCAATCATATACTAACCATTCATGTTGTTGTACTTAGTCGACTTGGAGAAGGAGTGGCGTTGCCAAGAGTAAGGCATCGATGTATATTGAATCGTTGGGCAGTATGACAATGGAGCAGTTGATTGAGTGTGCTACCAATGCACATATTGGAGACTCTGATGACAAGTCATTCAAGAACATCGAGTTATACTTGGCCACAGAGATGTTTCAGAAGTTCTTTGTAAACAGTCCATTGTTCTCCTATGCATTATATCAACAATGGTTATTGGTAGAGAGTATGTACATCATCGTGATTGAATATATAGTGATATCAACGACTAACATGTTTGATTGATTGATTGAAAACAGGACTTATTGATCATCAAGATCAAATAACTACAGTGAAGGAACTTGTCAAACAATTGTCACGTGATAATCAGATGATCATTGAGGCATTGATCAAACTGTTGTCCAAGGTATCAACCAAGAACAATACTACTACGACAACGACTACCACTACTCAACACATTGACTATAGAGTACCTCCACAACTACTCAAATCATTCAGTCACCTTATACTACGCTATTAAAATATGTAAACATGGATCTATCCCATTGACATTGTCATTGAGTATCAATTGGTCATTTGGTCATTCATTCATTCATTCATTGATTTGACTTGACTTGACTTGACTTGAATGACTTGGACATCATGTTGACACCTAAGTCTCTGGAGATTGACTTTTAAGGAAATTCCATTTCGGGAAGAGTAGATCAGATTCCGATCTAGTCATAGATCGGTTATTGATCAATCATTGATATAATATATTGGTTGTTAAGTAATAATATTATATACTTTATATCAATAAATGATGATAATGATTGTAATAGAACTAATCTTTATCACACCAATTGTGTGTTGAATGAATGAATGAGTGAATTTGAGATCTGTTTGAATGTGGATTCGAAAAAACGAGGGAACTTGTACCCCCCACCACCCACTTAATTTGCATAATACCCACGATAACAACACAAAGTCGGTATCTATCTCTCTAATAATGTTGATAATACAACCAAATAAATAATAAATGAAATAAATAAAAACAATGTATTTCCACAAAGATAAGGCGTTACATGAATACGAGTGTTGTTTGAATCTTTTACCACACACAAACACACACACACACACACTTACTTGCATTCATTCATTCACTCATTCATACATTCATTCAAACATACATAGAGATAATCCAAATATACATAACACAGTTTAGATATCAAATAGAGAGAGATTGAATTCATTACCATACTTGTGTGACAATATTACCATAAGTATAACAATTGAATGGACCAATGATGGAACCGATAGAGGTATGAAGTCTGATCAGGACATTCACGTGACGTGACGTCATCAAGCCCCGACCCAAACATCACACTCACACACTATATTACACCAATCAATCAATCAATCAAACAGACATCACAGAAGGCCAGAAGGTCTACGAAACAAACCATTTTCACAGGATTGTGGAAGGGTGAAGAGCAGCTGTTGATGGGCGCCTCAACCAGACGAACAGTGAAGAAGCCAGATATATATAGTGCGAGCACAAAGAGGACTGCTGCAAGGTCAAGACACGACGATGATGATGACGACAATGAAGATGATGACGACCAAGAAGACAACAGTGATAATAATGATGAGCAAGATGAAGAACAAGATAGTGCTGGATCAGATGATGACAATAATAACAACAACAACAATGAAGATGAAGATAACGAAGATGATGATGAAGAAGAGGAGGAAGAGTACGATGAGGAGGAAGAGGAGGAGGCACCTTCAAAGTCAAGACGAGGAGGATCAACAAGGACTGTTGTAGCCTCTTCAAAAGCAATCGATCAAAAGCAGCAAAAGAAGAAGGGCAGACCTCCAAAACAGCAGACAAAGGTCACCGCGAAACCACCCCCGCCACCGCCATCTAAAGGGCGCTTGAAACCAGCACCATCAGCCGCAAAGAGAGGACGTCCACCAAAGAAGATCGTGTCCGAGTCGGAGGAATCAGAGGAAGACAATGACGATGATGTGGACGAGGTGCAGGAGGACGATGATGAGAGCGAACATGAGAAGGTACACGAGGATGTCGATGCAGAGGACCAAGAGGATGGCGAGGAAGCGGACGAGGAGGAGGAATTTGACGAGGAAGAAGAGGACGAGGACAACGATACTGATGGCACTGATCTCAGAGACATGGAGATTGAGGATCGACTGAATCTAGAGTTCACGATCGAGAAGGTCATCGATCAGCGAACGATCACAAAGGAGGACGGCACCGAGGTGGAGGAGGTGTATGTCAAGTGGCGCGATTTGGCCTACATTCATTGCACCTGGGTCGAATCATCTCGTCTGCTCAACACGACCAAGAGTGCCAAGGCTCGTCTGCAGCGTTGGCAGTCGCTGCAGGACAACGACGACTCTGAGTACACGCGTCTGCGCTCCAAGGCCGAGGACGCCTACAAGCAGTTCATGAAGATCGAGAAGATACTCGACAAGAAGGACAATGGCGACAATGGCGTGGAATACTTTATCAAGTGGCGCGGACTGAGTTACGTCAACTGCACATGGGAGAACGACGAGGACATTGACGACGACGCAGCTGTCGCCGCCTACGACGACTTTATCAACATGCCCGCTCAGTCACAGCTGGCAATTCGTCCGCGACCCGCCCCCTCCGACTGGAAGGAGGTCAAGGAGAGTCCAGACTTCTTCAAGAAGGGCCGTCAGCTGCGTCCCTACCAAATCCAGGGCCTGAACTGGCTGACGTACTGCTGGCATCACAAGCGCAACTCGATCCTAGGCGATGAGATGGGTCTCGGCAAGACTGTGCAGTCCGTCTCAATCATCGAGACGCTCAGGAAAAGGCATGGTATTCGCGGGCCATTCCTTTGCGTGGCGCCACTCACCACCATCCAGCATTGGCGTCGCGAGTTTGAGTCGTGGACCGATCAGCGTGTGGTGGTCTACCACGACCATGGCCAGGCACGTCCCATCATCCGCGACTACGAATTCTACTACACCGACAAGAAGGGCAAGCCCACCAACGTCACCAAGTTCCACACGCTCATCACCACATACGAGATGGTGATCAGCGATCGCTCATTCCTCTCCAAGATACACTGGCGCTACCTGGTCATCGACGAGGCGCACCGTCTCAAGAACAAGTCGTGCAAGCTGACCACCGAGCTGCGCACCTACAAGTACGACCACCTGCTGCTGCTCACGGGCACACCGCTGCAGAACAACACACAGGAGCTGTGGTCGCTGCTCAACTTTATGGACCCTGCACACTTCACCTCGCTGGACTCGTTCCTTGCCGACTATGGCGACCTGAAGGAGGCCGAGCAGGTGGCCAGTCTGCAAGAGGTGCTCAAGCCATACATCCTGCGACGTATGAAGGAGAACGTCGAGAAGTCCATCGCGCCCAAGGAGGAAACCATCGTCGAGGTGGAGCTCACCACTGTACAGAAGAAATACTACCGTGCGATCTACGAGAGGAACTTCACCTTCCTGAGGAAGGGCGGCAAGAACTCCGGTCCCTCGCTGCTTAACATCATGATGGAGCTGCGCAAGTGCTGCAACCACCCCTACCTGATCAAGGGCGTCGAGGACTCTGAGACATCGATGCTGAAGAAGAACTCGGACGACGTCTATCTCAAGCTGATACAGGCCAGCGGCAAGCTGGTCCTGATCGACAAGCTGCTGCCCAAGCTCAAGCAGGGCAACCACAAGGTGCTGATCTTCTCCCAGATGGTGGCCGTCCTCGACATCCTCGACGACTACCTGACGTTCAGAGGATATCTGCACGAGCGTATCGATGGTGGCGTCAAGGGCGACGAGCGACAGGCTGCCATCGACAGGTTCTCCGCGCCCGACTCTGATCGATTCGTGTTCCTGCTGTGCACGCGTGCCGGTGGCATTGGTATCAATCTGACTGCGGCAGACACTGTGATCATCTTTGACAGTGACTGGAACCCACAGAACGATCTACAGGCACAGGCCAGATGTCATCGTATTGGACAGGACAAGATGGTCAAGGTCTACCGTCTGGTCACGCGCAACACTTATGAGCGTATCATGTTTGATCGAGCATCCAAGAAGCTCGGTCTCGATCGTGCCGTCCTCACCAAGATGACCACAACCAACACTTCATCGACAACAGCCACGACCAAAGAAGAGGTACCAGACAAAGACACAATCGACTCTTTGTTGAAGTATGGTGTATATGCTATCAAGTACGTTAGTTAGGAGACATACCACTCAAACATCCTCATACACTAACATTCAACTCACTCTTACTTAGGGACGACGACAATGCAAGCGAGAAATTCTATGAGGAGGACATTGATAAGATCCTTGATCGATCGGTGGTGGTGAAGCAGGAGTCGGTGGTCGATCCTTTGGTGTCGAACTTCTCGACGGCAAGCTTCTGCTCATCAAGCTCAGTGCCACACATTGATGTCAATGATCCCAACTTTTGGGACAAGCTCCAGCCCGAGCTGGAGACAATCAACGAGTACGATATACTGCCACGCAAGAGGAAGAATGTACAGCGCTTTGGACGTGACGATGTGGAGATCTCATCGGACGAGGAGCAGCAGTCTGAGGAGGACCTGGAGGAGGATGAGGACAAGGACACGAGTTCCAGCGGCGGCTGGACTCATCGCGAGCGAGGCAACTTCAAGTCTGCCCTCTATGTATTTGGCAGTGGCCGATGGGCACTGATCAAAGCAATGGCTAACCTCGATCGATGGACTGTTGACCAAGTCCGTCAGTACGGAGAGGCATTCCTCTCCAAGGCGCTTGGCATCTCCATGGCCAAGGACTCTGAAGACTCCAAAGAATCCAAGTCACCGTTCAAACCATACAATGCACTGGTCGATCATCTTGAGCCTGCTGTGTTTGAGCTGTACAACAAGGTGCCACCACCTGCCGACATGGAAGTGGACTCATCTACCACCACCACTACCACTACCACCAGCAGCAGCGCGACCAATCAGTTCATCAATGACCCAAGCCTCAACGACACAAAGTTCAAGGAGTACCTGACGAGAAACTCCAAAAAGATTGAGAACAAGCTGAGCAACATGGCAGAGCTGGCCAAGATGCTGCGCGTTGGCTACGACAAGGTGGTGGAGCTCATTGGCGAGATGAGCGACACACCCAACGACTGGTGGCGATTCAAGGAGGACCACGACCTGCTCATCGGAACCTACAGGAGCGGCTTTGGCGAGTACGACCAGATCCGCCAGGACAAACTGTTGTGCTATCACAAGTACAAGTTTACAACGGCCGATTCATCAACAGCGGCAGCGGCCGCTGTGGCCGACAGCACACCAATGGACACTACATCTTCATGTGGCGGCGGCGAGGCCTCGACACCCATCACACGCGTCTGGCCCTCTGCCAAGATCCTGTCGCATCGTCTGAAAAGAATACTGCGTACACTGGACATCTACAAGAAGAAGAGGCAGAAGGACAAGAAGGACAAGAAGAAGCGCGACAAGGAGAAGAAACGTGTGGAGAAGCGTCAGACGGACTACAAGGCCGACTGGACAAAGCGTGAGCGCAGCGACTTTTACAAGAACATCGTCATCTATGGCCTGATAGAGATGGGCGAGGGCGAGGAGCATTCGTGGGACCTGATCAAGGAGAAGGCCAGCCTCAAGAAAAAGTCGTCGGACCTGATCGAGCGATACTACAAGGGTCTGATGGCCAAGTGTCAAGAGTACCTCAACGCCCCGAACAAAGACAACGCAGAGGATGACCTTGAGCTCACGCCATCCCAGTGCAAGCGACTCCTTGGTCGTATCCATTTCCTGAAGAAGCTCAGGAACACACTTGGCACCGATCGCGACAACATCCCCGCACTGCTAGAGCACGTGCCGTCGCCCAGCTGCTTCCCCTCGTGGTACCAGAAGAATGTCCATGATCTGGCGCTGGTCGAGGGCGTGTCCAAGCACGGCTATGGCCAGTTCGAGGAGATATGTCGTGATGAGTCACTGCCATTCTACTCTATCTACAAGACATTGTTGCAGCAGAAGGGTCTCAACGACGATGACAACGACAACAACGATGACCCTGCCATCGCAGAGAAGCGCAAGCGAAAGGAGAATGTTGTCGAAGTGCTCAACATGCCCCGAGACAAGTTCCTGAACTCCCGTGTGGAGCTTGTCGTCGAGTACATCAACAACCAGAGGACCAAGGCACAGTCCCTGCACAGCAACCTCAGCCAAACGCTCAGCAGCTTCGTCACGAGGAACAGTCCGACATGCGTACCTCTCAGATCAAGCTACAGTGGATCAAACCACCACAATGGTCAAGGACTACATCGATTCAATGGACTGCACGACTCACAGGGTGCCATGTCCAGCAGCACCAGCGCCCTCAGCATGTCGGGCAACAGCCACAAGACCAGTCGTAGCTCCACCTCCACTTTCACTTCCACTCCCTCATTGGCAAAGAACAAGAACCAAAAGTCCATCCTGGACTTCCTGCTACATGACGACAAGGATGGCGATTTGGAGTTTGACTCTGATGACGATGAACAACTGTTCAGACGAGTTGCCAAGAGGTCCAAGAAGAGGCATGGCTTCTCACCTGCATCCATATCCAATGCACTCAAGAGTCTTGACGACAAGTATGTATAATCCAAAGCCAAAGAGATTGATCAATCAAATAACTAACCCACTCCATTCAAGTGAATTGATAGCACCAATTCATGACTCTGACGACGAGTCCTTCCAGGACCACAAACTGCTACAGAGAGCATACCTCAAGTCTTCAAAGGGATCAACTGGAGGATATCATAGCGGAAGCAGCAGCAACACCACTGGTGCCATACGATCTAGCAACAACAACATCACACCTGGCAGTGCCGCACACAATGCCAAAGACAGTATCACATCATACTTTGACAAAGTGCAACAAACCGATATGTTCACACCTGTAAAGAAGAGCCATACCAACATCAACAACTTTTACAACGCCATCCCTAACAACAACAATGGCCATCATCTTCATCAATTTGGTACGACTACCACTGCTGGCAATGTAAACGGCACAGTTGGCGGACTGATTGGAGTAATCATGGAGGACAGCGACCTCCAGATGCCCAACCAACAGGCCACCCCACCCAACTTCAAACTGGACAACCGTATTGTCAATATCCTGAACGAAGCGAACGAGGACTATTCGATGGACTACAACAATTTCTTTACAACAAAGTAGTAGTAGTAAACTTATTGAAGTTGTTTGGTTCGAACAAACATCCTAACTTATTTAATCTTTTTTATTTGACAGAATGATACTTTGAAGACAAGAGATTAATATTAATATTATTATTATTATTATTATTATTACTTACTTACCTTTTATTGTTCAATCAAATCCATGTTCCTTATTCATTCTCTTACAATCCTCATTAGCAAAGTATATCGATCCAAGAGTTGGAATAAATGCCAATATTATCAATGCTAAAGGATAAGTTATAAAATTTCTATTACATTTCCTCCCAATAGGATCAAATCCCTTTAGTGCTTGCATCACAGAATTGATACAAAGATATGTATACAACTACAAATAGATATAATAATGTCAGGACTAAACAAACTATTACTTTATGCTTTATTAGCTTGTTAACAAGTAGGAGTAGGAAGTGCGCCCATTAGGGGGTCTGAAGATGAAGAAAATCAGAAGCGGAAATGAGGGAAATGAGGGAAATGAGGGAAAGTTTTGATTTGCTCGTTCTGTCTGATAGTAGCTTATTCGAAGCAAGTTGTCGTGATTCATTCTTGATTATCTCTCTCCAAGTAATAGTTATAGTTACAATAATGTTTAACATATACATCATCACAACTCTATCCCTGTTAGCTTTCACCTCCCAACTCTGTCAAGGCCAAGCCACGGTGTCAGGACAACAATTATCCAATCCTTCAACTGGACAATGTTTGCAATCACCTCCATGGCCACTCGCTCCTGTGATGGCAGCACCTTGCGATAGCTCTAATATAGCTCAGTTGTGGACCCCTAATGGCGACCTCCTTATCAATGATGCCTCCGGTCTTTGCTTGGATATCATAACTTCTACCCTCTCCGGTGTTCCCTGCAACAATGGGTATCCACAGCATTCACCTAATCCCAACCAACAGTGGTCACGTGCCGGAAGTCAGCTCAAATCAGTTGGAACAGGTGGTCAGAACCCTGGTCAGTGCGTCACGATTTCTCCCATGTCCCCATCAGGTTACAACTGGATGCTAGCGACATGCTCTTCATCCAACTCGGCCCAAACGATCAACACCCAAGGTTCATTGAATTCCAACCCCAATCTTGGAAGTGTTCTATCTCCTCCATCTCCAAAGAGCTATGCCGACCAATCACTGGCCCAGAATGTTCTTGGTTTAGGCGCGGCAGGCCTTCGTTTAGCGACTCCATTTTTTGTCGTCGACCCAGGCAATCCACTGACTACATGGTCAGAGGGATCCCTTGTAAAGAAGGGATTTTATGGAGTCCTTGAGAGGGGTGACCCAACCCAGACTATATCTCGATTTAACCTTCCCCTCTCATCTGGCCTTCTATCTACAGTCTCATCAGTCCTCGGACTCACCATAGCCATCGAAAAAAAGATGGAACTTGCAAAAATGTACTCCCAAATGCTTCAGGAGGCGCAGAAGATCGTCAGCCAGGACATTGATGACAGTGTCTACGCCCTAGTCAACTCCAATCTCCAGGGTTTGGCAAATCTCATTCAATCGTACTACGCACCTGCGATGACCAGTTGCAATGTATCTTCAAGCTACAAGGCCAGTATCCTCACATCGTGTCTGGCTGTGGTTGCGGCCCAAGAATCAGTCTACCAGAACCCCGCCTATAGTTATCTCCTACTTCCTATCTTTGCTCAATATGGTGGTATCCAACTCTCTATCCTCAGAGATGCCGCTCTCTATGGACCAAGCTTTGGTTTGCCGCAGAACATGATCGATTGGTTCAGTAACCAATTGGATACCAAGATTCAAAGCTATTCATCATATGTTAATGGCACCATCTCTTTCTACAACGCCAATACCTTTCAAGTTTCATACACTGGAGACTTTAATTATAAGTCCAACGCTTATGATCAATGGAATGCGTTCAGCAATGCTCTCTCCTTCCAGCAATCGAATGTCCTATTCTTTTCAAGCAATTGGGCAAAGTACAGTCTCACGGCTAATCCAAACGGCGCCGATATTGATCCTCTCCCTGGCTTTATCACTTCCTCGGCAATTGGAGGCGTGAGCTTTTCTTCAAGTTCACAACCACCACAATATGGAGCAAATATGGTAATGCCTGGATCATTCCCTTCAAACTATCTCCAATATCCACTTGCTTCTTTGATTCTCGACTTCACAAGTCCACCTAAGAATGAGAATAATCTGCGTCCTCCTTCAGTTTTGTGTCAAATCACTATGACTGACATATCTGGAGCCACCTTCATCATTCCTCAAGGTGGAACATCAAGTCAAGTTGTGTATTCCAAGACCGTTGCTGTGAATTCACCAATCATATCTTTCAACATTTACTCTTGGGATATCACGACTAATAGTTTTTCTGATTTATATGACACCCTCATAACAGGTTTCGACATCTACTTTGCTAGCGGACCTCCCATTTATGTCAACCCGAACAACGTTAATCTTCTTATTGATCCTAATGCCTGCTCGAGGGTCTCCTACGGCATTACTGGTCAAGCACTCTCTGGATTTACCATCCCTTCACCAAATCAAGGAAGACAATATGCAACTGGAATCGCACCAGTCTTCAATGACATTGGTCTTTACCCCAATCAAAGCGCTGCGGTTATTCAGAATCCCAACACCTGGCTATGTTTTGGAGTTACAATTCCGGTTAATGGAAGTTCTCCTCTTGGACCCCTTATCTATCAGCCTTGCCAATGGGGACTCCCGTGGTTTCAATGGTCAGTTACACCATTTGGAACACAGTATGGCTCAGTCCCCGCCGCTGGAAGGCTGTACAATCCAGCCACTCTTCAAAGTCTCAGTATGGATACAGCTAGTAGCAAAGCTGTGCTTACTCCAGCTGGATCGATACCATCACAGTTCAACTTTATTCCCTCATATCCTGGAAACGGAGTTACCCTGTTCCAGATCCAAGAATCTGTTAGCATGAAATGTCTCAAGGACAATGGAGCAGGAACTCTCATCTTTGCGCCGTGCCAAAGCATTGGCTCTGTCTGGGATCTCGACTTCTTGTCACTCTCTCCTAGCTTTATGCCTAACAAGCAAATCCAACTTGCAAATGGTGGAAGTACGCAGCTATGTTTGACATTCCCCAACGGAGGCACTGTCTCTGTCATAGCATGTGACAGTGCAAGCATCTACCAACGGTGGAACATCTTCCAGAACCTTATTCTCAGTGCCAGCACCAACTATCTACAATTACAATCCAGTGGCACGAATGGTACTGTTGCTATTGTTGGGACAAATCACATCCCGAACATTATAGTGTATCCCAATGCTCCTCTAAATGGGGTCAGCATCTATGATGCAGTTACAGATAGCTGTCTCAAATTACTCAACAACTTGCCATATTGGGTATATTGCGATCAGACCAATCCTTCCCAGAACTGGGTAATCTACTAGGATGGTGCATTCCAAATAAATACATATATGTGGTCATCACCAACTCGAACATGAGAAACCAACCAGTTGAGTTGGTTAATGGTTGAATATCCAATCAATTATATATTTGTTTGCAACACCAGCATCAAGTTCAATTTGTGTATCCAAGGTCCAATCTCTGATCAGTCATTCCCTTGGTTGGTGTGTTGCGTTTTAACTTTTCCGAACCAAAAACGGTTGTGCTGACTAGAAATAAATCGATACAATCATCAATCATTTGTTGAATAAGGCGAAACCACGGTAGTCTACTGTAAAGAATGTTGATTGGTCGTTTGGTTGGTCACAACAAAGAGAGTACGTAGCCAAGGAATAGGTGGGAAGCTCGCTTTCCAGATAGGCGCAACTCTAGGTGGGGTGATGAAGAGAGACTTGCACGACGATAGGTTCGACATCTCGTAGACATCGTCTGTGTTGTAGGAGAAACAGAGTTTGAAGCAATGCACAATGTACCCTGGTGATCACTATTGGCTTATAGGAGACGATAGTAGACCTCCTCACTGATGAATTTGAGATCAGAGTGTGAGTTTGGCTTGATGTAATACACAACAACCAGACCGTCAAAGAGCTGCAGTACTGATTGACATTGATGTCACACTTCTGAGCACTGTTTGAGAAGTGGTGGCTACCGGTGGGAAGGAGTAGAACCTGTTCAGTATATCGACTGGGCATTCCATTATGGAGCCGTGTTTAGGAAGGTGCTCTGGCTGGTCTTTGTTTGAACAGCAGTCCAGGTATTGATTAAAGGAATGATTGATTGCTTGTTTGATTCACGTCTAATGGGGTTGCTGCGAATTAACTCAATAACTACTTTAACCAAAAATCGGGTGTGTTTTTCAGAATGAATGAAACTATTGAGATAATAGAGACAAGTCAAACTTTAAAGAAATATACATATACAACACTAGTATTTTAATGGATACATTTACATGTCCTCATTGCAACAATGTTTATGAATCTGTAAACTTACCAACGAGTGAACAACAGACTCTGGATTCAGCATGTCCACACTTACTATGTCATACAATGCTCGTTTCAAAGCAGAATGCACCTTATCAATCTGTATATAACTTAAAGACAAATCGTATGTATCATGCAAACATGCATTATGATGTGATGACATGACAAGACATGACATAGCATGATTCTTACATCTCTGATTGAATGAATGAATGAATGAACTACATCAAACAACAACAAAGTGTTTGGTGTACAGGTACCAGTAGTGATAGCAAACAGGTTCATTAGGTATTTGAGAGATAGGAATGCAGCCAATCCACCAGGATTCTATACAATACATCAGTCACGATCGAGGATCAGCAATACATTTCAAGGCATCACTGTGTTTACACTGAAACGAGTGGACCCTTCATCACAGATCATCATACAGCACAGTCTCTACCTGTCTGCCAATCCACTCAATGATATCACCTACTTTGAATCATTCATTATCAAGAACTACATCGACATCTATGCTCTCATCACTGCACCACTGATAGTTAATCAAGTTGTTGACAACTCAACACATCAACATAGTCACAACATTAACAGCAGCAACAATAGTAGTAATAGTATGAGTATCGACCCCAATAATAATAATAATCATCTTAATAGTAATAATAATAGTATACAACATAACATGGCGAATGCTAATGTATTATTGTATAATGATCAACTAAGGAATCTTCTGAGTGAGGTCTCGGATGATGACGATGACGAGGAGGTGGATGGACGTTGGATAGTGATCACTGGAATACCAAACCAATTGCCGTCATTCCTTTGGCTATCATCTACGATGGACGGTGCCGACACAATCACATTACCAATCAAGTTGGCTCAAAATGACATCCAAACTCTGTCCAATATTCCAGTTACCATCTCTCCATTGATCAAACTTCCATCAATTGCTGTGCAACTTTAATAATAATAAACAATTATTTAATAATAATAATAATAGTATTACTTCCATAATAATTCATTGTTTATTGGTCAATGGTTATAATAAAATAAATATTATTATACCAATCAGTCGAGTGATAACGATTTACAAATATTTGTGTTCAATCATAACACTGAAGTCTGATCTGATCTGATCACATCATTTGATCACTCACCTTATTCGTGTTGATGACGATGATGATGTTCTTCATTCAATTAATCAATCAATGATTAATTGTCAAATGATTGGACATCAGTGAATGACTCCACATTACAACTTTGGACATGAACTAAAATAGACTAGATCAATGTGATGTTGCCCAATACTTGGGACCTATACTCTCTAGTTTACAAATTATAGTTGATTAAAAAGACCATGGAACATATTCCTTTCGACTCTTGGTCAATTGAACAAGTATTTAAACAACATAAACAATCACTCAATTAATATCATCAACAATACTACAATCTGAAGATCCAGTAACATTACAACTACAAATTTACATTACTATACTCTCTAATTAATTAATCCCAGTATCAATACTTTAATAATAATGACTTTCATTCCCAAGCTTATCCTTCTCGTTGCAATGGTTGCAGTTGCATCCTGTCACTTCATTCAAAGCCCACCAATCGGTGGTTACTACGACCCTCACTTTGGTATCCAACAAAACCAATTCTACAACAATGCTCCATTGTACAACCAAAACAACCAACAATATTACCAACAGCTCCAACAGCAGGCTCAGGACCAAAGGAGAGCCTACTTTGAGGCCCAGGTCAACCAGATTGAGAATCAAATCAACCGTTGCAACCAAGAGTCGCAGAGTCTCCAACAGTCAATCTCCCAGCAGCCACAGGGTAATGATGCCACCGCTCTAGCCAACTTCCAGGTTAGAAAGGCTGCTGTCCAGCGCCAGATCAATGACATCGCTCAGAACATCTCCAACCTCCGTAATCAGCAGCAGGAACTCAGACAACTCCAGAACCAGCCCCAGCTCTACAACAATTTCCCACAAGCTCAGTTTGCAGGTGGCCTCTACCAACCAAACACTTTCATTGGTCAACATGTCCATGCTTGGTAAACAACATTAATAAATGTTCCTCCTGATATTTAATTTCAATCATTCTTATTGTCCCTCTACCCCTTTGTTATTCCAAAGAGATAAATTAAGTTAACAATCGTATCCAAACAATCACCACGATCGCTTACCAACGCGACCAATCACTACTGTGGATGGCCAAGAAGATTGTCATCCACTCCCTCCTCTTCTATGAACTTGGTTCAGATATATTGTTCGTTTAGAGAGTTTATTCAATCTCTCAATGTGTTACAGGTGTAGGGTCAAGCGTAGATTACATTATCCATCCGGAGATGCGATGATGGTCAGATAGACATACACGAAGATAGACAGGACTACTACTTGCCAATCCTGACCAGGGATGATGATGCTGCTGTGGACCTTGCTGGATTCTTGGTGTACTTGCGAGATAGTGCCGTTGCCGATGATAGATTACGACTGGTGCGCGCAGTATGCAGTGCATTCTTGGCAATGTGCCAACGATTTTGCTGGGTGCTGTCGCGATGGAATCTTGATGGATATTCTCCCATGCCTCGCTCGATCAACTCTAATATATACATGTCCTCAAGCTTTGGAAGTGCCTGAGAGCTCTTGACCTTTGTGATCTTCTCGTTTGTATTGATCGTGCAGTGGAATGTTGTGAAGAACTGATTACGCGTAAGGATGATTAGTTGGACTTGACCAAAGATTACTCAACCAATCAATCAATAAACTTACATTATCGATATATTGGGCAATATTCTGTAGTGAGCATGAACCACCATTCTCTTGGAGTGCCATGGCCGCCAGATCTAGGATATGCGTTGGGGAGGATGGTCCTTCAAACAACTCGTTGTCCGAAGATGAACTGTCCTCCTCGTCAGACATGGTTGCCTCGTCATTTGATTGGTCCGATTGAGACTTGTTTTCGTCATCCCCGTCATCACCTCCCTTTGCCTCATCGAGTGGTTTCCTTCTCGTTGAGCGTATCGGTCTCTTTGTGCTCTCAATCTTTGGTGACACTTTGCTCTTCTTTGTGTTTGAAGAGGCGACCGTCGTCTTGGACTCGGTGTCGCTCTCTGTCTTCATGGGTGTGATGGTGGTCTCGGCAACGGCCTTGTCTTCGGTTGGCTCTGCATTGGTATCACCTGGTTGGACGGCAGCACTGCCATCCGCATCATCTCCATTGGATTGCTTGCGCTTCCTTCCAAACTTTCGTCGCAGGGATGTGAAGCTGCTGACACCATTCGTGGTGCTGGTACTGCTGTTGGCCACAGTGGTGCCATTGTTGTCGCCCTTGCTCTCATCAGTCTTGATGGGTGGTGTGTCGGGTGGGGAGACAACCGAAACGTCCTCATTCTGTGACTTGACAGGTACTGGTGGACTGGTGCTTGTGGACGTTCGTTTCTTTCGGCTCAGAGGTTGGATTTGTATCTTCATGATTAGTGGCGACGAGTGTTTGGCCGCAGTTGATGTGGTTGTCGTTGATGTAACACTTGTCTCCTGCTTGACCTCTTGCTCGGCAGTCTCTTCAGTGGCGCCACCATCCTCTGCCACCGACTTGTCATTGTTGTTGTCCTCGTCATCGTCCAAATCCTCATCAGACTCTTCCAGCTCGATAGACTTTCCACGAGGACCAAGCATCCACCAACCCTCCCTCTCATGATCACGATGGAACAATTGACTCGCAGAGGATGCATTGGACAATGTTGCAGCAATCACTCGTTTGTGATCGTAAGTATACTTTGTTCCATCACGCTTCCTCAATTTGTTCCATTTCTGTAGATTTGAGTTTGGAATGAACAATGTTAGCATATCATATTCATTCTTTCTGGATTCAACCTGTGTCTTTTAGGACTTACATCTGACATGAACTCCTGAATGGTCGATAGATGGGCAGCTCCACTATGCGCTCTCAATGCTCTAATGATGTATCTCTGTATGGAGCTTAGAGTCTGCTCCTCACCCTTGTCCTCTTCCTTATTCTATGATGTCGGCGGTCAATTAATAATAAGTCCATCTAACTCCATACACTCAAACAGATAAACTTACATCAGAACTGGACTCTGGTTCAGTGATGGGAGCGGCGTTGGTAGTGGCGGCGGACACTGGCTGTGCAGCCTGCCGCTTCCTGCTTCGAAGATAGGAACTGCTGGCCACGGGCCGAGGCTCATCCTCCTGCATGGACTCCTCGCCAAGTGACTTTTCATCATCCTCCATCTCGGAAGTATGATGATCGGACCTCTCGGATGAGTCCTCGGCGGCCTTGCCACCCTCCTTCTCCTTCTCCCTCTCTGCTCGGGCACTGGTGGACCGACGCTTGTTCTTGGCAATTGATTGGAGCAGCTGTTGCTGTTGCTGAAGCTGCTGCTGTTCGGATGCTGCCTTCTTCTTCTGTTTGTTGTGCTGTTGGATAATCAACTGCTGGAAGAATATGGACGGGATATTCTGTTCGACGTCCATCTCGCAGTCGGCATCACTGCCAGCCGACGATGATCTTGCGCTCTCATCACTGGCAACCATACATCCATGTATAAGTGTGACAGTTGTCACGCCCAAACTATTCTGATTGGAGTCCACTGTCAGACTCCTCAATGGTTTACTCTTCTCTCTCATTCTATCTCCTGGTGGTTTGTTAATATTGATATCTCTACATCATATATATGATTGGAGTTAGTTAATGGACAATGATTCAATCATACAATCATTCAATCAATGAATTGACATACATATACTGTTTGGTTGATTGATTTTCCGGTCTGTTGTTCTTGTTATTCTTGTTGTTGTTGATGTTACTTTATACAATATATACACAAACTATATACATGCGCTCGCTACTACTATTGCTGTTGTTGCTGCTGCTGCTGTTGTTAACTTGTCGTCACTTATCCAAGTCTACATGTGTTAACACTACTTAAGTTTAATTGATTGAATGTATGAAATGTATGAATGAACACTTATTGATTGATTGAATGAAATGATTGATAACTATAGTACTTCTCTATCTCTATACCTTTGTACAAATGTATCTCAAGTTCCAACAACCTCTCAGTCACCTGCTAACTTTTCCCAATGCCGCCACTCACTGAGCTTACCTCACTCTCCCCACTCACTTTCCAATTTCTGCAAAGATGGAGTGCAGCGTAGATTGACACACAGATTTTTACCCCCACCCGCTCCGACACCCCCTCGCTCTGGCTCCAACAGCTCTGTTTAATCTTCTGAACAATGTCTGGTGGTGTGTGTTTATGTTATTGCGTGGATGGTTTGAGCGTTATGCCAATACTAATGACATCAACTTGGACATCATCATAGTAGTAATAGTTGGCAGAGTATCAGATCATATTGAGACAACATATATATCTATATAAAGTTTAAATATTAACTGGAGAACCAGTGAAGTACTTTGTTGTTGTTGGGTTTATTGTTTGAATGTATGATTGGGACGATTGGATGTGAATGGTCGGAGGTGTGTGGGTGAAGTTGATGATGTTTTAGGGGCGTTTCATTGCCATGGATCGAGATTCGAACGAGTTTCCTGTCAGTCAAAGCTCGGTAATAATGGGATGGAGAGATTTGAGATTGAATGATTGGTTGATTGGTTGAATGATGGATTGTGTGGAGGTGGAGGAGCGCTGGAGAAGAGGCGAGTGAAGGAGCGTGATTGATTGGAGAGAGTGAGTGAGAGATAGTGATATCGATAATTTGTTAACCTAGTGTACATTATTTGGAGATTGATTGAATGTGATTGTATGTTTGTGTTGCTGTTCAATCGAATTTGGTCGATTATACTGATTGATGATGATGTTGTTGCAGCATCACTATAGTGTTATTTCGCCTGATGTCGACAACCTGCTACTAAAAATATTATCTGCCTATATAGAATGTTGAGTGATGATTAGCGCGGTGGCAGTGGTGGAGTTGGACGACCTGGCTTGGGTGGAGGTGCTCCGCCATTGGGAACACCATTGGGTGCGCCGCCTGGTGCCATATTTGTTGGACGAGGAGGCAGTTTAGCGCCGCCGCCTGCTGGGACGGGTGGACCGGGCGGGCGCGACATTGGTCGCTCGGGCTTTGGTGGAGCGGCGCCGCCTGGCACTGGTGGGTTCGGACGTGGTCCGCCTGGCACTGGTGGGTTGGGACGAGTGGCGCCTGGCACGGGTGGAGTCGGACGCGGTCCACCAGGCGTTGGTGGTGCGCCGGGTGTGGGACGGGGTGCTCCGGTTGGCACGGGTGGACGGGGTGGTCCGCCTGGTGTTGGTGCGGGAGGTCTAGGTGGAACGCCAGTTGGCACTGGTGGACGAGTTGGAGTAGCGCCTGGAGTTGGGGCGGGTGGTCGAGGTGGTGTGGTGCCCGGTGGTGTGTGGGCAGGTGGTCTGGGTGGAGCTCCTTGCTGAGGTGCCATCGATACTGGTCGCGTTGGTGTTGGTGGCATCGGGGCCATCGACACTGGTCTACTAGCTTGTTTAACAGGTACTTTCAGTATTGTTCCTGTGCTCTTTCCACTTGGATATATCTTGATTGATCTCTTAATCTCTGGAACATCGGGTAGTTCCTCTAAAGATCGGAAGCTCCATCGGTCAGAGCCATCGTATAAATCTATAAATTCGATATAATAATCGTCATCATCCATCATCATAATGAGTAGTTGATTGTTTGTTTGATCGTTATAGTCGTTAGTTTATGAGCCTGAGTGTGTCGTTCGTGATGTAGTCTGATATGTACCATTCTCCTGAGGTTGCATCTCGTAGTTCATTGATGTCTATCGACACGACCTTATAAAATGTGTGTTTCTATCTATTTGCCTGTTTTATCCAAGCAATCTATCTATCTCTAGCTATCTGTCTATCTATCTGTTTGTCTCTATCCTCTCACTAGCTAGTATCTCTCTATCTATCCTATTTATAATATGATATAGTTGGTCAGTATCCACGTCCTGCTGGGAAAAGGAACTAATATTGTGTAGAAAGGGGATGAACAACAACAACAAGGAACAACAAGGAACAACAAAGAACAACAGGAACAACAAAGATAAGATAAGAACCCAACAACATACGATATATGCTAACATATATGTGAAATATACATATAACAACTAGTAATTATATATATATTTGTTTGTTTGTGTGTATCTTTGGTATATATTTGTGTATGAGTGAGTGTGAATGGCTGCTGTTGTCGTGCTTCGTTTGAACACACACACACCCAGAGCAAACCCACATTATCAACAACTAATACAACAACAACATGGTGAGATGGGTGACTGAATGACTGAATGACTGACTGATTGAGGTGTGTGTGATTACTTGTTGCGAATCGTTATTGTAATGTATGTATCTATGTACATGTAATGCTATCTATTCTATGTATGATCAACAACACATCATCATCTCCTCCTCCTCTTCTAATCTAAACTATCAGTCAGTCAGTCGGTGAGATAGAAAGAACTAATTTTGCACCTGTTTGTTGTTGGTGTTGTTGTTATCGCCACTGTTATTGTTGATGTTGTTTTTGTTGCAAGACAACAGACGATCAATTGTGTTTATATCGATGACAATGAATTGAATGAAAGGCATACCTGTATGTCGAATAGAGAATTATCTATGTAGGTAAATATATATAATAAGAATGAATAATGTGTTTATCTGTTTGAGTAGTTTTGTTTTTGTGGTTTGACAGACAACAGAGTTCTGAATTGTTTTTGTATCACGCAGTCAGTCCTTTGTTCATGTCAGACCACTCTGTGTTGATGCAATCAAAATTGTATTTAAAATTAAAATTGTTGATGATGACTTCAAATAATGACAATCTAAAGTGTGTTGCAGCTTTGCCCCTTTCTTCAATCATTGTCAAGGTATTCCAAGTCTTGGAATAGAACAGCCTGGTAAAGTTTAATTAATTAATTATTTATAAACAAGTTCTCTTTCTCTGTTTATTTGAATAGATATATATTACATGTATGACAGATATAAAGTGGAGTACAGTGATTCGAAGAACAGGATGATCTTTTGTTGTGTTGACCAACAAACTCATTTTTTTCAAATTCCTTTCCTTGTTTTGATGATTCTGGAGATGAGTTGAAGGGATGAATGAATCAACAACCCCTCACTTTGATACATCATTTATTATACGAACCAAACTTATTTGTATTCTATCTATCTATCTATTTGTATATTTATACACTATTTATATAATATACACTTTATATATATATAAATATTGGAGTGGAGTTTGAATAAACTAAAACATCATCATGTTCAGACTCAAAGAGCTTCAGAAGAAGCAGCAACAACAGCAGGCAGCAGCTGCAGCAGCACCAACGAATGGAACTGAGACAACGACAACATCAGCGGCAGCTTCAACAACTGCACCATCATCACAGACAGAGGTCACAGAGATGAAGAGACAGAACTCCAACGATTTGAAGGAGATCAGAAGACAAAAGTCCAAAGAGAGCTACTTCTCACTCAAGACCAAGCAGTCGTCAGACCTCAACTCTGGAGGAAAGAGAGCCAACCCAGCAGAGCTTCGTGCTCAGAAAGGTATTGTGTATATTCAATGTTGATTGTTTGATTGTTGTTCAAATTCACTAACATGTTTGAATGACCTGTGATACACAGACGTCGACGAGATGGAGCTGCCACCTGGTTGCAAGGTCCACTTCAAGGATACCAACGATATCCTTAACTTCACATTAGACGTTACTCCAACTGATGGTAAAGTATCAATGAAACAATGTTTGAACATCAAACAAGACATACTCATTCAATAATTCAATCATTCAATCAATCAATAGGTCTCTATCAGAATGCTACATTCAAGTTTACGATTAATATTCCAAACACCTACCCATACGATCCACCCAAGGTTCACTGCGACACATTAGTATATCATCCAAACATTGATTTAGAAGGTCATGTTTGTTTGAACATTCTAAGGCAAGACTGGATGCCAGTGCTCAACATTGGCACCGTCATCTTTGGTCTCATGACCCTCTTTTTGGAGCCCAACCCAGATGATCCTTTGAACAAGGGTATGTATACATCATCGTCATCATCCATTCATTTATCTACTTACACATTAACCTAACGACAATAACAACAAACAGAGGCTGCACAATTGATGATAGACAACAACAAGAGCTTCGAAGCAAATGTGAGGTCTTCATTGCGTGGAGGATACATATCAAATCGCCAGTTCCCCAAGCTCTTGTAATCAACAATCAATCAACAACAATAACGTATACCATCTCCACACAACTCCACCAAACCCATTCCCCACTATTTACATTTGTGGATGGCATCATATCAAGAGTATGCATGTCACATCAATACCAGCAGACAGCCGCATTACTATCGTATCAATCAACATCAATCACATCAACAATATCATCATCATTCCAGCAGCACTTTAGAATAAAACAGATCCAAACAAATGTCCAGATCCTGCTTGAACATCACCATGGCAACAATGCATTGAGCCAGCCTATCTCAGATCTGAACTCCGGAGAGTTGTATGACTATTCATCTGTCGTCAGTCATGTCTGACAGACTACGGACCTCACCCACCCATACAACGACATCCGATGAGTATCTGTGTGGGAGATACACGAATCATTGTGTGTGTGAGGGTGTGTGATTTAGTTCGTTCCAGTTCGGAGCATGCCTGCTCAAACCTGATGGGGATATGATACAATGACGAGTACGTCAAGCTTCGGTCGGGAATGGAATGGCATTGTTGTTATCAATATGTGTAAGTGGGTTGAGCCAGATTGTAACAGGTACACTAATGCCATTTGTTGTAAGACTACTATCTATCAATGGATGTGATACAACTTGCCAAGCCAAAGGGACTCCAACAATAATAATAATACAAGTAGTTGTTGTCTTCAGATAGATAGATAGGTTCGACTTTACAAACATTACCATTACATTATAATACCAACAACCAACCAATCGAACAAATCAAAAATGGCAACAAACAGACCTATATTACAATTGACCAGTTACTTTCTACTATTGCTATGTGTTGGAACTATTGCGATTGAAGCCATCAACTTAAACGATAAACTTGGCAACTGCTTCTACTATCCATCATCATGTACCAAGACATCTACATGTGTGGTGGGAGTAAATCAGAAGGCAACATGTGTTAAACAAGGTATGATTGATTGATTGATTGATTGATCAGGTGGATACACTAAATCTAACTTCTATATAATATAAAGGTGCCACAGGAGTTAGTCTAGTTACAAAGGTTACACAGTCATTCTATGATGTTGGAATCTCAAAGACTATTAATGTGTATGAGGTGGATATTATTAATAGTTCTGGAGCACAGCTGCGAGGATTCCAAGTGGCAACAAAGGATAAGCTGCCACTGAGGGATCACCTTGCATTCTGGAGTGCTGAGAGAATGCCCAATGGTGACTTTGTAATGCCGCCACACCAAGTTGTCATCAACAATGGTACAACATTCCCATTCGGGTAAGTATCTAATTGACTAGAGAGAGAGGGTTGGAGTGGAGGGAGATTGGATGGATTATTAGTATGGTCATGGTACTTACTTATACCTTTTCTTCTTGTTTGGAACAGTTTCATGGCGACGACTGCTCTGGAGCCATCATTCCTTAGGATTAAATCATTAACTTTTTAAATTAATATATATACAGATACAAACATAATATATAGTTATAATATATATTCCATTCACTGCCTCGACACCTGGTAATAAATTATTAATTACATTACAAAATATATGTTAAGGTTGTATGTGTAAGGGTATGAGTAGGGTCAAGGGTAAGGGTAAGGGTAGTATTGTTATCTATCTATGTTATACTTATAATAATAATAATAATAATAATAATATTATTGATGGTAATAGTTATATTTAATATGGTAGGTAGTATATATTATGATAATAGAGAGTAGTGTTTGACTAATGAATGGAATGTAATATGGAGGATGTGATGGACATCCATCCACTCTTTGGCCAAAAATAAAGGTCATCACTTCTTAAATGATACCTGCAGTACCTTACCTTCGACTTGGATACCGTTGAGTGAATTGATGGCAGAGACTGCATCCTGGAAGTTGACCATCCTAACGAATCCATAACCTTTGCAAGCCTGTGTGATTGGATCCTTGACGATCTTTACACTGGCAATGGCACCCGATGGACTGAACAGACGGTACAGCAGTGCGTCATCAGCATCGGGCGGCAGGTTGTAGACGTACAGGTTGGTTGGGTCAGCTCCAAATCCACCGGCCATCATTGGTGCCTGTATATGTGGCATTGGTGGCTGCAGCAGTTGTGTGTGTTAGTCGTGTTGGAGTTGTGGCGCGTGTGTACGCTTAACATACCATATAGTAAGCGGCAGATGGATATACTACTGGACCAGAGTGTGCTGGGTATGGGGAGTATCGGACGTTTGTTGGCCTGCCACCGCGGACCGACGTTTTCATCCTCCTTTGTGACTTCTCCTCGTCAGAGTCGGCGTACTTTACAACGATTGGACGTGTGGCACCTGGGAACTTGTAGTTGCTCAGACCTTTGATGGCTTTGGCTGCCGACTCGTCATCGGCGAAACGGACCAACGCCTGGCCCCTGCTGGTGTTGGTGACAATGTCCATCAGTATCTTGGACTCTAAGATTGTTCCGTAGCTTGAGAACAAGCTGACCAGTTGGTCCGATGTGAAGTTATAGGGTAGTCCTTTGATGTATAGGTTGTCGGTCGATTGGGAATACTGTTGATCATCCATCTGCATGTGGCTGCTGTGACTGTTGTGATTGCTGTGACTACTGTGACTGCTGTGACCACCATGACCACTGTGACCACTGTGGCTGCTGCTGTGGCTGCTGCTGTGACTGCTGTGATGTGATTGGTCCCTTGAAGTTGATGCAGAGTCATTGTTCGCGTAGCGTACAAGTAGCATCTTTGACTCAACCTTTGCTCCATTCATCGCTTGTATTGCTGCTTGAGCTGTTGGTTGGTTGAGAGGAGATGATGATGGTGTTAGAGAGTGTTTTGTCGTTGTTTGGATGATCATCCTCTTACCTGATGAGTTGTCTCTGTATCTTACAAAGCCGAATCCTCTGCTTTGACCAGTGTGTAGGTCGACCATGACACGACAAGAGTCAATATCTCCATAGCGATCAAACATCTCGCGCAATGATGCTTCGGTTATTGATGTTGGAAGGAAGTTGACAAAGAGGTTGCCAGAGTTACCATCCGAGTCGCGCTTAGCACCTGACGACGAAGATGACGAACTATGTCGTCTGTCTGATGACCTGTCCGACCTGTCCGATCTGTCTGATTTACTTCTTGGTGCGCGCTCTTCATCCGAGTCATTGTCACGATCACGATCACGGTCACGATCATGGCTACGATCATGTGATGATCCATTATCACGATCATTGTCACGATCATTATCACGAGTACGGTCATTGTCGTCGTTATCATTATCATTATCATTGTCATTGTCATTGTGTTGTGTTGTAGTGGATGTTGTTGTGCTGGCTGACTTGTATTCAGGTTGTGGAGAGGATGATCGACGTCGTGACGCTGCCGGTGAAGGTGATCTTCTAGTCGTTTCTATTGGAGAAGAATCAGGTTCATATTTAGGTGACATATTTGAAGGGCTATCCATTATTAATTAATTAATCAATTGATTGATTGATTGATAAGTTATGTGTGAATATATATATAAATTGAATGAGTTGGTGAGCGAATGAATGAATGAATTAAAGAACAAGTTCATTTCAGATCTGAACCACACACAAATATTTCGTTTGTTTGTTTATTTGTTTGTCAATATTATTTTGGTTTATTTCTTTATCATCTGGATTTTGGTTTGTACAAACTTATAGATGTCATCTTGGGATTGAAGGACCTTGTATCCATCTCTTGGGTATATACAAGTAGTAGTTCAAATTACTTTAAGGTTTGATGTAGGTCTCATTTTGAAATGCGCCATGAAGTGGTCAAAGTTGGTGAGTGTAGTGTGTTTGAATAGAAGGAGGGCACTGACAATGTGGTTCCCTCAGCCTAAGTATTTGTTATCTACATCAAAGTAACACAACCAATAATCCAATCAATTTGTAGTTCATTATCCTTGATGTGGATTGGATTGCATATACCCAAATCGATTCTGATTTGATGTGTTACCAAATCATCAGGGAGGGATATGTTTAAAGTGTTAGGGTACCATTCTGTAAATAAATCATCATTCTTCATCCAGTTCAACTTTACATATATATATTCTAAATAATGAATAAACAATATCTTATACTTATTTTAGTTTTAACCTTATTGGCAGTGGCAAACTCAAATAAGAAAGAAGGCAAAAATAATGATGTTTGTAAGTTGACATTATATTTTAATGCTCATTACCTTTCTAACTCTTTGATGTTCTATTTTTTTAGTCACTACAATTGCCAAACAATCCAGTTCTGGATCATCAATTGCCACAACAATTGTATCTACATCTGGAACTGCCAAGCAATCATCGTCTATGGCTGAAACAGATGTAACAACCACTGCTCAATCTACCATTGCTACAACCATATTCACCTCTACTTCAGGAGGGAAAGGTTCATCCGGTAAACCAACTTCATCAATTGCCGCCACCATAGTGACCAGTTCAGCCAAACCAACTACTTCTCTTGAAACCGTAGCATCGACTATCTCCAGCCCGACCTCAGGTACAATTGCCACTACCTTTAATGTTGAAGTAACATTCAATTCTACTGGCCCCTCTAGTGGTTTATCAGGTCCAAAGACTTCTGGAATGATGACATTATCCTCCTCATCACCAGCCACAGTGAGCACTACCAGTGACGAATCAGGCCCAACTGCCAACACACACTCAATGGACACAACGACTACCAGTGGAGGTTCTGGAGCTACCTCATCTAGTGAATCAGAATCAACAACAACAACAACAACATCATCAAAAGACCCGGATAAGTCTCACAAGAAAGTCCAGGTCAACATTCTGGCGTTCTACGACCAGGACATGAGTGGGGAAGCCTATGGTCAGTCACCATTCTCCGATGTGGTACTCAATGTAATTATGACTCTTGATGAAGGCACACTCTACATGACCGCTGAATATGATGAGGACGAGAAGGTGTATGAATTCTGGAAGGTTATACCTGGAGAGTACTGTATCGAGGTTCAGGATCCATCCGAACTCTATGAGACCGGTCCAATTGGTTATGGACCAGATAGCACTCACAACCAATTCTCCAATGGCACATATTGTACAGAGATTACCAATATCAATGATGAAGGAGATAGAGTGTCCATCAAGAATATCCAACTTGGAATGATTAAAATTGAATGAGCAATGAGCAAGTTAGTTTACAAATGATTGGGGAGTTTGTTATTGATGTGCACAATTGGGTTTGGTTTGGTTTGGTTGGGGATTGATTGGAAGAGAAAATGAAGAAATAATGATATATGATTGAGACCAGACGGTTAGCCAAGTGGACGACCACTTCCTCCACAAGAGAGAGGCACGCACGCATATTGACATGCTTGATTAATGTGGAGGTGTTGGACGACGAACAACTGGATAATGCGTTATCTCATACTCGTCATCCATGTACTCCTCCTCAGATGAATCGTCGTCGTCATAGTATTGGTCTTGCAGTGTGAGCTTGGTGGGCAGTGCCGAGTTGATATACTGTTGTTGCTCGTCATCGTCGTCACGCAGCTCTACATCGGAAGACCATTCTGATGTGGTCGTGTCATCATCGTCCTCTAGATCGTCATGTGCCGCCTGTACTCCAGCCACCTGATGAGTGGGTGGCGCAGGTGGATGAAGTGGTGCCTGGCTGCTGCGATGGATTGGCAGGTCCGATTGATCAGAGTCGCTGTTGTTGCCTCCGTCCTCATCATCTGCATCATCAGTGATATTGGCTCGCGTTGGTTGTGGTGGGATGATGGCCATGGGCGCCTGGTTCGTGGCAAAGATTGGGAGCTTGCCAGGCTTGCCAGACTTGGCTGGCTTGTCGCCACCCTCGTCCTCGCTGTCTGTGAAATCGTCCTCCTTCTTTGCCTTCTCCTTCTCGGCCTGTATCTGCTGCTTCTCGAGCTCCAACTGCTTGGCGGCGCGCTGCTCGCGTCTGATCTTCCTGTTCTCGCGACGCTCCAAACGCTCCTGCTTGCTGCGCAGCTTTCTCTGCTCCTCTTCCTTGATGTGCTCGATACGTTTCTTCTTGGGGTCGTCCTCCACCTCCACCTTGGCCTTGGCGGGCACGGTGGCGTGTGGGTTGAGCACGTTGGTCATGGTGCTGTACACCTTGGCCGAATCGCTGCGCTCCTCGTCCGTGACGGGCGATGTGTCCAGCAGTGTCAGGCCTTTCAGACGATGCACGACGTACAGACGGTAGTCCCTGTACTCTCGCAGTGAGTGTCCATTGAAGAAGTTTGGACATGCTTCATTCTTTAGCATACTGAGTGTCTTTAAGTTTGGCATGGCCTCTGCCACACGATCAATGAATACACTTAGGTTTGTAATCATATTACTATTGACCCATAATGTATTCAGATTATGCAATTGAGGTAACTTTGTATGTTGTGTCATCCTATTATCATCCAATACCAATGTATGTAATCTTTTAAATCCTTCAAGTATACTCAAGTCCCTGATTGTGATTGAGTTGAGTTGAATGAGTGAGTGAGTGATTGTTTGATTGATTGAATAACAGTTGTTGAGTTGAACTCACTTGTCTAGATGATTGGAGGATAGATCCAGCTCCTTGACTGAAGAACCGAAACGTTCAACAATCTGTGGATTGATCTCTGTCATGTTCCTGTAAGCAAGGTCAAGTCTCTCGACCTTTACTTCGGTCTCAATACCCCTTGCCATTAGTTAGTTGTTGTGTTAGTTGTAGTATTACACTGACTATTCGTCAGCTGAGTGAATGTGTATATGTAAATGTATATTTATAAGTATGTTTATGTGTTATTGGTGTCTTGTGAAATGAAAGGCTACACCTTGTTCGCGAAGAAATTGATTGAAAATCTCACAACTATTTGTTCCTCGAACATTCTTACACATAATATCTAATTCTGGGTTGAGGTCATTCTTGGTCGGTCAATGCTTTGCATTGTGTTGGAATATGACCAATCAATTAATCAATCAATGATAGGTTGACCAATTGTGATCTAACTCTTCACTGACTCATGAATGAATCAAGTTTATGCCAAACACACAATGAATCAGAACGAGAGAAAGAGAGATAGAGAAAGAGAAGAGAGAATAGGATATATGGTTTGTTTATTAAACAATAACGACAATACTCATTGGGATTGGTTTATGCAATCCAGAGCTTGTCCAAGGCATCCTTGACGTTGTTGATCTGAGACTTGAGGTTGGACGACTCGTCTTGGAGGACGGAGCAGGCAACGACTGGGCGGGAGACGTTGCAGACACGACCAAGCTCGGTCTTGGATGGAACGAACACGTATGGGATGTTCTTGTCCTCACACAATAGAGGCACGTGAAGGACGATCTCGAGTGGCTCGGCGTCGGCAGCCAACACAACAAACTCAGCAGTGCTACGAGAGACAGACTTGGTCACCTCGTTAGCTCCCTTCTTGAGTTGGTTGTAGTTGTTGGCCTGCTGGACCAAATCCAAAATAGTGATCGTCAACTTGTGGTCAGCCAATGGCTTGGCCTTTGGGTTATGCTCAGAAGAATCAGACTAAATATAAAGTTGATCGTATTCGTTAATGTTAATATTTGTTTGATTGATTACATTTGTTTGAATGATTATACATACCATTGTTAATTGTTATATACTTTGTTACGACAAGCTAAATGCTTCACTTCCTTCTTCACTGCAAGAGAATAGGTAATTTAAGTTATATGTTTGATTGAATGCAAGGGGATGCGTTGAAATGAAAACGAGAAGCGAGCGATTCCCACTTCATTCGCGTCCTCAAAGAGTCGACTTTTGAAAGTTTTTGAAACAACGAGTCTCAAACAAAACGAAGAATTAAATTAAATGTAATATAATATAATATAATATGTGTATTTGTAATAAGGATGAACAATCATTAATGGTAAACAACCTTTGGCTTGGAGTTGGCGCCATCAGTGGAAGCAGTGATGGTTCCAATTTGGTAGACGGTCTCGTTGTTTTGACGGAGTTGCTCGGCGATGCTTTGGGCCTTGTCGGCGTCGGCAATGACTACCATACCAATGCCACAGTTGAATGTGCGCAGAAGCTCCAATTGCTCCATCTTGCCAATGGCGTTGAGCCATTGGAATACGGGCGGCAGGGTCCAGGAGTTGAGGTCGACGGTGGCGTCCATGCCGTTGGGCAGGACACGGGGCAGGTTCTCGGTGATACCACCTCCGGTGATGTGAGCCAGACCGTTGACACCGCCGGCGCGGATCGCTTGCAGACAGGACAGGACGTAGAGACGGGTGGGGGTGAGCAGGGCTTGGCCTAGGGTCTTGTTCTGCTCGAATGGTGCGGGCAGGTCATAGACGGAGCCGCCGTTTGGATTGACCAGACCGGACTTCTTCTCGACCAGGTAACGCACCAATGAGTAGCCGTTGGAGTGCACACCGGATGAGGCGAGGGCCAGCAGGACATCGCCAGGCTTGATGTTCTTGGGCAGCATCTGATCACGCTCGACGGCACCCACGGCGAATCCAGCAAGATCATACTCGCCATCTCTGTACATACCGGGCATCTCGGCGGTCTCACCTCCGATCAGAGCGCAACCAGAGTTCTTGCAACCCTTGGCAATGCCTCCAATGACCTTGGTGGCAACGTCGACGTGGATGCGGCCAGTTGCAAAGTAGTCGAGGAAGAAAAGGGGCTCGGCGCCTTGAACCAAAACGTCGTTGACGCACATGGCAACGAGGTCAATGCCAATGTCGTCGTGCAGACCGATCTCCTGGGCGATCTTGAGCTTCGTGCCAACACCGTCGGTACCCGAGACGAGGATTGGGTCTCTGAAGCCGGCGGCCTTTGTGTCGAACAGGGCACCGAATCCACCGAGGTCGCTGACACATCCGCTTCTGGTGGTGGCCTTGGCCATTGGGGCAATGCTGTCGACGACGGCATCTCCACGCTCAATGTCCACACCCGACTCGCTGTAGGAGACGGCGGATGTCTGCTTCTTGGCGTTCTCGAGGAAGTTGAGTGCCTTGCGGCCAATGTCCGATCTGAATTGTCTGCCCTGGAAGTCGATGGTCTTGTTGCCTTCGTAGCACAGCTGGATGGCGCGCTCCAAACATGTGTTGATGCTGGTGGTGGAGAGGACACGACCGCCGTTGGTGACGAGGCTGCCAGCGGTAACGGTGGTACCTGCCTGGAACACCATCATGTCGTCGGTGAATGGGGCATCGGCGCCCTTGATCTCGCGGCCCTTTGGGTATGCGTCGGGGTAGCCCTCAGAGGCAGACACGACGGTGACGGCGTAGGCCTGCTTCCACTTTATATCGATACTGTCGAGACGACCGTCGCAGCAGGCCTCAATGACCTCGAGCAGCTCGGTCTCGAGCAGGGGCAGAACGACCTGTGTCTCTGGATCGCCCATGCGGCAGTTAAACTCGAGTGTGTTGATGGCGCCAGACTTGGACACCATCAAACCGGCAAAGAGAACACCGACGAATGGTCTGCCCTCACGTCTCATACCGTCTACGGTTGGCTTGATGATTGTGTCGAGCACGCGGTCCATAGTTGGACCAAAGCCGGTACGCGAAGCTACCTTGCGATCTGTAATGAATGGGGCGGGGGCGTAGGCGCCCATACCTCCAGTGTTTGGTCCCTGGTCGTTATCAAACACTCTCTTGTGGTCCTGTGCTGCGGGCATCACGGCAACGGAGTAGCCGTCGGTGAAGGCCATGACAGAGGCCTCCTCGCCGTCCAGGAACTCCTCGACGACGACCTGATCGCCAGCGGTGCCAAACTCGCGGTCCACCATGATCTTCTTGAGGGCGTCCTTGGCCTCCTGCTTGTTTGATGGGATGAGCACACCCTTGCCGGCAGCGCAGCCACTGGCCTTGACGACGACGTTGTAGTCGATGGCGTCAATGTGTGCGATGGCGGCGTTGTAGTCGGTGAAGGTGCTGTAGCGGGCGGTGGGGATGCTGTGGCGGGCAAAGAAGTCCTTGCAGAACACCTTGCTGCCCTCGATTTCGGCGGCGCGTTGGCTTGGGCCAAACACACGCAGTCCACGGCGCTTCAAGCCGTCAGTAATACCATCGACCAGTGGCACCTCTGGGCCAACAACGACCAACTCTACATTATGAAGTGCGGCGGCATCTGCCACAGCAGTAGCATTAACAGCGACCTCTGGCAAGTTTACGATACGGCCACCCGATGTCGAAGCACTTCCATTTCCGGGCACCATATATACCTTGTCAACCTTGTTAGATTGTAACAGTTTCCTGTGTAATGTTATATCATCAGCCTGTATTGTAAGTACTTGTGTTTGCAACAATGACAACAACAATGACCTCTTTTATCGCATCATTGATTGTTCGTTCGTTTGATTGATAGATTGATTGATCAACAACACATACCATGCAATAGCATGCTCACGTGAACCAGAACCAATAACAATGATGTTAGTCATTCTGTTATATATTTGTAATTATATATATAATGTAATATAAGTAGATATAGATAGATAGAGAGTGTTGTTAACTCACATTTGATATCAAAGTCGGGCTTGTTGATGAAACGAGTCGTCTTCCAGTTGTTCATTTTCGTTTTGAGCCCACGATAGCCCAATGTGAGCACAGCTTGCGTCTGGTTCCCGACGCATTAATTTAAATAATAATTCGGCAATCGGACAGACGAGTGTGAATGCATTGCAATGTCGCTGAATGACAGATAGAGATAACATAAGTCATGCATGTCTTGTCCATCCATCAATCAATCAATGGGATGTCATTTATGTTATTGAGGAAGGAAGGATAGCCCTCAAGTGTTCAACTCGCTCAGGTGTGATTGTTGTTGTCAGTGTCTGGATGATGTTACTTAATGCTGTTGGATTGTTAGTAATGGTTGTTGTCTCACTCTGGGACATGCATGAAACTACTACTTACATTGCTTCTCTGATGTTGACAATGATTGTACATTAATACTAAGTCTATTCATCTTTGACATTTGATCCAATATCTGTGCAACTAGTTCCAGTTCCTTATTACTTCAATTAATGATGTTAGTTAATGGCCATTGCAATGCTTGATTCATGTGACATACGTTATATAATGACTTTCCAGAATGCTGATGATTGAACTAAACAGTGATGGCGATAAAATATCATTTAGGATTGGAACCAATCGGCTTGGATCAATCAACTATTTGGAGATGGAGATGGCAGTGTTAACAATAACCATGTGATTGTCAATCAGTCAATCAATCAATCAACCTACCTTAAAGTAATTATAGAATAAGGTATTATCCCCTTGGATGGAGTTGTAGAACTTCTCAAACTCGAAGCTGTTTCTGGGAGGCTGCTTGGGAAGTGGTGGCTTCATGTTGGCCAGTCTGGCCAATCTTTCTTGCAATGAGGTTGCTGCGGCAACCGGTTTAGCTGGGGTTGGACTTGGCTTTGCGGTGATAGCAGTGTTGCTATCAACTTCCATCCTGTCATTGTTGTTGTTGTTGTTGTTGCTCTGCTCCTGTACCAATGATACCTTTGCCGTACTAGGAGCAGTAGTCGGTGTGGGATTGATGGGCAGTGTTGCTGCTGGCTTTGGCCCTGGTTGCTGTGTCAGTGTATGTTGATCCTTGCTATTCAGAACTGATGCTGCTGTAGGCTGTTGCTGTATCAGCTTCTTTAGATTGGCAATCTCCGTCTCTGCCTCTTTGTTCTTTGGGTCCTTGTTAAACAAGTATGTAAAGTCTGCCAATGCCTCTTGATATCGTTTCAGCTCTTTGTGTCCCTGTGCACGTCTATGATATGACTTGAGGAATGTAGGGTCCAATGTTATGCTTCTATTGCAATCCGCAATCGCTTGTGAATAGCTTATGATCATTGTTAGTTGTTTGAACGAACTGGAGTTCGTTCGATCGACAACATACTTCTTGAGCTTTAGATATGACATTGCTCTGTTTGAATAGAGTACGGCATTTGTAGAGTCTAGTTGAATTGCCAATGTGTAGTACTCTGTTGCTTCCTTGTACTTGCCCAACTTGAACTGTTCATTACCAAGTTCTTTGTATCGGATCGACTCTGCACCGCTATCAAACAGTCTCGATACGTTTGGTTGTACATTGTTGTTGCTGTTGGTGGTCGATCCCTTTGATGTAGCTGCAGAGACTGCAGCATCCTCAACAGAGTTACGCTTGGACAGTGCTGCCGCTTCAGACATCTGACGATCTGCAACATTAATGTCTGATTGCCATTCCTTCAGTCCCTTCAAGTAGTTCCTGAACAATGGTGTGTTTACAATGTTTGCTCCAGCAGCAGGTTGTTGTTGTTGTTGTTGTCTATTGCTGTTGTTATTATTGTTATTGTTGCTCATTGTATATCTGTACTCATCATCATTGTTATAAGTGATGTCAAGTAATAATGACACTTTAATTCATTTATTTATGACATTAATGTTTGTGATTGTGAACCAGAATAGTCTTGTCTGTTTGTGTTACAGGGTATTGAGGGTTAAGGGTTGAGGGTAGGTTGAGGGTAAGTCAACTTAGTTGGTTGTTATGGTAGTTGTATGGTCAACAGAGGTGTTGAGGATTGGAGAGGTAATACCAAGCTTGGTTGAGGTGTTTACATTGGCATCACCAATCGGAGTACCTAACAAGGTCAAAGCAATCATATTGGATTGTTGACCGGACGCTACTCCAGACATTGATCCAACACGTGAGTTGGAGGCCAAGGTCATTGAACCGGACAAATGAGCAAGACAGGCAAGGATAGTCATTGTATTAGCTTTTGGAAAATTGTTTGTTGGTAATAGTACTTGTTATTGTTGTTGTTGTTGTTGATGATTGATTATCCTTTTGGAATCCATCTTTATATAACTAAAGGATTGGGAACAGATTACATAATAATGGTCATTATCATCTTAAATGATGTTCAATGAATATTAAGTCAATTTACACTCTGATCAATGAATCAATCACAATAATAGTGGGTGTGATTGATCAGATGACACTCGCGAGCATATGAGTGTGAATGTGGATGTGGTGATCAATCGATTGATAGATCCAAGATATGTGATTGATGGTATGGAATGAATGACGATGACGACGAGTCGTTGACTCCAATGTCCATGTAATTTGACTTATAATCACTTGGTTCATATAATAAAGATCATTACATTATTACCGAGTCACATAATGGAATGATAATACATGTGTTTACTATACTTCGTCTCTTGCCACAACACCTGCGACACCAACAGCACCAGCACCACCAGCACCAGCAGCGGCAGCAGCAGCAGCTGTTGCGGCGGCCACAGCAGTTCGATGTACATCACTCCTATGCTTGATTATCTTCATGTCCACGCTGTAACCACAGTCAATGTCCGACTCTTCGTATTCGTATATTGTCGGATCAACTGGTCGGTATCGATAGGCGGCCAGCGAGAATATGATTGATGGCACTGCCATGATGAGCGCAAACACCAAGTACTCCTTCCATTGAGGTGTGATTGAGAATGATTCAATCACAACAATAATGATAACGTTGCCAAGTGAGTTGGTCAGCAGCCACATTGACATGATCATCGATTTCATCGTGGCTGGCGCCTGAGCATACGCAAATTCCAGACCAGTGATTGATATCAGGATCTCGGCGCAGGTGAGACAAAAGTATTGAGGCAGCTGGTAGTAGATGGATACAGTCTTGGGTGGCTCGCTCTCAATCTTGCGCTCAACAAACATTGCCAGCAGGAATGTGCCCACAGCGATGAACATGCCGGCAGACATACGCATCAATGGCGGGAAGTTGATGTTGTTTCGCTTCAAAGGACGATATAGTGCATACTCAAAGACTGGCACGAGCAGTAGAATGAGTAGTGGATTGATGGCCTGGATCTGGTCGGGCTCCAGACTAAAGCCGCCTGTGATGTGAAGGTCCATTGTCTGAGCGGTCTGCACCCAGCGTGATGCAGTCTGATCGTACAACGCCCAAAAGAATGGCATAGGCAGGAAGACCACAAGGACCTTCAGTGCTGCGCGTACAGAGTCGACCAATTTCTGATCAAACTTGATCTTTGCGCGATCCAACCAATGATCGTGATAGTACCTGTCATCATAGCCATCCTTTCTTGACTTGATTTTCTCACGTACAGCACATCCCAACACGCTGAACATGTCCAGCAGGATGCTGCCGGCCACAGGTCGGTACACATACTTCCTGCGACCCATCAACAGGACCACTGTGGACAGCACCAGCAGACAGGAGGGCACGCCAAATGCCAGCCAGTAGCCAACGTATCGTCGCAGCAATGGTGTCAAAATACAAGAGAAGAATGAGCCAAGATTGATGGACCAATAGAACATCTGGAACACCTTTTGAAGCAGATGCTTCTGGTCAGAGTTGAGTTGATCGCCACAGAATGCTGACACCACTGGTTTGATTCCACCCGTGCCTACACTGATCAGTATCAGACCAAGTATCAGACCCCAGGGTGATCGATCTCCTGGTCCAGGACCAGTGACCCCTTCAATCGATGTTACAGCCATTATAATGCCGCCTATACAATATACAATGCTGAATGCAAACAATGTATTGAACTTTCCAATTCTTGCATCAGCCAAGTAAGCTCCAAGTAGTGGGCTGGTTTGGGAGGAGGGAGGGTCAGTGTCGGAATGATTCCATCTCTCGATCAATCAATCAAACATACAAAGCGAATGCCAAAAAGTTAAAGGTAGATACAATGATTGTGGCAGTGTTGGCAGTGTATCCCATGAAATTTGTACAGTATATACTAAGTATTGTTCTTAGTCCATAGAATGAGAATCTAGATTGTTTGTTTTTTGAATGAATGAATGATTAGTCGTCGTAATTAGGAGAATGGATAAATGAATGATGGATGTATACCTTTCACAGACCTCATTACCCATAATATATCTTAAAGAGGATGGTATTGAATTGTTACCAACTAGTATATCCTCTGGATGTTGTTGTTGATCGCTTGGTATATTTGATTTATCCCCATTAGAGTCGTTAGTCGAATTTTTATCGACTTCATGTAAGAACTCATTATTGATGTCATGTTGTATTCTATCAATGTCAATAGGCATTTAATAATATTATCTATATCTATATCTATGAGTATTATATAATTAATTTAAAATATCTGTCGTCAAACACAAGTGAAACATAAACATAAACCTGTTTGACCCAACGTAGGTTGATTGAAGTTGTTTGTGTTAACCTCACAGCCCAAAACAATGAGAACAAACAATTGCAAAAGGGACCAGAGGTTATTTTGAGCTCTTTTTTGTTACGTTTTCCGATCCAAACTGTTTGAAAAACACCCCCACCATGGTGATTGATATCCAAAAATGGTCCAAAAGGATGCGTACACAATAGTTTATTAATAGATTAGTACACAAAATAATAATGGACAGACCGGCATGTTGAATGAATTATTGATTGATTGATCGATCGACAAAGATATATATGGATAATGATGGATGTTATTTGTTTCAATTAATTAATTGAAATAGGTTTGTGCCTCTTCCAAAGCATTCTGAGCCAACTCAACATCTGGTGTTGTTTGATCTACTGTTTGTTGATGATGTTGATGTTGGTCACCAGCAGTTGTCTGTGAGATAACTCTTTGTTGTTGCTGTTGCTGTTGTTGTTGCTGTTGCTCGTTGTAATCCTGCTCGGCGCGCTTTGCCTCATTATCAAGGTCAGTCCACTCGCCAATGATCCTGACTGCGTTCTCGAGCTTGGGAGTCTTGGTCATTGGGTTGTTGCACAGATCAATGGTCTTGGCCTTGGTCTTGGACTCTTGTGAGCACCAAGTCTCGCACCACAGCCACTCCTGGGGCAGACTGAATATGCGCACCGTGTGCTGCAGATAGTTGGGCAGATCCTGGTCGAGGTTGGCAAGACTGTTTGGATCGCGGCTCAGCTGCTCGTAGGTCATACGCATGTGGTCGCCGGCCATGATCCTTCTGAAACGCTGCAGGTCCACCACGTAGAGCGCAGAGATGTGGTAAGGGCGTCCACGCAGATGGTCGTGCCAGAAGCCCTTCTTCCAGAAGCGGAAGCCTTCAGTCTCGCGGTTGGAATCACAGAATGGCGTGTAGCCAAGCGATGCGCCCTGCAGGTCCATGTCCCAGAGCTCGCGAAGGTCAGTGCGCACGACCTGGTCGGCGTCGACAAAGATGATCTTCTTGACCGAGAGCGGGAACAGCACGTCGAGGAACAGGATTTTGTAGGCCCAGATGATGCGCTGCTTCTCGGTCTGCTGACGCAGGAAGTATGGCCACTTGTACGTCACGAGCTCATACTCAAATCCGTACTTCTCGGCATAGTGCGGGATAAAGTCCACAAACTTGGGCGACAGGTAGTTCTTGAGGAACCAGAACTTGACTGGATTCTGCGTGTTCTTCTTGACCGACAACATCATGATCTTGAGGAATCGCTCATAGAGATGTCCACTGGCCACCGAGAACACGTGGATCGTGTCCAATGTACCGTTGTTGCTGGCCTTAACCTGTGGCTGCTTCTTCTTGGCGCCGCCGCCCCACAGACTCGATAGGAAGCCGGTCGACTCCTCCTCTTGCTGCTCAGCCACCGCACCCGTGTCGTCATTGCTGACGGGTGGGAGGATGGGCTCGTGTTGCTTGCCAGGCTTGTGCTGCACGCCAAGGTAGATGGGACTGCCCTTGAAAGAGTCGGCGATGATCAGACGACGTGGGATGACGTGGTCGGCCTTGTCCTTCAGTGTAACCATGTCCAAGATGTCCATGATCTGGTTGCCGCGACCCATGGTCTCGAGGTACCACACGCCAGGGTTGCCCTGCAGTTGGAAGTATCCGATCGAACCCATAATGATTGTGTCGATCTCTGGTGTTTCAACTTGTTGCTGCTTCTTTGACGGAACGAGTTTGAGCTCCATACCAGACAACGATGATTTGTCCTTGACGTCGACGGCGTGGCCCTGCACCAAGAGATGCTCCAACTCGTAGACTGCGCGCATCACCTGCTCCTGACCCAAATCCTTCAGACGGATGTTGTCCAGATCGTACTTGGCAATGATGGGCTTGACGATCCAGCTGGATGGCACGTCGATGGCCAGAGTAAGCACCTTCTTGTCGGGTAGGTTGACCAGTGTGCCGGCCGGCTCCGAGATTGAGGCGCCAGTGGCCGAGAACTTAGTGTCGAGGTTGACGACGTATGAGTAGTAGGTCTTGAGGGGCAGCTCAGAGAGAGACAGCTGCACATTGAGGAACACATCGCATGGGATTCCAAAGTGACGTGAGAGCTCAGCCACGATGGGGATCATCTTCTGTGCGGTCTTGCTCAGCGGGTTGACCACCATCTTGAATCGGAGTGGCAGTTGGCGAGCACCAGTTGTGGCAGGATTGTAGACGAATGATGGTACCATCTGGGTGGGCAACTCCTTGTGCTGAGCGTTGCTCTGCATCTTGCTGGCGAGCGCCGAGACCACCCTCATCAAGAGATCGGATGTGATGGTCGCGTCACCGAGTGCCGCAACGGCACCCTCCACTCTGCTCGACTCGAATCGCTCAAGATAGGCAAAGTCATTGAACAGGTCGTTGTCATCAATCGCAATCAATCTTCCATTGGCCAAAAGGTAGGTCTTCTCAACGCCACTGTGCAGGTCGAGACCAGAGTTGACGTATTGCAATTGGTCACCAATGCGTTGGGTCATGTCATTGTCATTGGAGAGGCCGGCTGCAGCCAGGGCCTGTTCGAGGCTCAGTGTCTGATCGCTCTCAAGTTTGTTCAACTGTTTGTTGAGCAGATCGATAGCGGATTGAGTCTTGATTTGTGGGTGTGCCAGCACTCTAGACACGGGACTGTCAGCCAATGGCAGCATGGCATAGCGTGCCTGGGTGTTGCTCTCACTGTGGAAGACAGAGTTGAGTGCAGACAATGCAGCCTTGACACCGGGGGCCGTGTTAAAGTCGGCCACAACAATGACCGACACCTTGTCAATGGCTGAAGCGTCGCGTCCACTTGCAAGATGCCACACGAGTGATTGGTAGACGCGCTCAGCGGCCTTGGATCCAAAGATGTCGCCTGGAAGCTTGACAGTGCTCTGTGATGAGGGTATCACAGTGGGGTTGAAGCTGCTGAGCAGCTGTCCCTTGGTGCGGAAGTTCTCCATGATGGTCTTGTAAATGTCGTCTGTGTTGTCGTTGAGAACGTCTTCCTGCCAGAGAGCCTTGATCACATGAAGCTCGTCCATACAGAATGAGTGAACTGCATCGAGCAGTGGTCGCTTCTCGCTGATCTCTACCAACATGCCATTGATGAATAGCTGGGGGAACTGAGTGATGCCCTTGGCATTGATGTACTGGCTGGCGCCAATGAGTTGGGGTGCCAACTCGGTCGACTCCATAAGACCGATGAGGTTGGGCATGCGATTGCCCATCTGACCAATCACAGTCTGGAAGGCAGACTGGACAATGCCGTATGAGTTGTAGTCAGCCTCGTAGACTGAGCGGAAGTAGTTGAGTGCGTTCATAAAGAAGAATGCAGCGCGATGGCCCATGCGCTCCTTGAACGTCCAGAAGAGTCTGGCGACGACCTCTGGTCGCACCAAATCTGAAGGAGGCTTCTTGTCAGTGGGGAGGCTCTCCGTGTTGAAGATGATTCCAAAACGGCATGGCGAGTTGTTATTGATCAACGACGACACCATTGCCAACTGCGTGAACACTTCCTCTGATCCCATATCCAACACAAACAATGCTGTGAACAAGTTCTTGCCAAAGTACACTGATGATGAGTCCAAGTTTCCACTCAGCTAAATGTGATAGTTCCAATGTTAGTGATTGATCGCTCGATTGATTGATTGATTGATCGAATGATTGATTAAACATACAGCACTGAATGATTTGTCCCAGCGTTGATAGGTATAGTCCGAGTTGAGGTTGTTCATGTAGAGGATGATACTTTGGTCGTCTGGCAACATGTCAAAGCGAATGGAGCTTGGCTTCAAGATGAGCTTGTTCACATTGAGTATCTGGTCATTGCTCAATCCGATCTGTTGTAGCTGTGCACCAAACTTGACCTCATCCAACACAATGTCTGTGAGTCTATTGATTGAGTGGAAGTGTGAGTGAGTGGATGCCATGCCCGCGACACACATAACTTACCCAAGAGGGTTCAATTCGAACTCATCCTCGACAGAGTCACCAACCTGGATCACGCGATCATTGAGGAAGAGTTGGTTCTCGCCCTCGGTCACGTGCTTGTGAATGGCTTCGATTTGTTGTTTGAGCGTCTCGTTGAGGGAGATGCGTGCCAACGATGCTTGGAGTGAGGGGAATGTCGAGGAGATGTAGCTCAGCGAGCGGATGGGGTCGGACGAGCCAACGATCTTCTGCGCCGCCTGCACTCCTAGATCCTTGACCTGCCACACTTTCAGCTCGGTGGTTTGCTGGTTGGCCAATAGGTACTTCCGGAACGTGCTCAACTTGCTCGAGAGTTCGGGATGCCGAGTGTGCAGCACTTTGAAGTTGAAGCCAGATATATCCTCGTTCTGGGCAGTCGCCGCCAGTTGACTCTGTAACTCGTCCTTCTCTATGACACTGTCGTCCATCACCTTGTACTCGAGGTTCTTGATAGAGAGACTATACCCATAGCCCTGTATGTGTGCTTTTCGTTTGGAACTCGGCACGACGAATCGCAGGGCGTAGATGATCTTGCCGCCCTCGGCCAGCTTCTTGAGCTGGCGGTGCACTTCAGCAAAGGTGGCAGAGGTCACGTCGCTGTAGTACACTGCGACGGGCACTGATTGGAGCGGAACAAGTACCTGAGCGTCGTACTTGAACAAAGTGTTCTGTGCATAGATCGTATCCTGCTGGTAGACTACCGGCCGCCTAACTGGTATCTCGAGATTGATGCTATCTGCAAAATGGTAAGTAAAATCAATGCTTTTTGCCCATGCGGAGAATGATCCTTCAACGCCGCCAAGCACAATGACCTGTGTGCGTTCCCTTTTGTTGTTGATGTTGTTGTCGTTGTTGTTGTCGTTGTCGTTGTTGTTGATGTTGGAAAGGTCCTGGAGGTAGAGTTGGCGTAGCATCTCGACGCGTGGTGAATATGTGCGTAGGGCAAGCACAGCCTTTAGGAACAAGGTCATGTATGATTGACTCTGACTCTGATCAGAATCCAAGATGCTTGCACTGCTGTCCACTATCACCTGGAATGATTCCTCATCAGTGAGTAATGTGTCGCCATTCTCAGCCTGCTTCTTAACGTATCTTTGATTGACCTCCTCAATGTATTGCTTGTAACTGTCGACATCAAGCTTCTCTTTGAAGAATGAGCTTTGAGATTGATTGAGTGATTGAGCGAGTGAGTTAGCAAGTATGATTGAACTAACGAACGAATGTACTTACAATGCCTCCAGGTAAAGTGGAGTACTTTGCCAATTGGATAGCATGGATAGATGAACGACCTTGGATGTGTCTGCACTGCCTTGATCTTCATTTGCCAACGTTGCTTGTGCATACATGCACAGGCAACATATAACTAGTGTTACCAATAACCTTGCCATACTTTAGTTATATATCTCTTTGTATATATATATGTATGTTCTTGTGAGTCTTATGACACGAATGAGTGATTGATTGATGGGATGATTGGCGGGGTGATTGTTTGCTTCGTCACCCCCCATTTTGATGTTCAAAGTCGTTTCGATCACTTTTGGCTTTGGAATTGCCAGTTCTCAACATCACTATCCAGGGATTCCTCCAATCAATCACTTAATCAATCAATCAATTAATGAGATATATTGATTGCGCATTGTTATATATTATATATTTAATTAATTAATATTTGATTGTTTGATTTAGAATCTACCTGTCCTGGATTGTGACAGATAGATGGAGTCACTACCGCCAGGTGATGTGAAGCTTGGTGGTGCTGCGGTGCGGAACGGTGACACTGGTATGTCGGCTCTGGATCGTGATTGCAGAACTGAGGTGACTGGCTTCTGATTATATTTGAACGAGATGATAAAGGTGGCCAGAGCAATCAGCACCGCCAGTATGATACCAAACAGCGTGAAGTAAGGCACGGACGATGATTCGCTGTACTCTACCAGCGAGTATGAGACGGGGATTGACTGCTTGGACTTGCCCTCGGCGTTGCTAATGTAGATGGGTACGTTGTTGAATGGCTTGGCATTGCGAGCAGGCTCGATCATGAAGCGGTACAGTGTGCCCGAGCCCGACGGCGACTGTGAGGCGGGCAGGTGCGTCACGGTGAACAGCGAAGAGTCGGAAGACTCGACAAACAGGTTGTTGGACGACTGGATGTTGAGGTAGTGCACGTTGTTGTTGGGCGACAGTACAATCTCGGACTTGCCGACCACGTGGAACGATGATTCGAATGGCAGGTCGTACGACTTCTCGAGGTGGTAGGTCTTGCGCGTGTCGGCCACATGCACGACCATCGTGATCTTGTCGACAATCGATGTGGGCATGCCTCGGGGCGTGACCACGCATTGGAATTGCGACGAGCCGGCAAAGGACTGCTCGCACTTGGCCTCGGCAAACGCAGACTCCTTGATCAGACAGCGACACTCAATGTGGTTCTGGATGGAGGGCAGCTGGGTGAACTCGCTCGACTCGCTAGTGTAGAATCTGATCGGGTAGATGTAACGCTCGCTTGGATCATTGATCACCTGACTGCCAATGTCGAGTTGGATCGATGCAACCTTTGCCACCTGGACGTTGGTCTGTGATGATGGGTTTCTCAGGTAGCGCAGGGTGGTACGGCCTGGCTGGTTGGCCACGGCCTTGCCGCTGACCGCGTCGACGGTCATCACGGCAGAGTCGCCGACGGCCCACACGCGATCGCCAGTAGCTGGAACGACGTAGCCACGCTCAGACAACTGTTGCTTGTCCAGCTCGAACTGGACTGATGAACCAACGTGAATGATGATGTTGTCTGGCTCGATGAAACGACCAACGAATATCTTGACGTAGTCATCAATGTGCTCCATGCCCTTCAGGTAGACGCGCAAGGTGACAACACCAGCACGCATTGCCTTGGCAGTGATGACCCATGGTGGCTGGCCCTGATTGAATGCGCCAGTGTTTTGTTCAAAGTGCGCTGCAATGACTCCAGTTGTGCTGAACTCAGTCTCGAATGCCACATTGCCATAGGTCGTGAACAACTCGCCAATCTCATCGCGAAGGTATAGTCCAAATGTGAGTGAGTCGCCAATTGCCACGACTGTTGAGTTGGGGTTGAGCGGGATGATCTCCAAATGTGAGAAGGGCTTGGTGCTCACCTTGACCAAGCTGCTGGTGTCGGCATGGCCATCACGTGTAACGGACAGGTAGCAAGTTCCAATGCGATCATGCGAGGTGAGCTTGAGGCCGTCCTGGAGTGTGATGATGTCCTGACAGTTGACGTATTTGTCGCAGTCCAAAGGTGAGATCTCCAGACCCTTGGTGTTGATGGATTGCGCAAGCGCTGAGGCGGTGTTGAGTGGCAGAAGCAGGGATGTGGTAGGGATGCCCACGGGTTCAATCACTGTGATCTGGAAAGGTGGTGTCTTGAAGAGATGACGCGAACGATCGCTTGCGCTGTAGGCAAAGGCTGTGATCGCAGTTGTTCCAATCGACTTGCCAATGACGCGCACGCCAAATGAACCCTCCATCTCAATGGTAGTGTTGGCACGATTGTAAACAGAGGTCAACTGCAGCACTGAGCTGTCGAGACACTCCCACTTGAAGAAGAAGTCAACGGTGCCGTAGGTGAATGGTGTCTCGCCATTGTTGCCAACCACGCGGAGCTTGAGCTCGTCACCTACCAACAGTCTGTCGATTGTGCTGTGAAGACGGATGCCCGTCATGTTCTTGACGTAGACGGTGAGGCGGTCCTCGCCAATGATCTGTTGACGACCGGTCTTGGGGTCGGTGATGTAGGCAATCGCTGTGACTAGTGCCTCGCCAGTGCCCTCGGCCACCAACTCGCCAATGACGCCTCTGTTGACAGTGGCGACCTTTGTGTCGCTGGACTTGAATGTGACGTCCTGTCTGGACGCGGCACCACCACTCCACTGCAATTGGAAGTGGCCGCCTGGAACCAAGTGAAGGGTCTGTGGGGAAACCTTGAATGGTGGGAACACCTGGATCTGAACGGTGCGAGATTGTACCATCTGACCTGTCTTGGGATTGGTGTTGGTGAGGGTGAGGGTGGCAAGACCGGGGTCGAGGCCGCGAAGGGTAAAGCGACGGGGATCATCGGGCGACTGCTTGATTGAGAGGACGCTGGGGTTGTCAATGTGGGGCACAAGGTCAAAGAAGCGATATTGTTCGTCTTCAAATGGTGTGTTGTTGGCGTCAAACACGGTGATGTTCATGGGTGTCGTGCCGCCAACCTGGATGAGCTCTTGTGCAGTCAGGTCGATTTGTGCAGCGTCACTGATAAAGATGATTGAGGGCTCAGCGCCACTGCCGCCAAGACAAACGTCGTTGACATCGATGCGAAGGTAACCTGGCGCAACTGGTGTGAGCAGCACCTGGCTCATCTGAGGGTCGAGTGTGGCCAGTCTTGAGTTGTTCGCGGCAAACTTGAAGCTACCACTGCCGCCCAGCGCGGTGAGTGTGAGGTTGTTTTTGTCGCTGAGGTACATGGTCTTGGTGGCGGGGAGTAGCTTGACGTTTGATATCAAGTCCAGATCGATCGATGATTGTAGCTGCTTGGAGTCGAGCTGTGGGATGTTCCTGGAGGGCACGCCAGCGGTGCTGAGCACATCGGCGTTGTATCCCACCACTTGGGTACCGAGACGTGTCCTGCCCTCGAGTAGCATCAGTGTGAGCATGGCCAGCGAGTCGGCCTTGCCGGGGGTCCACTTGGCCAACTTCTCATCCTTGGCATTCCAGGCGAACTGGAGTGTTGAATAGTTGCTGAACTTGTTTCCTTGCTCATCATAAACTCCCGAGACAAAGGGGATCTCGCGGTTGTTGCGCACCTTGTAGAGTGGCACGTCGTCGGCACCGGAGCCTGGCTTGCGCTCATTCAAAAAGGTGATGGCGTTGGTGCATGGGATACCTCCCTTGGTGGCCGACTCCTTCATGCCCTCGTCCTCATTGATGGACAGCTGCACAGAGGTGGGAGGCACGCAACGGAAGGACATGCTGGCGCTGGGCGATGCTGGGACGGGGTTAGCGGTGGATGCGCGATTGCCAACCTTTAGGACGATCTTCTGCTCAGTGTGTGCCAGACATGTGACGGTGAAGCTGTGTGGCGACACGACGTTGATGGCCACGTCGTCTGGCTTCTGTGCCGTGATGGTGCGGAAGTAAGACTTGGGATCAGTGAGCCATGGCTCTGGGCCTCCCTGGTGATTGACGAGCACTGTGCTTCCAAGTGTGACCAGAACATCTGATGGGTCGAGGGTGAGTGGACGGTAGGCAATGATCCTAGCCTGTGCCTTCATTCCATTGTGGTCCACTGTGACGTAGGTTGAGCCCTCCTTGAGTGCGAGTGCTTGCTTGACTGAGCAGTGGTCGGGACGTCTGGGCATCCAGATGTGGCCCTCAAAGCCACGTGGCTGCTTCTCTGGCTCGGTGGATGGCTCCTGCAGCTCAAACACAGATGGGTCCTCTATGGCCCAGTGCAGGTTGGGGATGCTACAGGCGTCAAAGTTGTGGCCGGCTGGTAACTTGTCGCTCTTCATCACGGTCGACAACATCAGTGACTTGCCAACCTCGACCTCGGCGGGCGAGGGCGAGAACGCGATGGCGTTGGGTGGGATTACTGAAGCCTTGGAAGTCTGATGGTTGTGCGGGTTCTTCTTGTCGACGACGCTAATCAATGCGTTGCCGGGCTGCGTGGCGGTCTTGACCAGGCCGGTTGGATCGACCTCGACGATGGCCGTGTGATTGCAGTGCCAGAGGTACTCGCCCGAGCCACCGCGGGCCTTCAGCGGGAAGGACTGGACGGCGGCGCCAGCGTTGTACGGGAAGTAGAGCATTGGTGGGAAGAGTGTGATCATTGGACTGATGGTGATCTCCTGCTCCACAGAGATTGGGTGCAGCAGAGGGATGAGCTTGCCTGTCTTGATGTCATAGATCTTGACGAGTGATGCGCGCACCGATGTGAGTCCCTCCTTCAGCGCGCGGACGTGATAAGTGTCGGAAGCAACACGTGCATTGCTGGGGGCGGGGATGGGCTCAAAGTAGGTCTTGGAGATGTTGACATCGTACGAGATGTCCGAGTTGTATATCTTGTGGCCAGAGGCGTCGTAGAGCTCCACGGTGAGTGTGTAGTTCTTTGTCTCGATGAGGTTCCAGTTGACGACGGGGCCTGGGCCCAGACCGATTGGATCGATCTTTAGCGTCAGGTATGATGGTGTGACCACATGGACGATGGCATGAGCGCGATTCTCTGTCATATTCTTGTGCTGCACATTGACCTCTGTCTTTCCAATGTCTGTCGCGAGGAACAGTCCACTCTGCTCAATGATTCCAACCTTTTTGTTGGTCGAGTCCCAAACGTATTGTGGGTTTGGCATTGGGATGGCTGTAAGGTGGCGACACAAGGTTAGTGAGTCTGATTGAATGTGATTGAGTGATCGATGCACATACTCTCAACTTGGTTCCTCTTCTCTGTTTGCAAGAGATAGGGTATCTGTGTACCGGGGATCACATAGAGAAGGTGTGATGGGTTGAGCTGGAGGGGCTCGAGAACGGAGATGATGACGCTAGACTGCTCGATGCTGCTGTAGGCTGACTCGAGGAGACGTGCGGTGACCGTGGCACGTCCAGTGTCAATGCCCTGTACCAACACTTGTGATGACTGCAAGCCCTCCTTCTCCATCGAGATGAGGATGGGGTCGGTGTCACGTGAGGCATCTTTGAATGGCACGATCTGGATGATGTTTGATGCGCTGACCGACCATTCAAACTCAATGCCCAGCACGGTTGAGAAGCGATTGCCCTGTGAGTCGAATGCCTCGACCTCGAGTATCTCTGAGGCGTCCTTGTACATGATCCTTGTCGTTGTCTCGATACTGATCGATGCGATCCTGTCGACAAACACCTCGCAGCGCAGACGACGATTGGTTGTGCGATCCTCTGCGTAGATCAACGTTGAGTCACGACCTGCGAATCCACTTCGCACACTGACCTTTACCGCTGTAGAGCAACGATTGGCCTCGCCCTCACCATTGCCCCAAGGTGTAGCAATGATAGCCGAGTTCAAAGATGCTTGTCCATCATTATTATTGCAAGGTTGTATTGTGTCATACAATGGCTCCAAGTCGATCAAGTCTTGATTGTTCGTTGACCTAAGTATATTATATTATATGTTTGTTAGTATCGTTTGTTCATTCATTCAAACATTGATTGATTGATTGATTGATACGCACCATTCAAAGCAGCCGTTGGATGCACCGAGGCGGTAGAAGAGTCTTGATTTGGATGATGTGTAGGGCAGCAAGATGCTGACCTCTTTGATACTGATTTCTGTGTCTTGTTGTTGTTTCTTTGCATCGACGACGATATGTTGATTGCTCATACTGCTGATGATTGAGAGGAGCAACAACAACGATGCAAGGAACATCATTGTTCCTCGTCGAGCACTACCACCACTACAGCTGTTGATCATCATTATTATATGATTGATACACTTGTAGTAGTATGTATGTATTATATTATATCTTTAAAAGGGTAAACAATCAAGTATGAATGAGATAAGTTTGATCGCCTGCACGATGATTGTGAAGTTGATCAAAGTGAACTTCAACAATTTGAAATTTGAATTTGAAAGTGGGTGTTTGTTTCAAACTGCCAACCGTTAGAAACACTTGAGAAGGAGGGAAGTAAGACTTGACTCCTTGTTTGATACCTAGTATCGTTGTTATTGACACTTTCAATCAAACACATATATACATATTTACATACAAATATTCATACATACATACATATATATAACATAATCAAACATGATTGATAACAAGGACGAATATAAATGGGATGGCTACGATCACATGATGAGCTCAAAGCCAAACATGGGCAAGCCAGACCCAAAGGCTAGCATCTTTGATCTCAACAATATGCGCGACTCTGTACTCTTTGAGAAGGATAGGTTCTCATTCTGTCTATCTCCACCCAAAGGTACTTCATTCACATCTTTGAACCTTCATCATTCATACTAACATGATGTGCTCAATCACAATATAGACCCAAGCAAGTACAAGACCTTCAGTCAGCCACAGTCAAAGTCACATGCACAGCCAATGCCAATGGGTGGTGCTAGAGTACAGCAGCAGCAACAACAGAAGGAGAATATTCCAATTAATAGCAATCAGAGAATGGCACCACCAATGGCTATGACCAAGCAACAGATGGTCTCTCAGCCAATGCCCATCAACGCCGTCAAGAAAGTGACCACTCAGCCAATCACAATCCCATCACAACAGACACAACAGCAGCAACCACAGCAGCAACAAAAGGTCACAAGTCCAATGTATCAATCGCCCGTCAAGACTAACACATTGACCAAAGGTATGATTGATTGATTTGTTTATTGTGTGATTGAGTGATAGCGTGCAATTATATTAACATACACCATACCATACCAGTGCCGTCATCCCCAATCAAGTCCACCACAATGAAGACTCAGCCACAATCACCTCAAAAGCCATCGATGATGAAGAAGGAGACGGTCCAATCACTCTCTGATGTGAACTTGGATAATATGTACCTTACCAATAATGTAGACTATAACATGAGTGTTAATGGCGTCGTCGCCGCACCATTGCCAAACAACCGCCCAGTGCCAATGTTTGGTTCGCGTCCCGCCACACCAACCCAGCAACTGCCCAACGTCCCATCAATCACGACTCAGCCTCTGATGGTTGGTTCGGCCCCCACCCGTCCAGGCATGCTATCGCGTCCCGCCACACCAACCCAGCAACTGACCAACATCCAGTCGCCGCCCCAACAGTCCGCCCCAAGCTTGAACAAGCGTCCTGTCACACCCACCAAGATGGAGCCACTCGCGTTGCCCGTGGCCACCAAGCCATCAGCCACCCAGAAGGAGGCCGACTCAATCAGCATTGTGGCCGAGGCCAAGCTCGAGTCGAGGATCAAGAACCTCGAGATGGAGAACCGTGTCCTGAAGCAACAGATGCAGGAGAAGGACCGATCGATGGAGCAACTGCACGATCGCATTGAGGACCTTGAGTCGCAGGTCAAGAACTTCATGGAGGAGATCAAGTTGTTCCTGCTCAACAACATCGAGGAGAAGTAGTCATAGTCGTCGCTCAAGTACATCTCTCTCTTCTCTTGTGTAATACATTAAAGTATGGCAATGGTAGACTCCATGTAGCCCCAACAAACATTATCCAAAGACTACTACTTCGTGTCCACGTCCACACATATAGTGTGATCTTTACATTCATTCGTTCATTCATTGAATGCATCTGATTGATGATGCTGATAGTGAAGTTGTCCAGCAGATGATAACTCGTTGCTACTCTCCTGCTGTTGTAGTGTCCAGTTCTGTGATAGGACTCGATAAGCATGTACAGCATCCTCGACATCTCTGATCCACAGCAATTTGTCTGCATAATTGTCCGCGGCAACAACCTGTCGCAGCACTTGCTCATTTGATTGATACATTATTTCCAAGCCACTCTTTGTCTCTGTTTGATGGTGATGATGGCAGTGAGGTAGGATGGAGTTAGGTACCAGCATGAGGCGATGAGGTTGGAAGGTGGATGGGATGATTACTTACGTTTCTCAACATCCTTTACATCTATTACACACGCCAAATGAATGGCAAACAGTCTGTTCTTGGCCATAAAGGCAGACCTGTAGAATAATAAATAGTCATCCAATAAATAAATAGTCGCGTCATGTCCTTTAGTCTCACTGTTCTTGTAGAACTTGAGTTTGCCCTCCCTGATTTGAGTTTGATTGGATGGAGCGAATGTGAGTGATGAGTGATTGGTTGATTGAGTGATGGATGATGTATACATACTTGATCAAAGTCTTGTTCATTATTAATTCATCATGCTCCTTGCCAATGACATCTCTGATCTCTGCAATCTTTTCTTCATTCTTTATCCTGTTGTTGATGTCCGATACGATCTTCTCCATAAGCTTGGCAGCTCTTTCGAATGATCTATAATGTTCATCCTCTTCTGGTACTGATTTCTTCAGTTCCTATGTTGTGTTTGATTGATTGATTGATTGTCAGCATGCTTGGTACATCACAAACTTGTTGAATCTGTAGCTATACATACTCTGAGCAACAATGGATATTTACACAGCCTTTGCACTGGCTTGATTACATATGATGAGATATTGAGTGACTTGACACATGGTAATGATTTAATACTCTATATTGATGTGCGTGGATACAACAGTTAGTCCATGGAATGTCAATCTATCCAATCCAATCCAGTCCAATGTCCTGGAAACATACATTTAAAAATGGAGACAGATGTGAACTGTTCTCCCATGATGTCAACACCTTGTTACACTGTTCTTGCAATGACAGATACGCTCCATACTTATAAAGGGCATTGGTCTATTGTAATATTGTGAGTTAGATGTTTGATTGAATGAGGCAGGTGGTACCATAACTTACATGATTGAAGAAGATTGTGTCAACTATGGGATACTCATTGTAGTCCATGTGAGGTATCATCTCGACCAGTGAGCTGAATAGGTGCGTGTTGACTTGGTACAACTCCTCAATGTTGGAGAATACTTGGTTGATGTCTTCCTCTTTGAGTGAGGACACTGTTGGACACAACTCAACCATTGCACTCTTGTAGTACTCGATCAGGATCTGCAGGTCGTCCAAATAGTCGGCCTCAGTCTCGATCAGCTCCTTGACCACCTTGTTTGTGGATGTGTCGTTGTTGATCGCTGGCAATGTTGATCGACGCGAGATGAGTGGCTCGATGCTGGCCAGTCGCTCGATGATCAGCTCCTTGGGGTCGATCTGGTCGGTTGCCACAGTTGATCGCTTGGCAAAGAATCCCTTCTTCTTGGTCGCGGTGGGGGCGGCGGTCATTGTCGTTGTTGCCATTGCGCTTGGATCATCCTCGTAGAGTGATATCGATGAGCCACTTGACATTGATGGATCCATGAAGCTTGCGCCAATGGTCGGAGATTCCTCGCTCACATCATCATACTCGTCATCCATTTCTTCGGGGTCACCTTCGTTGCGCAGGGACATTGATGCAGTCTTCCTTGCAAACATCTTTTGTCGCATGGTGCGTCTGTATTCGCTGTCGACTGAGCCGCTACTGCTATTCATGCTGACGCTGTCATTGCTGCTGCCAACGCTTGTGTTGCTCGATTGAGTGTGTAATGAATGAATGTCGCATGCCGTGACGATCATTGACATTGGTCGCGCCGGTACATGTGGCTTTGCTTGTGGACTAGTTGGTGGATGAGCCGCCAGGTCACCCGCAGCATTCGCGTCATTTGTGTTGTAGCGAGAGATGAGGTCTGATACCTTCTTCTTGTGATTGGCCATTGATGGCGCAGTAACAGGAGCAGGGGATGGTTGTAGTGTGATGTTCGATGAAGGATGCAGAGGTGGCGTCGTGGAGCCAGAGACTGGTGACCGACCTGGAGGGGTGGGCATCTTCCTGGGCGCCACGGAAGGTGGCGCCAACACAGGGGAAGTGGTCAATGAGATTGTTTGCCGCCTGGGCACCACTGGTGGTTTCTCGCCAGAGATCAGAGACGGTGATACTGGATGTGGTTCGGGTAGAGGTCTTGGCGAGAGTCTTGGTTGAATGGCTGGCGGAGACACCGACATGTGTGGCGGTGATTGTGAAGAAGATGGTGTGTTGCCTCCATTACTATGTTGGCGATGATGTTGAATGTTGTTGTTGTTGTCTTGATGGTAGTAGTTTGGTGAGCACTGGCCAGAGTTGATCGCAGGTGATGTTGACAATGAGGATGGCGGTGATGTTGACGATGGAGAGTCAGCGACACTTGTTGAGAAGGTCAACTTTGGTGCCGATATATCGAATGTCATATTCGCCTCCACCTTGTTTGACTTCTTTTGTTGTTTATCCATCTTGCTAGACTTTTCAGGTTTCTCTGGCTTCTGTGGCTTCTCTGGCTTCTCAATCTCTGTCTCCTCCTTATCTCCCACTACACTCTCTGATGATGATGAACCTTTCTTCTTGAAACTTCTCAATGTCAATGTCACTATATCCATTTATGTGGCGCCAATAAGATTGATTGAGATTGAGTTAATGATTGATTGAATGATTGATTGAATGGTTGAATGAATGATACACAATGACCCTCATTCACTCCAACTCACTCCAACAACAGATACACAACAAAACACATACTCTTCTTCTTTGCCTTTGTGGGTGTGGTGCTACCACCACTGGTGGCATCGACATCTTGGTTGGTGGGGTTGGACCCATCTCCAATGTTGTTGGAGTCATCTTCGTGAGACTGATCAGAAGTTGTCTTGTTCTTCTTATTCCTGTTTCGAATCTGTTCAATCATATTGGATGGATGATCAAGGGAGTGCACTCAAATAGGGACCAAGGTCATTGGGTGTAAGAATATGAATGAATAAGTAAGTAAGTGATATGAATGAATGAATGAATGAATGAATGAATGAATGAATGAATGAATGAATGAATGGGTATTCTTGCAACAACAATATGATGGTTTTGTTGGTTGATAAAGAGCTCAACAACAATGTTTGATATCTAAAAAAAGTGGTGTGAAAGTATGTGTTTTGATTGTTTGTGTGTTTGTTTGTATGTTTGTTTGTGATCAAAATAATGATCGGGTGTCGATTGGATTAACACCTCCCTACATCAGCACTTTGTGTTTGTGGATGATAGACGTGGACCCACCCAACCTCAAAGAGTCAACTTTGGTTTTGTCCTGTTGTAGGGCAAGAATAAAATTTCTCAAACAATTGAAATAACAGTCACATACTTGTCCAACTTCAATGAATTTCAATACTTTGTAACTCATGTCCAAACTTGTGATTACGAATTATCTCTCTCAATCTTGTTGTCAAAGATCCATTATAATAAAAAGATTCTATAAGTTCAGTATTACTACTAATACTTTTCCTATCCCAAACTTAAAATAATGGAACAAGTACTATTTGCATGTAGATTCATAGATGTATATATTGACGATCCCTTGTTAAACATGGAAAATTTCCATTATCTCTCTGGAACTTCTTCAAAGTAGTGGTCTGGTTCAATCAATCGATCAATACCCCCATACATACACATTGTATGCTGTGTGAGTCTTATTACCAAATATGGAAACAATCAGGTGTTATTGATTGATTGTTGGATGAGAACAATGTATTGGTGGTGTTAGAGGGCTATTGATTGATTGATTGATTGGAAGGATGGAAGGATGACTGTGCGTATTTATATATCAAATGATCAGATCTGTCACCCTAACCTAACATGACTTGATCAGGAAGCTTGGATGATTATTGGTTAGGTAATCCCACGCATCTGCAGTTTAGTTTACACATGTTGAGGTAATGACACACACACACACACACACACACTCAACAGAGTCGACTGATCATTGCTGTGTCAACCCATCAAGACATTGTGTGTTATGTGTGTGATTGATTGATCAATCAGGTGGCACACTACATCATCACAATCACACCAATTTCCATACAGACTACAAGACATCCGTCAATCATCACCTCCACCACCACACACTCAACAACACGAATGTCACTTGTGGTTGACCCACCATCCACATGACGACCGTCCATTCATCACCAGGGTCAAGACATACGTCGTGACCAAACCTTCAACTCAACACTCCCCCTCAACAATCCATCCATCCAATGTCCAGACATCCAACCAATCAATCATGCCCCATCCATCCATCCATCCTCATGATCATCAATCAACTCAACTCAACACAACACACAACACACATTGACGCCAGACAAGACATCGGAAGGGATGTGTGTGGATGAATGAGAAGAAATAGTAGTAGCAGCTACTCTCTTGCTCACAACCATTCGGTTCAAAGACGTATCATCTTCCAAATCAATCAACACCTAGTTTTGTATAGTACTGTATAGAATAGACAGGTTTCATCAAGCCAGTGTCTGTCATTGAGGTAGAACAAACGCCTAGAATAGTTTGATAGGTTATTACTCTACACTTACAACTTCATCCATTCAATCAATCAACAATATAATAATAATATTAGTCAACGTCAACCAATCCCAACTTGGTCAATCAACGCGTTAGTGTAGAGACATTACACACTTAACCGATATATATATATATATAACAGCAGCAATGAGCTTACTTGTAAACCCTCATCAACTACATGCACTGGATATGAGCCAGGCCTATGGAGGAATGATACCACAGATGCATCCATATCTTACCCAACAACAACAACAACAGCAGCAACAACAACATGTTGTTCCACATCTAACACAACAACAACTTGTTGCTGTTGCCCCACAGCCTCAACAACAACAACAGACACAGCAACAACAACAGACATTCGCCACGCAACAAACATCGAACAACTCCAATCCAGCCCAGGCGGTACCAACTGGCACATCACCAACTAGTTTGGCCAGTCCAGGTGGTCTGACATCAAGCAACAAACGTGTGACAATATCCCAACAGACCTGTCTGGTCGAGGAGAAGTTCTCAAAGAATGGCGTGCAGAAGAATGTACACGTCGTGGTCAAGAACAACCCATTCCTGCTCACATTGTCATTGATGGACAACTCGTTAAACTTCCATCAGATGTCGCCCGAGGTGCAGTTGGTGTATGACGCCGAGAACTTGAAGGAGGTGGACTCAGCCACGATGAAGCCACTCGAGTACAAGACACGTGCCAACGAAGATGGCGACCAACTGACTGTTGAGCTCAGGATCAAGGTGTTATCCAGCCAGCTCGAGGACATGTTGTTCCGCGCCCGTGTGCGCATTGTTGATCCACGCACACGCAAGGAGATCCCGGGCCTGACAGTTGTCTCGCATCCAATTCGCGTTGTGTCCAAGCCTGACCAGGTCAAGAAGAAGGCCAAGAAGAGAAAGAGAGCGCCAACCGACTCGTTGATGGACACACTCAACAGAATTGAGCACCAGCAGAAGGAGCAGCAGCGTCTTCTCAAGAAGTTGTATCACTTTGACAAGGATATCAACCTGCCCGCGCTACTCGCCAACCGAGGCAACACCCCAACGATCGTTGAACCAACACTATTAGCTGGCGCCAAGAAGGATGACTCTGAGACTACGCCCACGTCCAAGGACTCTATACAACAACAAGAGACTACACTTGAAGTGCCAGACGCCACAACCACTGCTCTATGTGAGGTCAAGAGTCCAACTGCCAAGAGCACATCAGCCATTGACACTCCATGTGACAAGGACGACTTCCAAAAGGTGTTCAAGGAGTTCATTGGCGCATTCAAACAACTTCAATGTCTGGACCAGGATGGCGCGGACAATGACTTCAAGATCAATACCTGCGCAAACGACGCGCAGACCATGTGCGAGATCCTCGAGCTGGTCAAGCAGGAGATGAAGAACGACGAGTCGTACAAGTCACGCAACCAAGGATCGGAGCCATCAGCCGATTCGCTCTGCTCGTGCAATCCATGTCCGTACAAGGCCAAGGTGGACCACATCAACCAGTCCTACGAAAGCTACTTCAACATGTTTGGCATGGCGACGAATGCTGCCTCACAGAGCTCCAACCAACTGGTGGTGCCACAGTTAGACGCGTCTGTGCCAACAGCCGCATCTTCTTCAGCGGCAGTTATATATCCGGCCACGGCAACACCATCAGTGGCCACAACAATCGATCAACAACAACTTCATCAACATCTACAACTTCAACATCAACAACAGCAACAACAGTTGCAGCAACAGTATCTACAACAACAACATCAGCAACAACAACAGCAACAATTGCAACAACAATATATTCAACAACAACATCTACAACAACAATATCAATACCAAATGCAACAGCAACAACAACATCAACATCACCTCCAACAACAACATCAGATGGGACTTGTACAACAACAACAACAACAACAACATACTATGCAACCAACTACAATTGAACAACAACTCTATCTACAGCAACTACAACAACATCAACTGATGATCCAGCAACAACAGCAACAACAACTGACTGCCAACAACGCATTCATCGACTTCAACATGATGGGATACCAAGGTGGACTGCTGAGTGATCTTGGCTTCTCCGCTGTCTAATTAATTAATTATCTATATATACATACATATATAATAATAATAAATGTATCTCTATCATTCATTCATTCGTTCATTCAATCATTCATTATCTCTTTCACTTCAAGTGATGGGTTGGGTTTAACTTGCAGACAGACGCGTCCCTAAACCCAAGTTGCCCATTCACCCCTAAATATCACAAAGAGGCGGAAGCTGTGGAAACCTCAAAGTCCAAAGTAATGATGAAATCTACTCATCTCACTCTACCCTGCCCTACACATATTTATTTATCTCCTACATCACTTTATTTATAGATACATATATATTTTTATTCATTCATTCAATCATACAATCCTCATTCATTCAATCAAATCAATCATTGATCATTGGCCTTTGACGATCGATCGACCAAACAGACTTGAAGAATGAACAACATCATTGACGATGATGTTAATGGTAGTAATGGTCATACAACGACGGGTATGACATTACAATCAATGCCTGTTGTTGATGTACCTCAGACACAGACACAGACACAGACTACGACGATGACGTCGGCAGGCTCCACACCAACAACACCTAGACTGCCGAGGAGTGACTCGTTTGTACAGGAGTTTGATACAGTGCCACAGAGCGATGTGTATACAGATATATATGGCTTTAGATATAGTATAGCAGAGAGTTCAGAGACGATAAAGATCATGGAGAACTTGGATATGGTTGATAATGCCGAGCACAAGGAGGAATGGTTCCATTTTATACGCAACCGCTGCGAAGATGACTGGGACAAGCTTGTTCGTTTGGAGAATGACAAGTCATTCCTCGAGCTCCTAAACAGAGGTGTGCCGGCAGTCTACCGCAAGAGGGTATGGCTGTCATTCCTCAAGCTCTCCTCACTCGAGGAGTTCAAGAAGGAGTACTTCAAGTTGCTCAAGGAAAAGGAGGAGGAGCCAAAGGCCTATGACTACAGGACAGAGATCAAGTTGGTATGTAAACATAGTGTTAGTGATAATGATCGAGATCGTGGAGCTAATGTAGCAATCACTCAAACTAGGACATTGAGAGGACATTCCCTACACATCTGTTGTCCGAGGACATGGACTTCAAGGAGAAGATACAAAACATACTCTACGTGTACAGCATCAACACTACAAAGGGATACTGTCAATCATTGAACTATATTGCATATATGCTACTTCTAATCGTTAACAATGGTATGGATCATCATCACATCACATCGATCAATCACAAACTCATCCTTTCCAATCATATTATTTAGAGGAGGAGTCATACTGGTGCCTGAACCACATCGCCGACAACATACTTCCAGACTATTATACACCAACGATGCTTGGTGCACAGATTGATCAACAGGTGTTCTATGACCTGCTATGTGAGATGTTCCCAGAACTGATGAACCACTTCAAGAGCATCAGTGTTGTCATCCAAATTCTAACCATCGAATGGTTCCTCTGTCTATTCTCAACAATACTACCTGCACAAGTATGTCATGCCACAGTCACAGCCCATGGTCCATTGTCCAGTCCAGGCCAGCTAACTAACAACCGTCATTCATTCAATCAAACAATAGTACGCATTGATCATATGGGATAACTTGTTTGTCCGTGGAAGTAGGGTACTGCTGGAGATTGGTCTGGCATTCATAGAGATGAACATAGATGATCTGATGAAATCAAGGTCTCACTCAGAGGTCGTATCAATACTTAACTATCAACATAATCCAGACAAGGTGTTGCTGACAATCCAGCAATCGGCCAAGCGAATAGGAGTTGTACTCTCCAAGAAGAAGATACAGGATCTTAAGCTAAAGCATTGGCAGATCACCAAGAAGCAGGTCAAAGACAACGAGGAGCTCAAAGATATCAAGTACCTCATGAAGGTCACCTCATGTATGGCTCAATCAATCATTCATTCAATCATTCACATTCCATATATCTAACCAAACAATCATATAGTGAGCATTGGCAAACTCAAAGGATTAAAGTCAGAGTTTGATGTACTTTCACATGATGGCACAGGCATTGGCTATCTCCAGTTCCATCAGATCATCCTTCGATTCTTCCCAGACTGGAGAGAGCTGGACGAGAAGTCTGGTGGAAATCTACGCACACTAATGGAGAAGATGTTCAATGCAATGGACGAGGACAATGACAGTCTATTGAATTTCAAAGAGGTATGTCTGGTCAAGGACAGATCAAAGTGATCACCAACTCACTAACATCGTCCAATCAATCAACAGCTGGTAAAGGGTATATCAATATTGTCACAAGGAAAGTTTGATCAGAAGCTCAGATGTAAGTATCAGGTTCTGATGACTGCCATTCAATGTTGTGGTCACATGACACTTACCAACATACTTCCATTCGCGCATGACCATCATCATAGTGATATTCAAATCATTCGCATTAGTGAACAAGGACTACTTGACAAAGAGTGAGGTCAAGTCGATGATTGAGGTGGTGCATCAGATATTCTTCAAGGATAAGAATACAAAGGAGTTGAATGAGAAGTCAGAGTTCTTTTTGGAGAACATGGAGGACAAGATCACATTGGATGGCTTGAAGCGACTGACACAACAATATCCATTGATTATGGAGAGCTTCCAAACGCCAGACTCGCACACCTATACATCCACATCAGAGGTCACTGGCAGTATCAAGAAGAGAAGCAATTCATTCCACTTGCTAGACGAAGATCGACTTCAACAACACGCATCATCATCAACAACATCAACAACTACAACCACTCCATCATCAAACAAGAACAGCAGGAACAGTGCCAATGCCAGTATCAGCAGCAGCATTGGAAACAACAAAGATAACAACAAAGATAACAAAGATAACAAAGATAACAACAACAAGGATAATGGTGTGGATGGTGTCGCGACAACTGGTGATACTCCATCGAAACAAAAGAAAGAGAAGAAATCAAGTAGCGATCCACCCCTTCTACTGCTAAAGATGCTCAATAACGCAGCGACCATTGGTAACAGGGACAAGAACAAACCGCCAGTCAGTCTGTCCAAGGCCATCGATGATGGTCCATGTAATTTAATGTAATAACTATCAATCAATCAATCAAACCAGCATAGCATGTCAACAACTCCAACAACCAACAACATCATCAACAACTACACCTATCCAAGTGGCGATACAATATCAACGCGCGCCAATAGCCATCACAAGAAGGAAGGACCTTGGAACGAGTAAGAATGGATGCTTGAATAAAACCCAGCTGTCCATTATCCACACAACAAGATCATTGATTGGTATACATTACAATAGATATTTTAATTTATTAATCGGTAGTTGGCTCGGCGACGGCGGTAATACGCTCTACTTGATTGAATGGATACACGGCAACAAACTTGCCAACAAAGTCTAGTGACTCGCGATGGGCATAGGTCTCCCATTGATTCTTGACAATGTCGTAGCACTTGAAGTCGTTGACCTTGGCATCGTAGCCAAAGGCAAAGATCTTGGGACTGCGCTGGTGGAAGCCATAGGTGATGCTCTTGGCTGGGTAGTACAGCACTAGCTTCTCGAGCTTGTACGTGTCGACGTTCCATCGGTAGAAGGAGTAGGCGCACATGATGTAGATGTTGCGTGCATGGTAGTCAAAGCATATTGACTGCAGTGCGCAGTCAACCTTGCCAGTGAACACCAGCTTGGACGAGCCGTCTGTGATGTTGTACTGTACGATGGAGAGCAAGTGTGGCGCGTTGGGAGTCACGTCTGCAATGTAGATGTAGTCGTCCAACAAGAATGCCTGTGCGTTGACCTTGGGCCAGCGGATCTGACCCATCTCGAGGAATGTGTTGTTGAGCACGTCGTACTGCACGATGGTGCTCTGCGAGCGGTACTTCCAGAGGATGTTGTGCTCGGCGTAGGAACCTCCGATGATGTATGCGTATCTGACGCCATCAGTACAGACGGCCGAGTCAAAGCCAAAGCGCTCCTTGCTGGCAAAGTAGATAGCCTCGCCCCATGACTTGGTGACGTGATCAAACTTGAAGAGGCCGCGTGTTCCATCGAATGCCAAAATGTCGTTGCCTACGACCAGCAGCTTGTGGAACACCTCGCTGATGGGATGATGTGGAGTCCACTTGTTGGACTCTAGGTCGAGCGAATGCAGTGAGAAGAAGCCAGGCTTGTAGTCGACAAAGGCGTACAGAGCCTTGACGGTGAACTTTGATGCGTAGTCCGTCGTGGACAGCGAGGAGGACATCGAGAGAGGGTTGCCCGAGCCATCGGCAATGAGTGTATATGAGTTGGCGATGCTATCCTTGAGCGAGTTGTTGTTATCGGCGGCGCCTGCCAGCTTAAAGGCAAAGGCGGGTGTCGTATCCTCCATGTTGTTGGTGGCCAAAGTCGGGATGGTCTCTAATGTTACATTCTTGTTGAAGGCGCCATTGGCATTGGCCTCGAGGAAGGCCTCCAATGTAGGGCACTTGGCAATACATGTGTGGATGTCTGGTTGAGTGTTCAACGAACGCTCTGCAGTAGCATCACTCGACGATGATGAATCTGATGTGGCCGCACCAGATATGGTCGCTTCAATTCTTAACTTTACACCATAGATGGTGTCAATGTCGCTGTAGACGCTATCCACCACCTTGGCAATGTGATCGCGTCCTTCGGCGATGACCTTGTGAGCGCGGGCCTCCTCAGCGTCGAGCAGCTGATGCAGACTGGCAAAGTAGGTGGCGATGTCTGTGTCGGCCTGGTCGGCAGAACGCTGCTTGTTGGTCTCGCGTACCAACACTTGCCATCGCTCATTCAAACTCTTATCGACCAATGACAACCTCTCTGTGAATATTTGCTTTGGCTCGCCAATAGTATGTCCATTATGCAATGATGCCAAACATTGTGAGCATATCAACTTGTAGTCACATGTAACACAAGTGAACTTTAACTTCTTTCCATTATGTGTTTGGCAAGTTGATTGTTGAGTTGTCACTGTCGTAGTTGTGTTCAACTCTATTGTTGGTTGTTGTGGTGATGTTGGTACTATTGCTGGTGCGTCCATTATGTTATGTTACTTAATCAATCACTCAATCAAACAGATAAGTGTATGTTGTAGAATGAGGAGTTTGAATGATGATGAATGTACTGTTTGAATGAATGATTGTAAAGGATGTCCGTGATGTAGTGAGAGAATGCGAATGAGTCAGCTTAAGCTATTATTATAAGAGGAGTATGTAACTCAAATAGATAAAGATAGAAGTGAGATTGGTTCATAAGTTGGAATCAACATTGAGCAAAGAACCCAAACAGTGATGACGACACCTTTCAAACCACTCAATTTTCATAAATATCCTCTTTTTTGCAACCCGTCTGTCTTGCTTGCGTGGTTGTCCTAGTCGACATCACTCTTTTTGGGCTTTGTTTGTCGCGTGAATACTTATTTGTTTGAATTGTAGCTGTTCGGTTGTTTATTTATGAATACAATGACTGGTGATTGAATGAATGTACATTGAAATACTTCTGTTTGTTATATATATATGTTTGATTGATTGATTTACAACATTAATTTCCCACTCCTAATTGCTTTGGAATAGAGTATTTGATGATGTGCCAGTATGATTATGGTGGCCATCAGTATACCTCCAAGTACAACAGCTGGCAACACAATTCCAACCAATCCCATCTGTTTCGATTCATCCTCTGCACGTTCTTTGTTATATTCCTCATTGACAAGTTGATAATATCTCGAATCTAAGAATGATTCATTGATTAGTATGTCATGTTTGATTGATTGAATGATTGATTGAGTATACATACTGTCAAGAGTGAAGGTGTTGTTTGTACCCTTTAGACCTTGGACGGTCACGGTGATGTTGAATGTGTTCTCGGGTGGCGGCAGGTCGAATTGACCGCCAATCATACGACAGGTGATGGTGGCAGCGTCCAGGGCAACGGGATTGAAACACTTTTTGGTGTTGTCAATGAATATTGAGAGAAGACTAGAGTTGACGCCAGTGTATCCAAAGTTGTCGCCACTGATTGTTAGGTCACCGCCATATGATGACACACTGTTGCTGGACAGGATGACCGGTGATTGGTAGCTTAGGTATACGGGACTGTTGAGCGACGAGATTGATTGTGAGTTGAGCGTGATTTGGACGGGATTCTGTCCGCCAGTGCCGGGGCCGGCGAGACAGGTGATCGTGTGGCTGTCGATGCCTGACGCGTTGGTGCATGTGAACTGCTGCTGAGTGCCAAATGTGATATTGTACTCGTTGACATCAAGGTTGGAAGCGAGGTAGCTGCCGCTGATCGTGACGATGCCGCCGCCAGTGGGTGGCTGGCTGACATTCTTGATGAATGGCGACACATCCACGGCGAATGTGCTGGTCTTGGCCGACTGGTACTTGATGATGTAGCTGTTGGTGTAGTGGCCTGCCTTAATGTCGCTGGGCAGCTGCACCACCATGACGACGTCGGTCAGCTGCACGATAGGGACCTGGGTGCCGTTGAAGAAGAACTTGATATTGGTCAGGTCTGTGCCGAATTGCGAGCCCTTCACAATGAGGTTCTCGCGCAGCTGGCTGTTGCTGAGCACGTTGGGCAAGTCGTATGAGAAGTTGGTGTTGCTCAATGATGCCAGGCCATCGATGGTGACAGTCACTGGCAAGTTGTAAATGTTGGTGTCACTGGTCTTTGGCATTCTGCAAATAATATACGCGTTGCCGATCACCTCTGTTGACGTGGCTTCACATGAAAATGATCCAATCTTAATGTCAATCGTTGACACGGTACCATTTGGTCTAACATAATTAAGTCTCTTTCCAGAGATCGTGATCGGTCCACCTGTTGCGCTGGATGTTGATGTCACACTATCAATCTGGGGAACTGTGATGTAAAAGAGTGATTGAGTGAGTTAGTGATTGACCAAAGTGATTGGAATTATTGCTGGATATAACTTACCTAACTTGAAACTGTTCGATCCAGTCTGACCAACAACGGTTATGCTGCAACCAAATTCACCAGAGGATATGAAGGTCTTGTTCATAAAGTTGGAAAGGTCCTTGTTGGATATTAATAGTTGAGTGTGAGTCTTGATAAAAGATGAGAGCTTCAATGTCTCACCCGAACAGGTCACTGAGACCTGTCCCAGATTGGCACCAAAGTTGGTTCCAATAATAGACAACTGATTGGCGGTATAATCAAAGTTGACGTTGGCCAATGTTGGTGGCTGGAATGACATTGTCACCTTGCTGAAATAAACCTGTCCCGGGTCAGAGTAGAGTTGTCTGCCACGGATGTTCAAGCCCACCTGGATGTTCCTGCCGGACAGAGTCTCGGCGGTGGCTTGGGGGAATGTGAACATGGCGAAAGTTCCGTTTGTGTTGCTGGCGCTCTGTGTCTCGGACAAGTCCACCGTGTTATTAAGCGTGAGCGTGCTGCCAGTGCCTGAGCCTGAGCTGAGCGACTTGCCTCGCAGTGTGATCGTGCCGCCGCTGGTGGGCACGGACTGCGCCTCGTACATATAGACAAAGTTGAACGATCCTGTGTCAGTCAGGGCGTTGACCTTGAACTGCAGCAGCTGGTTCAGGAGTTCTGGCACGACGGCCACCGTGATAGCTGACGAATTAATAAATGTTGCTGGAAAGTCTTGTTGAAAGGGATCGATCACCTTCATTGTGGAAGGGTTGGTAAATCCACTTCCAGTGATTGTTACAACTGATTCATCATAATAAAGAATATATCCATTAACTATTAATTATGAGTTTGATTGAATATTATGTTATGTTAGTTTTCATTTTAGTTTGGTCTTGTGATCACTGGAATATTTGATCAATTCCAAGTCAAGTGATCAATCAATCTGGCATATACCTTGTATAATATAAATTAATAGCAGTATGCTAACAAAGTATTTGTTGATATTATACATTATATTATATTATATTAAATGTATGTTTGTGAATGAAGACAGAAATAGAGAGATAAAGATACAAATAATAATAAACTTATAAGATGATGATGAAGATTGTCCAAGAGTCACAATGGAGTTGAGTAAATGATTGATTAGGTGAGTGAGGGAGTGAGTGAGTCTGTCAAGTCACCAACCCGATCAATGATGTGATTGATGTGTGATTGATCAATCAAACAAACAAACAAATAAACGTTGATGGATGGCACGCATCTAGCTCATCATGTTTGGTTGAGAGGTAAGGTAAGAAAGAACACATGACCAAAGGTGTGTTTAAAGTTAACATAATGCTTTATAAACAGGCCCTTACTTGGTATGTCTGTATGTGTGTGTCTACTTGTTGGTTAACTAGTTGTGTGTGTGTCTTGGGAGTGACAACGACTTGTGTGTGAATATGTGCGTGTGTGTTTAATGTCAGCTGATTGTGATCACCCACTAGCCGACTCACACACCCACTTTGATCATTGTTATGTGTGTGTTTGATCTTGATCACCGATGTGACAAAAATAGTTTGTTTTGATTGATTGGTTTGATTGAGCAATAGTGTAAATCATAGTATGTTTTATACAAGTAATAAAAGATAGAATCAAACAAACAGATTGATATATAAATATTACTTGAATTGGTCAATATCAAATATTTATTTATTTATTTATTTATTTATTTATTTTTGATGATCAACATCTCGAGATGATATTACCTTTGCCACCTTGTTGTTAGATACTTTCAATAAATATCAATCACATTCAACGATGTTGAGATTATTTTACCACAAAGGAATCGGAACTCACCTCGGGTTGTACACTGCACCGCAATCATCCCACACTTAACATCATCCATCACCCATCATTTGCATTCAATGAGTTAGTAGTAAGTAGTAACATATACTATAACATCAAGATATATATATATATAAATTGTAACAATATAAACTCAACAACAAACAATGAGTAACAACACCAATCATGGACTAAAGATTGGTCGTGTGACATTGGGCGCAAATAGACAGAGTAATGCAGGACTGAGTAATATCAATGTGGTGGCACCAACATCATCACCATCGATTAGTAGTGCCACTCCTGTTACTGTCACACAACAACAACCCATAAATGATAACAAACACCAAAATATCAGTTCACCATCACCATCATCATCGCCATCCACAATATCATCATCCCCGACTTTGACATCGGTCTCTCCAAATACAATAGCAACAGCAACCTCAACACATTCATCTCCTCGAGTTGAGGAACGCAATGACACTACCACAACTACCACATCCACACCTACACCTACACAGCCCTCGCCAGTCCAATCACCAAGAGCGACCATCAATCATTCGACAACAGCATCCACAGATGTGTCCTCTTCCAACAGCTCACCACAACAGACACCAAAGCCAGTGTCGTCGCCAACATCTCCAGCATCACCAGCGTCTCCACTTCTGGCTAGCAACAGCACAACGATATCAAAGCCTGCATCATCGACATCGCCCACTCTCAAGCCAGCGCCGGTAGTCTCGCCATCACTCTCGGCCTTGTCCAACCGAGCGGCGGCCGGCGACTCGATCAGAATCACTGGAACTCACCGCGTAACATCATTCAACACAATGACTGGCGACGCACTGTCGGCCAAGGATATCTACCAACTGATCGCTGAGCAGAAGCTAACAGACAATGATATCTGGGGCGGCCATCCCGACTTGTTCCCCATCCTCTTTCAGTTTGGCCATCACTTCCAGAGCATGGCCGATGGCGATGCCAGCGCTCACGTGCTCTCGATCAATCTCCCCGCCAGTCTATCGTCGTGTGGCGACATGAGGATGCGCTCGTACAAGATCAGCAAGAAGCTGACGGTCGCACAAACAGTCAATCTGGTGTGTAGGAAGGAGCACATCAAGGATCCTCGCCAATTCTACTTGGTCACATTGATGGGATGTGTGCTGGACAACGAGCTACTGCTGTCCACATATGGCTTTGGCACGTTCTTTAGCTCATGGGAGCTTTGTCTCATCTCACGTGATGCCTACCTTGGGCTGGACAGTGCGTCCTCCTCATCTTCCGATCATCCTATCTCTGGCGACAACAGTGGCGGTGAGCACATCATCGACTTCAAGTTGCCGCCACTCAAACAACTACAAGGTTTAAAGAAGAAGAGACTAAAAGTCGACTCGACTCTCACCATTGGACAGGTATGACCATGATTGATTGATCATGATTGGAATGATCCCACTCACTCACACTGGAACTATTCCAATCAATCAATAGTTTATAGATAACATTTGTAACAAGTATAAGATTAGTGATCCTGAGCGATTCTCGATTATAACAAGCGAGGAGTATCCATTGTTGATGCATAGGGATGCGACCCTGGCACATTATGGACTGGGATCAAAGATGGCCACGATGGAGTTGTCATTGGTGTTCAATGAGTTTGTGCCACCTTACTCTTTGCGCAACAACCAGGTACCGGCATTCGGCCATGTAACCGCAGGCAAGCCCAACACACGTCAACTACGCGACACTGTTGTAGACTTGGAGAATCGCCTACACGATAGCTTGGCGCTCAATGAGTCGATGGTGGCCAAGATCAAAGAGGTGGCCGTCGATGCCCAGCGTGCTGCACAGGATGCAGCACAACGTGAAGAATCCTTGCATCGCAAGATCGAGCACATGGACGTCGAGCACAACACATTGATCCAGCGCATTGTTGACCAGGTGACTTTGGTCAAACAGAACTTCCAACAGGACAAGGAATCATTCCAGCGCACAATCGATGAGATGCAATTGGAGCGCACACAGTTGCAACAAGACAAGGATGGACTGATAGGAGATAAGGCGAGACTCGAACAGGACATTGATGCGCTCAACGTCAAGTCCTATCAAGAGCGATCGAGCCACACAGAGACCGTAATGAAGCTCAATGATACGATTGATGGACTCAACGATGAGGTCCAATCACTGAATGCCAGCATTGGTGAGCGAGTTCAGGAGCGCGAGGAGCTGACCAGGGCATTGTCAGCGAATGAGTCGATCCTGGAGCGTGTGCGAGCCGAGTCACAGACCGAGGAGCGTCGTCTGCGAGACATGATGGAGAGCATGGAGCGTGAGAAGGCCGAGCAAAAGGCGGCGTATGAAAGAATGATGAGCGAGGCGCAGCAAAAGTATGAGCGCACAATTGGCGAAGCGCAACAAAAGTATGAGCGAATGGTTGGCGATGTATACCAGAAGTTGGAGATGCAGAAGCAGAACGAGGAGCAGCGAATGATGGAGATCACTCATACATTTAAACAAGAGATTGATGCTTTGGCGGCAAAGGCTGCAGCTCCGCCCCCTCCCCCACCAGCCCCGGAACCCGCGCCGCCTGTAGTCGTGGTGGCTGCGCCAGCCCCGGATATGTTTGCCAGCAGTATGGAACGCGACAATCTGATGTCCACGATCAAGAAGCTGACCGACGAGCTGAAGGACCGCGAGGAGAGCATAAAGACTATATACCCGAGAAAGGTTGAGGCTTTGGAGCAGACGATCAAGAGGCTCGAGGCCAAGATGGCCGAGTCGGATAAAGAGTCCAAACAGAACAAGCAGCAGGTGGCACTCAAGAGTCTGGACATTGACGAGTTGAAGCGTCAGCTCGAGCAACTCAAGTTCACAAGCAAGGAGCAGCAGCAACAGACTAAGACACAGCTGGACCAGACCACTGCGACATTGCGCGAGGAGGAGAAGAAGCTGAGCAAGGCACAGAACGATGTCTCCACATTGAGGGGCGAGTTGGAGGCCGAGCGATACAAATGCGACCAAACCAACAAGTCGCTCAACGACACGCGCCAGGCCAAGCTAGAGCTGGAGAAGGTGTCGCGGGCCCGGGAGCAGGCTCTGTTGCTCGAGATTGAGGAGCTCAAGAAGCCTAAGCCACCACCCCTGCCATCGTTCAAGACCGCGACGCCCAGGAAGAACCGCGTCACCGATGCGGACGACCCTTCAATCTCGGCAGAGACCCTATCAGAGACACGTGGCACATTGAAATCCGTTGCGCACCTACCATCGCCGCCTCGTGAACATGGTATATCAACAATCGCCGATCTACTCTACGTATCAATGCAGAAGCGATTCAATGCCATGAACCAAGTGGACGTTGTAGTATTGGACGACTATGAGGATGATGATGACAGCAATGATCAATTCTTTGATTGATTAAACTTGATTAAATTGATTGATCACCATAACAATCAACTTGGTTGACAGAGGAAAGAATTGACTAAACTCTCTCATATACTTTCCACTTTATTATTCAACCAGACTCCAGATGTAGTAGCACAGAGAGGCAAACAAAAAATTGGAAACACCTTCCTTATCAATGGTTAGGTTGTAAAAATTCCCTCCAGAGTATCACCATCAGTATCAGGTCTAATAGTGATCACCAACCACTATTGCTACATTCAATAAAACAACAACAATTTAATACAATGATGAATGAAACATGAGTGATTCAGAGATTAGATACATCATATAGGATCTGTGGCCAGTGATCTTGATCAATAAATCAATCCATCTATCTATCAATATATATAATATTGATTGATTGGGGAAGGAGGGGTAGTGGCGAGTGGGGAGTGGGGTGGACAGATGATTGGTCAATGATTGGGGCTGGCGTATTATAATCCAGGGTGGATGATTTTGGTTGGGTCAACATTAACAAAAAGATAAAGAGTGGGGAGTGTGCACTACACATAATCCTGCGAGTAATTAATTCAAGACCTTTTTTATACCCAGCAATGTGGAGCCTCTCCCCGTACTTTACTGTGCTCACTACTACAGTTAAATATGTTCTCATACTCAGGAATTATTATTATTTATGATGATGATGACGATTATTTGGTGTGGTGGATGTAAACATGTGTGAATAATAACAAGTAAAGTGATTGCTAATACATTGGGTTTCCTGCACCCCATTCCAGTGAGTTGACCGTCAATCAATCAGATCAGATCAGTTCGGAGTAATTTTATTAAAGAGCGTACTATCACCTTTAAAGAGCGTACTATCACCTTTAAAAAAACTATTTTAGTATAGAATAATAATAAATCATACATACATAGAACAACATAACTACAAATAATAATTAATTAATAATAATTTTTATATATTTATATATATAAAAATATTATATTTTAGGGATTTGATGACGCCATCAACTGACATTATTAATTTAATTCGTTTCAAGGTAAATAGAAAAAAATCTAAAAACAGAAATAACGTATTATTTGTAAACGCTAGAATGATGACATAATTGGATCACGCGAACATTGTCCAACATGTCCCCCAACATTCAATCGTTGAGGGTAAATCATATTTATCGTTTAATGAATGAATTACTGGACCCGGTGGTCTAGGGTTGGTAATTCCTAAATTATTTTTGACAAGGCGCCTGGAGAGGGCACGCCCCAAAAAAATAAGTTTGTGGTTGAATTGGTGGATCACTGCTCCATCAATCAATCAATCAATTGATTGATTGCACCAGGTCGAGAGCGTGGTTCAAATTCCATAATTAATTTATGGATGCATTTCATTAATCCATGGTTGTGTGTGCGTCCAAACACTTGCCCGCCCCCCCTCACCACGTATAATGTGTGCCCAGCTTGCTTTGACTTTCAAACGCACACGCTTGGGAAGTGTTTTTACTCTAGAGTGTGGTTGGTGGGCCTTGCCGCGCCCAAGGGTCCACTCTCGAGAATTTGTAATTTTTGGGTAGCCCCCTCAGAAGATTCGGGGGGTAGACCAGTCAACCACCCCCCACACACAAAGGCGGTCTATCTACCAATGGATGCCCTCTCGCAACTTGACCATTGTGCCCTCTCCCTCGCATCGACTTCTCTCCCTCCCTCCACACACCTCTGGAGGGGCAGGAAAGTGCCCAACCCATCACTCAGTCTCAGCTGATACTCTTCATTTCATTTATCTCTGCACTACCTACCTGCCTGACCTACCTAATCAGTATTAAATCAACATCACAGTCATTCAGTCATTCAGTCAGGCAGTCAGTCAATCAGTCATTCAGTCATTCAATCACCCAACATCAATCAGCACCACACCGAACCATTCCACGCTTCTTTATCATTCTCCCTGCGCTACACAACCATCCATCCCTCCATCCCATCTCGCCGCATCTTATCTGGTCACGCGTCCCTTTGACCCTTCCTGCACTCTGCAGTGTCTCGGTGACCAGTCAGGTCAGGTCAGTCTCTTCTTCTTGATCTATTATTATATACATATTATATTATATATCTTTCCTCCCTCCCTCCCCCCTCCCTCACCCTCCCCCTGCCTTGTATTGTTCTTCAAGTCAAGGTCCCATCGACACACCACTCCCCTCCCCTCACAATCAATCAATCAATCAATCTTCACAAAGCGAACCAAGGACAGGACCCCCCTTTAGAGGTGCTTTGTGTGTTTGATTCTGATTCATTCTCTCTTTATATCTTCAACAACATTCCTTCTTTCGTTCTTTCCTTTCTTCCTTCCTATCTTGATCTGGATAGACAGTCTATCAGATTGGCCAGTGACTGACTTACCATTCAATCAATCAAATCCAACGACACTGTCCCAACCCCGATGCATCGTACTTTAGTTTGCTTACTCTCTCTCTTTCATTGACTCAATATATCAATCAATCAATCAATCAATCAATCAATCATTCAATACATATAATATAGAATAATATAATATATAAGAGAATAGAGGAGGCTCAATTAATCAATAAGGCCAAACACAAGACAGCATTAGACACACACGCAGGAAGTAAGAGCTATCACTGTGTCATGGCAGTGGTACTAGCAGACCGATCAATCTCTCGCACCATGGACATCCTCATGCTCTTGAACTCAAAGAAAGTGGGTGGCGACAACAACAACAACATCATCAACAGCAACAACAATAACAACAATAACCATAACCTCAACAATAGTAGTACAAGTAATATTAATAGTATCATAAACAACAGTGATAGTAACAATATTAATAATAATAATATTAATAATATTGGAGGTAGTAGTAGTAGTAGTGGATACAGCCATGGCCGCATCCATGGCAACAGCAACAGCCATAGCCACAACCACAGCCACAATCACAACCACAACCACATCCACAACCACATCCACATACACAGCCACCTCCCTCTCAGCCACAGCCACAGCCACAGCCCCAGCCCGACCAACTCCAACAACGAGCGCATTTATAATACATCCACTTCATTGTCAGGCAGCATGGGTGGCGGCCGACACATCTCCCTCACCGATTCACCTACACATTTCTCATCGTCCGCACCCACTACACCACTGGAGGCCTGGCCCTCACGGCAGAGCAGCAAACAGAGTGGTGGCAGTGGGTCCAACCACTTGTTCAATCGACATATGATCCATTGGGACAAGCCGACGCCAATGGATCACTCTGAAGAAAATGTCCTGGACAACAACAACCTGGACGACGACGACGACGACGACCACCATGATGACGAACGAATCTCGTCACCTGACAACCATCAGCCTGCGCCGCATTCCGAATCACCTCCTCGATACAAGTATCATACCAACAAGATACCTCAGATATATTTATTCAACAACAACAACAACAGCAGCGGCAACAGCAACAGCAACAATATTGGAAGTGGCAGCAGTGGCGGTGGCAGTGGCAGTGGCAGTGGCAGTGGCAGTGGCAGTGGCAGTGG